TCGCGCCCCCGCGGGAGGGACAACGTCTCCAGGACGAAGGTCCTACGTCTCTGATTACGACCAGTCCTCCCTTCCCCTCCAACCCCCTCCTCCTCCTCTTCGCCAGACCCCATTGGTCCGCGTCCGACGACGACCCGTTTTCTGCTCGGCCGTGTTAAGGAAAAACGCCGTATGAGCCTTCAGGCGTTGCCGAATTTCCTTATCTAAAATACGAATTTTTAAAGATTTTCGTGAATATTTCCGTGCGATTTCTAAGGATTTTATTCGCTGTTTAATCTCAAGTATCTGATAATTTCAAAAGAAAACACTCGTAAATTTCCTCTAAAATAAATATTTTATCACGAGGAATTGCTGGCAATCTTCGAGTGTTCATACGGCGTTTATCTGCAACGCCGATCGCCACCGGTAAAAATGAGGATTTTGTCTGAATTTACCAGGGCCGGATTTACAATTTCTCCGCCCTAGGCTGAACTCTGGTTAGAAAGATAGACGACTGCATAGTACACTGGAAAAAACAAACAAAAAAAACAAAAAAAACAAAAAAAAAAAACACATTGGATCTGGAGTCCAGACTCTCGAAAACATTGACAAGAAAAAGGACTCTTGATTCAATCAGATTTAAGCTCAAATCAAAAGGAAATCCGCTCAAATTAAGAGGCTGGGTTCTTGATTTAAGCTTAAATCTGATTGAATCATGAGTATTTTTTCTTGTCGATGTTTTTAAGAGTCTGGACTCTAGATCCAATGTGTTTTTTTCCAGTACATTGCAGGAATTCTCTATCTTTTTTTTCATCTATCTCTGAGAGAATGATTTCAAAATTCAGATGATTTGCAAGGAAAAATAGGACAATTTAACGGCTTATGGATGTAGCACGAAGTGTGTGATCGTGTGGTTAAAACGGCAGATCGACGGTGAAACCTTCAAACCACGTATCTCGTATGCGGTGTTTAAAAATCTCCACCCCTATTCAACATCATGCAGTTTTTTCCAGAATTTGCTTCGCACGGATAAGAAAAATTACGGACTTTAAGAATTGACGTTGAATATAGTTCTCCGTTTAAAAAAAACGTATGACAGGAGGTCTGCAAAGTCGCAAACTTAGTTACATGGTTTGGGAATTTCACCGTTGATGTCCTGCACTTACGTACTTAAGTAAAAAAGTTGCCAAGATTATCTCAGGAACAATTTTCAGTCTAATTGACTGTAGCGCGTCGCAACGCACAGAAAGAACATGGTTCGCGCCTTCAAAATTACTGTGTAGGCAAAAATCCTACCCAAGAGGTGGAATAGTTGCCTAAGTACTCGGTAATTCACACTTTTTACTTGTCCAGCTTCCAGCTGGTTGTGAGTACATTTAATCAATCTGTCCGCGATTGCTAGTCATTTTGCATTGTTTTAGCTGCGACTGCTTCGTTAATCCGTTTTTTTTTTGATCGCCGATGCTGTCTAGACTCTTGTTTTTTTTCGCCGACATAAGAGTGTTCATAATTTCGACGGAGTTCTATCTTTTTACTCTCCGACTCCCATACTCCGTCGAAAGTCAGTGAATATTTTAATTTCCATCTTTTTACTCTCCGACTCCCATACTCCGTCGAAAGTCAGTGAATATTTTAATTTCCTTGAGTATATGGTTATATATTAGGCAAATCTCACAAATATGTCTTGCCTTTTCTGCGCAGGTTCGTTGCTTCACCAGAAATAACGACTCTAACGGAACAATTGAAGTTACCAAAAGTCAAGAAATGACATTCACAGGGCTCAAGCCTCGAACCGAGTATGGGTTCCAAGTGAGAGCGAAAACAACAAATGGTTGGGGAGAATTCAGTCCAGTCATCTTCAAAACTACCCCAGGCCAGATCATCAGTCCAGGTAAGCAGCGAAGCTTCACGCATCCTAGAAACAACTTGAGCAATGCGCAAAAACCGAGGATGTCTAACTTAAAACTGCTCGTAATAGTTAATATAGAACAGAGGAATTGAAGCTCTTCTATCAGGAAAGTCTGATGAAGGATAACTCTCAGCCATTACCTATTCGTCTAAAATATGATGAAAGGCTGAGTCTTTGCCTAATTAGGGAAGACAAGGCTTCCTGGTGCCAAAATCAATTTGAAGCAATAGATTCCTCTGATACTTGGGCATTTATATTCTGAGAGTGAGTAAATAGAGGCTTTTGTAATTTTTTATTTTATTTTATTTTTTTTATTTTTGAAAATCAATTTATTTTTAGTTTAACTCATTTTCCATTAGTGGTTTTTTTTTTGGGGGGGGGGGTGAGGTATTTGTTCTAAACAAGAACAAAATTTGTTTGTTTCTTTTTTTCATCAAAATAATAATACTTAATAAAAATGTAAGTTCTTAATGATTTTTTTCATTTTTCAGCATACATTGGAGATGAAGATAGTATGCAAGTGAGAGTCATCGCTGGTGTCACTGTAGTAGTCGTGGTGCTCATCGTCATTGTCATCATTATAACAGTCGTATTTTTACGCAGGTGTGTATTTATTCATTCCCCCTTTTTTTAGTCTTCTCCATTTCTTCTTAGCGAACACTGTCCCAAACTTAAGGCACAAACACAATTTTCATAATAAAATTGTACCCTTACATTGCATTTTGTCAACATAGAATAGAATTAGAATAGAATTTTCTGGATTCATATACAGAGTGTTTCAAAAGAAAGTATTCTCCTCTAATGTTGATTAAACAATTCGGAATGTCAGAAAACGTCAGAACACCCATACATGGCGATTAAACTCGTGTTTCGGTGTTTTTTCACATTCAAATGTGTTCAAAAAATATTCAAGGTGGATACTTCCTTTTTAAACATCCTGCATCTGTATGTTTTTGCCTAAATGTGAATGAATTTGGAGGATATATCTGTCGAAGCATAAATTTAGAAGATGCCTCAACTGAGGTCATCCGTACAATCCCTTGTGCTTAAGCACAGAGTAATTTTTGACACACTTCTTTTTTTCAACCTTTAGCTTTGATGCAAAATAATTCAGTTAATGGAGATTTTTCTGAAGAGAATTTCAGCACTATTTTTGTGTCAGAATTAAATTTTCTTCATTTATTTGATGAAACAGATTTTATTTTCATAGGAGAAATGTAATCAAGCCGAAAAAAGCTCTCTTATAAACTTCATCCTTCAATTTGTTTTCACTCCTTTTTTTTCAACTCTAATTATTACTAATTGTCTGTACAACCTGGCGAACTTTCAAGCAGCTCCATCTTAGCTTTCCTGTTATTCTTAGACTAAAAGAGTTGGTTTTTTTATAATTTTATATTCATCTCATCCAACGAAAATGCTCAACTGATTTTAAAAATTGTCCTCTTTGCTTAATTTCTGATTTTGTTTTATTTTTGTTTTGGAAATTTAAGCTACGAAAATGAATTTTTGTTTAGCAGAGGCAGCGACGAATGCAATAAAAAACAGCCAAGTGACTGTGATACTTTAGAATACCGCAACGGTGAAGGTGAGTTTTGCTTCTTTTTTCATTACCTACACAAGCAATTGGTCAGTAGATTTAAAGGCTCAAATCAATAAGGGTGTTTAGAAGATTTTCATTGATCGTTGTTGTTGCCAGTTGCAAAAACTTGCAATGACCAACTCATCTACAGCATCAAGAGCTCTCTAACACTCAATTTCATTTGACTCTTTAAGGTGACCATGATAATTTTGGAATAATGAAATATATGTATCCATAATAGACTACGGTTTATTGTAGGTTTGAAAAATGAAACTGAGGATCACTTTTACTTCTCAGCAATAACTTTAAGTCTTATACTTATCACTTATTTAATCGTCAATCAATCATCCCTGATTCAAAGATCTTTTTTGGCCAGAAAGTGTCAAATCATTCAATTGGAGCTTCTTAGAAAGAGCTAAGTAACCCACATTTTGGATAGAATGGCCGTAAGTTAAATTTGTCGTAGACTCATCATAAAGAAAAAATCAAACTTGAAAAGGTATTTAGTTAAAAAAATTATTCACACTGCGTTATTTGGAAGGAATGACACTTCAAATAGATTTTATTAAGTTTTATTTTGATGTGGTTTTCTTACTGTTAGTCAAACTGTCATTTTAGTAAAGATCCTCTCCTAATTATGGAGATATATTTGAAGCATCTGTCCGGATTTAAATTTTAGCCCAAATTTTTCTTAATCAATGCAAATAGCTATTTTTAAATTTATTATATGAACAAAACTATTTTCTGTTTTGAGTAATATTTAGTTGTATAAATATTTTTCACTTTTAAATCCTTTATTTTAAGTAAACCTCTCCTATATTCTTGAGCACTACCCGTCTAATTTGAAATAACTTGCCCAAATTCGACTTAGTTTTTATTCCCTTCTATTTTATACAAACTCCTCTTTAGTCAACTCTCATTTTTTTCTCAGTTTTTTAGAATACCTTATTTAGATTTTCTTTTTCATTAATTTCTGTGACACAGAAATCTTACTCTCCCGCTCAGGGCCGCAGCTAGGATTGCCAGTGCAGGGGGAAAAATTGATCTGATATTTTTCTTAAGTGCCCAAGCACCAAAACTAGGTTTTGAGCAAAACAGGAAAACTATTCCATTTGGCGTGCGCTCAATCTTTTGAACCCTAAAAATGTATGTGTTCAAATGTCACACTTTTTTCCGTTTTTCTTGGAACTTGGATTTCGGCCCTTGGGCCCTTATGAAAAATATCATTTCAATCTAGCAGGAGGAGAGACCCAGCTGTGGTTTTGTCCAAAGTATCTTTGATGTAAATTGTTGGAATGAATTCAGTTTTTACTACATAATGCAACCAAATGAGAACATTTCCATTTGACTACTGCGCATAATAAAAGTAATTTTTTAGCTGTAGCAGAATGATTAAATAGTCTCATTATAAAAGAGGATGCCATTTTGAACATTTCAATGGGCTTATCACTAATCAAAAAAGTTACCTTCTTTCATTTAACCCTACCTCCTAAACTCTTTTGCTCATAAGATTTATCCTTTTTTATGCTGTCGCAAATGCAGGATTAGTAGTCACTTACAGTAAGTCACATATTCACTTCTCTCTTCTCTCTTTCACTCCACTCACTCATCGAGATTTTTGAATTTTATCTGCATGCTTGATTCGTTCCTTATGTCCTTCACCTTGTAGCGTAATCTCTTGCCAAACTTGATGCTTCTCTGCCTTTTTTAGGATCGGAAGTGTCTTCTTAATTTCCTTGCCAAATCAACAACTTCTCAGCCATCATTTCTCCTTTTTAATGAAGTACACAAAATGATTCTTGTGACCATTTCAATTTGGAGAATTATGTAATCAGTGGAGAAATATCTATGGCCAAAATGTTTATCCATGTATCTCAGATTGCTACTTTGCAGACCTCGTCATACTTCATGTTTTCTTCGGAAAATACTGGTCCTCATAATTTCTTGAAAACTTCCCTGATTTTTCTTGCTTGTGAGCAGAATATTCTATTTGAATTTCAAGCCATAAATTGCTTGTCCCTCTTTAAAAAATAAAAGAAGAGCGGAAATTCGGAAATACCGCAAGGAAGATACGTGGTTTTGCCTTTTTAGCCATAGGTCCAAAAAATTTGGGGTCTCTGCCTGTCTCATGCTTCTGCTCCAATTTATTTTGTTGTTTTCTGCCAATTTTTCCTTTTTAACCCTAAATGGAAAACCTCTGGCATAGGAAGTGACTCTTGACTTAAACATCCTGAAAATATTTTGATGAGTTCAGTTATCAGGTATATTTTTATTAAATATCACTGAGAATTTTCTCCATCATAGTCACCTACTTTATAAACTCTATTTTACCATTCCATCTTAGAGTCCCTATTGTAGAAAACAATTTACCTTTGGAGATGCTACAAAAATAATCAAGCTCTCCTTTAAACGTCTGGCTTTGATCCGCAACACCTGTCCTCTTTTATTCCTGTCTTTCTTTCAAAATGCACTTTTATTTGATGTAATAGATGTACTGGTAGATCTATTTTTTTATTTTTTATAAATTGCTGTGTACATATTAATCCTGAGAATCCCTCATCCTACTCCATTGATGTATTGTGTTGTTTTGCAGTGCATTTGGACAATCCGCCTATAGTTACCACTCATAAAAATGGCAGTAAGTTTTAGTTTACCTTACCTAGAACTAAGCTAATAACGCTTCAACATGTTAATTATTTTGCACAGCTGAGGAAAACAATAAATGCAGATTCTCTACCTTGAGTTCAGAGTTAGCTGATAAACTGAAAGTAGAAAAATAAAATTTCAAATTAAAGTTGGATAAATGTGCTTATTGTGTTGTTTTCACTGGCTCTTCACCAGCTTTTCGTTAAAATTATGTTATTTTGTCTGTTAAATAATCTCTCATTTTGCTTCATTTTAATTTTTGTAGGTAATGAAGTTTTAAAATTTACATTTTGGAGTATTTAAGCACTCAAAAATTAAAAGAGAGCATAACACTGTTTTGAAATGCCTGGTTCAAGCCTCTTGTGACGATTTTCATTAATTGTTTTCCTTGTTTAATCTTTAATATTGGCTTATGCTTTGAGCTATAATAATCTTATGTAGAGCCATCTATAAGCTTCTTTTTTGCATCGAATAATAATTGGAATTTATTTTCGATTGAGCTCAGCTTTGGGAAAGCGCAGTGTCAAATTGTAACTTGGAGTGCTCTAGCAGTTATTATTTTCTCCTGTGCATTTAGCTTTTATACTTTTTAAGTGTTCTCTAACCCTTTCATTGACTAACATAGAAGAAGCTTTAAAATAATCCGGTTCAAAAAGGTACTTATCGTAATTGATGAATGGACCTTGTGAGAGATTCTTATGCGAAAGTTGCACTCTTGCTCTTTCATATTTTGGCATAAAATAATAACATGTTTTTAGATGCGATGAAACAATGATAGTCCTTGAAGGGAATTTCAAATAAAGCATAGTTAATTTTTTTTAGTTTATTAGTTTAAAGAGTCTCATGGCATCCATCCGAATAAGCTTTTTCTCGAAAAATGTCGAAAGATGAAAGATAGAATCAGGACTTTTGAATTTCTTAGAATTATTCCTCAGTTCTAACAACATTTAAAATAAAATAATTTCATGCCTAAGATTTTTCAGGCAAGTTTGGGAGAGGAAAATAGTGCCTACTGATACTCTTTAATAAGAACAAACAAATAATCCAAAATTTATTCTATTCAAGACTGCGTAATTGTTTTAAGCTTCATATGAATCTACAAGGTCAATCTTTGTGTGATTTACCCAGGATTTTCACCATTGGAATTTAGTTACCCTATCCATTTTCTCATTCAATCTCGAAGTTTCCTGATAACACGTATTCAGATTGAAATCCTTTTTTGAGGTAGAATATATGAAAAATGTGGGAACATCTCATCCTTGCAGATTGCGGAATTATCAGAGGCTTGCCCGATTAAAATTTAAATTGTATCAGCGATAGTATAAATTGTTGCTCAATTTTTGACGTTCATTAAAAAAACAGGAACTTGCAGGTACCATTTGACTTTTTTCCTTTTTATGATTAATTTTCTGTCTTTACTCATGAGTTTTTTTCTGTTGCAGTGACTACGCCTTTATTTAATCAAGTAGGAACAAATAACTCGAGGATGTATGTAGATCCTCACACCTATGAAGATCCTAATCAAGCTGTGAGACAGTTTGCAAGAGAGATTGATGCATCTTTCATCACAATTGAAGCCATAATTGGTACGTATTCAAGTTTTTATAGGGATTTTCTAAGGTCGTTGTCATCGAGTAAAAATTACTCAACATACATAGCTACTAAAATTCTGAATAATTTTATTCAGCAAAATTGTTTATTGCATAATTAAAAAGGTACATTCAGGAGAAAGACAGAATTGATTTCATATATTGCCTCAGTTATGAAGGAGGCCTTTCTTCACATATGATACAATTCAACCATCAAACCTTACAACCCATTGTTGTTTGTCTGATTTTTTTTTTTCAATTTAAAAGGAATTGCATTTTTTTTCAGGTGGTGGAGAATTTGGTGATGTTTGCCGAGGAAAATTAAAGTTACCGACCGACGGCCGGCCGGAAATAGATGTAGCTATTAAAACATTGAAACCTGGAAGCTCAGATAAGGCCAGGAATGACTTTCTAACAGAAGCATCCATAATGGGCCAATTTGAACATCCAAATGTGATATTCTTGCAAGGTGTCGTGACAACGTCAAACCCTGTAATGATCATCACAGAATATATGGAGAATGGCTCCCTCGATACGTTCCTTCGAGTAAGTACTGATGCACCGGCAGACATGCAAGTGCCTGAAACCTAGTACAAAAAATATTATTCTTCATTTTTTTAATCTAGCTAAATTTTAAATGAGCAGTGAGTCTGTTGAAAGATGTTTTAGCAGTACTGAATATTCTCCAACTATTACTCCCAGAAAGTTTGGTGACTCACTCATATTTTTACAAAATGCAGTTTTCCTTATTTTAAGCAGGTAAAAATTAGTAATTTTTTGTTGAGTATTTGAGTAAAATCACCTGCCATCATTTGTATTTTATGCAGTATCATATTTAGGTACTTTAGATAGGTGTTGTTCGAACCTACTAAATATCACATTTTTTCTCTCTTTTTTTTTTTTTGACTGCATCATTTTTTCTTTACCTCAAAGAAGTGAAATCTTATCAGAGGCGAAACGAATATTTTTGGAACAATTCAATCTCATGAAAATTTACTCCATCAACTTTTCAAATGTTTTTTTTACAATTTTTATGCGAAAAGCAAGGATTTTTTTAATTGCTGTACCAACATGCGGACATCAGAAAAACAATCTAATGAAGATTGTCACGTATTCTACTGGAAAGGATGAAGTATCACTGTTTAGAAGGACAAAAAGTTCCAACAGAGGCACTACTTCAAAGTCTGATTAAAGTTCAACACTTAATTCATAATATGGCTTTTATATTGTCGCTTTTTAAAGAGGTGTGCTGCGAGGTACCAGTCAATCTTTGGAATGCAAGCTGATTATTTTGACATCATTTTATTTTTTTTATTTTCTGTGTAACCAGGCAAACGATGGGAAGTTCCAGCTTGTACAGTTGGCTGGAATGCTACGAGGGATTGCCTCTGGCATGCAGTACTTGAGCGAAATGAGTTATGTTCATCGAGATTTAGCTGCGCGCAATGTTTTAGTCAATGCACAACTGATTTGTAAAATCGCTGATTTTGGACTTAGTCGAGAAATAGAAAGTACCACTGAAGGTGCTTACACAACTAGGGTAAGTTTAGTCATCAAATTCAACTTTAATAAACGTTCGATAGAGCTTAAGGACATAAATAAGTTTTTCAGACGGAAAAAAAATAAACTTTATAAGAAGAAAAAGTAAACACCAATATAGAATAGGAATTCAGCAGTTCTAATATAGGGTTGCCGGCGGTCTGGAAAACCGGGAAAGTCCGAGAATTTGCAGCGGCTGGGAAAACTAAGGGGAAAAAAAGAAGGAGACAATGAAATAATAGACATTTTTTTTTGGAAGGTCAGAAAAAGTCCGGGAACTAGACAATTTTGGAGTCAGGGAAAAGTCAGAGAGTTTCAGTTGGAGAAATATTGGCAACCCTGAAATATGATTGTGTTCTTTTGGAATTTCTAGAAGCTTCATGATGCTGAGAGTCATCCCTGTGACTCTAATTGATGATGTATATATTTTTCAATCTTCAGCAAATTAAACTGGGGAAGTTTTATTTCTGTTGCTTGAGCTAGATGACTTCTTTTTTATCACAAGTTTCAACAGGTTCAAACAGTTCTTGTCAACTTTTACCTATGCTTGAAAATTATAATATTAATGTTTTGATGTGGCTATTGCTTGCAGGGAGGTAAAATTCCAGTGCGGTGGACAGCCCCAGAAGCAATTGCTTTTCGTAAATTCACAAGTGCTTCCGATGTCTGGTCATTTGGCATTGTTTGTTGGGAAGTAATGTCCTACGGAGAGAGACCTTATTGGAATTGGAGTAATCAAGATGTAATCAAATCAATTGAAAAAGGTTATAGGTGAGTGTCTTGCTAATCAGAACCAAATCCGGTCACAACTTTTGCTGCATTTCTTAGTCAAAGTCCATTTGGCATCTTCATATCATAACTGATTGCCTAACTCCCTGAAATCATATTGGCTGTGACATACAAAAATTTGATGATCCTGAAAATGAAGGGGGACAAGAACAAATAAATAATTTAAAAAAAAATAAGTGAAACCCTCACAAAAAGCTATTTAAAGTTTACATTGAAATTATTATCTACCGTCTGGAGAAGTAAATGAAATTCAAATTGAAGGTCATACTTCATTTGAATCTGCAATTCTCTAAAAGACTGAAGGTTCAAAACTGAAAATGCAAGAAAAACTGTACTAATTGGTTTAAATAACCCATTCTGAGTCTTAAGAGTGCCAAAAAAGAAAAAAAATATTAAAATGATTGATTAATTTATCAAATATCAACCCAAGATTCAGAAGAAGAAAAATCAACCTAAGATTTAAACCAAGTTGATCATTATAAAGTTTTTATTGTTTCCCCCATACTTCCATTTCTGGGGCTTACATTTTTTTGAGAACAAACGATTTATTTATTAGTTGCAGGTCTAGTGCACTTCAGTATTTTGTATCACTTTCTGTAGAAAAATGGCAAAATTTCAAATTACAGGAATATTAACATTTGAAAACCTTCATCATTGTAATTTGCATGAATCTAGTAAAATTCTTTCCATAAGGTACCATTGTGGAGTTTTGAATTGTACAATTTCCTCCTTATTATTTTTTAAGGTACAAATAACCACATAAAAATATAAATTACCCTTTTATAGATAATGTCAACTCTGTTGAAACTATGTTGCTTATGTTATCATGTGTCTAATTTATATTTCTCTGAATAGACTACCCGCTCCTATGGATTGTCCAGAAGCAATATATCAATTAATGCTAGACAGTTGGCAGAAAGAAAGAACGCATCGACCTACCTTCTCCTCAATTGTCAAAACCTTAGATAAGTTGATTAGATGTCCTGACACCCTTAGAAAAATAGCCCAAAATAGGTAAGTTGCTTTTTTTTCTTCTTTTTTTCAGAAGGTTTTGCTGAAACTTTGTTTCTAAGCTTTTTCTTATCTCATATTACTGTTCATTTTAGATGAATAGACAAAGGCTTGAGTAAGTCTTGAGGAGATACATTCTGAACAAAAAACATAGGAAAGGCTTTCCTAATTACATTCGAACACAAAAACTAACTGATTTTCATTCAGTCCGCATTTTGCATTTACCAATTCGGCAATTCCATTTTTTTTTTTTTTTTTTTTTTTTTTTTTTTTAACCTTTTCACTTTAATGCATGCCTTTTCCAGCTTGCTAACAACCTTCATTGCTTTTGGAATGCTGGCTGTTGCATAATGTTTTAAAGTTGCTCACATTTTTTTTCATCACGGGAGCAAGATCAAATAAAGGAATTTTATTCAGTTTCAAGTTTTTACATTTCTCTCTGGTGCTTTTTAAACATGAAAACCTATATTGGGTTTTCTCCTTGTGGACCAAAGTTTTAAATCTTTAAATTTTGACTCTTTCTATTTTTTTGCTCATTATTTTTTTTGTATGTGTGTGTGTAGACGTCCACCTCCTCATAATCCTTATTATGTCCCTGTGACATTCAGGGCACCCAACTGGGTTTCATTTCATCATGAATAGTGTCTCTTGAGGTATGAGTCATCATAATTTTTCAATACACGAGCCCCTCCCCTATGTAAAACATACCACACACGTTTGTCCAAGAATTGTTTTCTTCACAAGCCCCGCCAAGCCAGTTTTAAACCTCATAGAATTCCTATCAGTCACTCAAGCTTCAGTCTCTTATAATATATATCTCCCTACCAATAATTTTTTTTCGCCCATTAAATTCAAACTTGTACCATTTTGATCGCCCATTTTGCTTGCCTTTGATTCTATTATATTTTCCTTTTTCCTTTTGCTTTCTTTCTTTTCCATCACATTTAGTATCAATCTTTCCTTCACGTTTTGGTAAATTTGCTTCAAAGCAAGGAGAGTTTCTACCACCCCTTGACAAAATATTAATTCCCGGGTGGAAATCCCTTAACTAGGAAAAAAGAAGATTTGTAGAAAGTTTTGCATTATTGAAGGCATATGATTTTTTTTTTCTTTAAATAGAAGTGACATTCAAAAATTGCCACTGAAAAATGACCTCTCAATTTTATCATATTTAAAGAATCCCAGTCTCTGCTATGTTGCACAATCATTTCATCCTGTTGTATCATGAATGTTCATGTTAATTTCGACCCTCTCAAATCAAAACATACCTCAATGCCTTTTTCTCTTTTCTTCTTTTTTTTTGCAATTTTCTTGTAGAAATTATCTTTTTTAATTATGGTATTAAAACAATGCGAACTTACCTACATAATTTTGGTAATTTGTCTTGAAAGAACCCAAAAGAGTTGCAAAGCCCTGACTGCGAATTTTGAAATTTTCACACCCAGAAAAGTTTTTTTTTTTTTTTTTTATCTTTTTAAATGTGTTTAAATTGATGAATAAGAAAAATACCTACATCTCAAGTTATCTATTTAAAAAAGCGACTTCATTTAGCTTAAATGTATGGCGTAGGTAACTGCTTTTAATTTGTCTTGAGAACTTGTTTAATTATAAAATTATAATTTTATACTTATTCTAATGATCAGTGAGACACTGTCTAGTGGAAAAATGCCAACTAAGATTTGCTATAAGCTTTCCAATAAACACAATTTTAGAGACTTGTTACAGAATGTAGACAGCAATATTCTGTTCAACATTCCTTGCCAATTTTTTATTTCTTTATCTATTTATGTTTTTTTACCTTTTAAATTGACTCTGATTATAGCCAAAACTGATCTGTCTAGACTCCACAAATGTGTATTCTTGGTTTTCTTTTAATAAATCCTTTTGATTTTTTTTCCGTAAGCATCTGTATTCAAGTGTGAAATTTTATTTTTTTCTTCCAGGACGGCCAATCCCTTAGCTTCTGATGCACCAGACATGACCCAGTTTTCATCAGTCAGTGACTGGCTTAGCTCTATAAAAATGGCGCGGTATCTGGAAAATTTTGAGCGAGCAGGAATAACTAGCATGGAGGCTGTTGTGCGATTGACCGTTCAAGAACTCACGCTCCTTGGCATCACTCTAGTCGGTCACCAGAAGAAGATAATGAACAGTGTGCAAGCAATGCGTGCTCAGATTTCTGCTAACTTGTCAGAAGGCTTCCTTGTTTAGGTCTCGCTTCACTTGAATTTTCATCTGTGATTAAATTTTTTAACAGTCTCTCGACTCCTATGTTTTTCTCCTAATTTTATTCCTGTAAATGACTAGATTGTAATTAAATTTTATTTATTGAATTTTTTTTATCAACCTAACATAAATAATTGCTGTAAATATGTCCATAATTTATTCTTGTCTGTGTTAAAAACTTAATCAGCGTAAACATATTATTATTTTTTTTTACACAACCATCCTCAATAAATTTTAGTTATGATTTTGAGCCGTATGGATAAAAGATAAAAATGAAGGGAGAATTTGATAGAAAGCCAGGTTTTATCGGTTTGCAGAGATTGTGTGATTCCTGCTTTGTTGGATGGTACCAATGGGCGTTGATCTTGAAGTCTCATTGATTTTTTTAAACTCAATTTTTATCATAGAGCTCAGGAAAGCTTCCTTAAAGAAAAGTAACAAAGATAAAAAGTATCACTCTCAAAGGGATGAATTCATCCTATTTTTTCAAGTATAACTTTCAAAGCATCATTCTCTTCTCATGATCATAGCTAGGGGGTCCTGGGGGGAGAGAGGGAGCCTTTTCCCCAGAAAATCTATAACTGTGCCTATGTAGTCGCTCAATACCAGTACATCCCTGTGAGGGTAATAGCAACTCTTGCATCTTCCCACTCCTGGTTTGGCTTTAAAACCTTCGTAAAAATTCTAATTTTTGTCATCTATTTTTTTAAATATGGTAAAATACCGAATCATTGAAATTCGATTTTGCCACCGAACCTAAATGTGCATTGAAGTGGAAAAGAGGCAAAATCAATAATGTTTACTTATTGCATGATTAAATAGACAGTTGCAGAACTTTCATACTAAGGCTTCACCAAACCTGTGAAATTGTATAAAATTATGTCTGCAAGTTAATCATTGGTTGTACAATCCTAATTTTTACATACCCTAGTTTTTTGTTTTTCTACCCGTCTAATTTGTATATTTTGTATATAATTGAGAATGATTTTTATCTATGTTTTTAAGTATCCATGAAGGACAATTTTTCCTGTTCAACAAAGCTTAAATTGATTTGTTTTACCATGTAAATTGTACAAAGAGTTCATGTACCATATTGTAATTTGACTCTTCTTGTAGGATTTAATTTGTGTATAGATTGAATTTTGATTTAATGGATGACTCTTCTGTTTACTAGAGCATCATTTATCGTTTTCAAGCTTAACTGAAGCTTCTTTGACTGTCTCGTGAAACTTTGATAGGTATTTGTTTTCAATGAAGTAGCTTTCTCGAAAATGTAACAAAATATCACTACCAATTGGATAGATTAAAGCAAGACAGCCATATTTGCACCGGCAATGTTGAAGACAGACATACCCACATAACTTTGCTGCTTTGAAAAAATTGCTAATGAAACTTTAATTTTGAGCTAAAACATATTTTAATTGAAAATTCTATCACTGGAACCTACCCTTGTTGCAATTTCAAAATATTCTGCTGTCTAAAAATGATTCAGATGTTGTAAAATGGATTAATGCCTCATAAATCAACTATTCCCAAGCTCTAGGAGTTTGTGTTGACTCTAGATGAGAGCATTAAATAAAAAAACTTCCATGAATCATTATTCTTACCTCTTTTTATCATCATTTTCAGTTCGCAATGTTTAGATTCTTTGCAAATCCTTTGAACCAAGATTGATAATTGCATGTATGTAATAGACTGAATTCAGATTTAAAAGATTTCATTTTTCTCACCGATGTACTCACAGTATTTTTAAAGGTTGTAAAAAAAGTTCAGAACTTCTGAGGAACTAGTGAAAATTAATATTTACTCTGTGTGATATAGCACAACAAGCTGTCCTATCTGGGTTCCTTTAATATTTAAGTAGACAAATGTGTCTTACAAGTTTAAGAAGTGCCATTCTTTGGTGATGATAAAATTATTCAATACATCTCTCAAGCTCATTAACTCTACCTCTCAAGTTAAGTGAAAGCAGGTTATAATGGTAATGATGAGATCATTAATAAAGAGGAAGTGATAAACAAATACAATTATTGAACTATTGCAATGAGAGAGACTTTGAAACCTCTAATTTTTTTCTTCATTGTTTAGAGGATGCATTATTTTGAAGAAGTTGCTCGGTTTCAGAAAAAACTAAACAAACCATACGGTTCTGCCACTCTCAAGCTTCTCATGGTTTTTTCCATCTTGAACAACGATGCCATCTGTCCTTTTCTCTACCTCTGTACAAGATTATATAAATATCGACACTTTTATTTTTCTACACTGCCCTGTTACACTGTTACAGACTGAAATTGTTTTCAAGTTCAGTGCATTCACTTACTATGTATATTTTACAAGTTGAAATCTCAATAGAAATAATTTTATTCCTCAGTCTCGGCTCCACTGCATCTTGTTTTGTTTTGTCTTTTAGTAGAATATGTTTCGATGATGAATTTTTGTATCTTACAGCTTACCAATATCTGTCATATTTTAGGTACAGTCATTAAATTCAGAGGAAAGCTTTTTTCAACTTGAAATGATTATTCATCAGAAAAACATGCCCAACTCTATGCTGCCCTTAATTGATTTAATGAACCTCTCAGCATTTCATTCTTGATGAAAACAAACTGAATTTAGTATTTTCCAGATTCAAGTGCATATTTTGTCCGCATTATCATCTCTCAGATTTTGATCAGGATCTGAGAATACATGAAAACACTGAAAGCTATGAGCTAAGGCTTGGAAAGGATTTTTCCTTTCAGAAAAATATATCAAATTGATAACATATTTTGGCTTATCTCGATTCATTTGAAGCTCCTTTTACCCCAGACACACTGCCAGTAATTTTATCTTTACGAACTTTTAGAAACTCTTTGAAGTGATCAATCTTTGCCTTAAGTATTTGTTAACGAATTATAAAGGCGGGGATTTGTTTCCGGATTCCAAAGCTTCTAGTTTATCACTCATTATTACATTTGAAAATGAAGGAATACCTCTGCGTGAAACTTTTAATAACTTCTTCAAACAAATCTAAATTACTCAAACTAAGCTATTTAAAAAAAAAAAAAGATGATTAATTTTCTCAAACCAAAATGAAGCAGAAACCACATGATTTTGCGAAGTTAGGTAAAGAAATGCTTTTGGTGCAAAGAAATGTATCAGCACTCTCTGCAGAGCCATTTCCTTTTCCAATGGTTTTGTGATTTTTGCTTCCTATTTTGTAACGATAAAATTTCAGGATTCCTAGTGCATCACTTATTTTCCTTCAATTCAGCTTGTGCCACTCTAAAATATTAGAGGCTCTTGAGCTTTGAGAGTAAAGAGCAGTCTTTCAGGGTTAAATCTTTTGGATTTATAGCCTAATAACCTTGATACCAACCGTCCATAGTGATTCCAAAGAAATTTTACCTTCCTTGTAAAACCCAGAGCAAATATTAGTGATTTTCCGAAGTTTCCTTTTTTTATGATGCATACTATCAAGTAGTGTGTGATACCTATTCAATATTATTGTCTAATAATTATTTGTTCAATGTGACGAGACTGACATACCTGTAAAAATTTATGTGAGCTATAAATGTAATTGTCAATTTGAATGTATGAAAGAAGTTTGTAAATCAAAATAATAAATTTGAATAATTTTTACTTTGTCTCCTTCCTTTAATCTCTCAACCTTCTGCCTTTTTTTGTTTCTGTTTCATGAAGAACAAGACTTGCGGAGCGAAAATTACTGAAATAAAATCCTAACTGAGATAATAACATTTATAGTATATATTAGTTATGGAATTTTGAATTCCCGTAACCAATGTAAACTATAGAGAAACCAATAATATACTGATTATGTAGCATCGCGTCCAAGATATTGGACTCCATGCTCACCCTTGATAAACTTGCTTGCTCATCTCGTCCAAGATCTTGGACTCCATGCTCATCGCTAAACTTCTCACTTCTTTGCCTGAGCATGGAGTCCAAAAGCAAGTAGACCTCCCTTAGTTTTAAAGTTCATCATGATAGAAAATCGTATATTCCCTTATCTATTCTAAGTTGAACTAACCTAACCTAACCTAACCTAACCTAACCTGACCTAAGCTAACCTAACCTAACCTAACCTAACCAACGTTCAGTTTTTTTCGAGAACACATTTTTTCGTCTTTATTTCACAAAAATTGTCTTTATACATTTTTGGACCCCATGCTCGTGTATTGTCAGAGAATACCTGCGTCCCACACTTTTGGACACTATGCTCACTTCGATTTTTCGAAAAAATTATCCCTAATTAAAGTGAGCATGGAGTCCAAGATCTTGGACGTGATGAGCAACCGAACATTATACAGCTGAGCATGGAGTCCAATATCATGGACGCGATGCTACATTACCAATATACTTGAATCATTTTTTTGAACCAAAAATTGATCCATTTTAATTATGATGTAAAATCGACCATAGCGAAAATTGTGAAAATTAAAATTGACCCTACGGAGCCCCTGACCCAAGGTACGAATTTAAGTATTCCAGTACACGTTTCTTCGCCGGAATTTCACAGAAACCACGATTCGCGCCATGGCAATTACTGAAATTAACTCCTTACTGAGATATTGACTCTTTTTTTTTTTTGTACATTGATTATGGAAAGTTTTAATTCTTGCCTTACAAGAAGAACAATACTTTACGGGAGTCAAATCGCACAATATAACAGTCTTGGCAGGTTTTGTAATCGATGAATGTACATTCCCCACCTCATGTTTTTCTAAGTGCAACAGTGGAGCCAAAGCACCGAGGCTGAGGTTGCCAAATTTTTACAATGTTAAGGTGATATTTTGTGATCGTATTGACTCATGTAGGCTTCTGTTTTTTCAAGAGAGCAAGTTTGAATTTGCGCGCAAAATTCGTAAAAATATCTTCGTTACAAATTGATTTCAGTTATTTTTGCTGCGCGAATCATGTTCTATGTGAAATTTCAATAAGGAAACATACAGCAGAAAGCTTAAATTCACACCTTTTCTAGTGGTCTATTGGAGAAAATGAGTTAGCAGTAGTTTCCAGCAAGATCCACTGAAAAGATTATTTTGGATGAATCACTAATTTTTCATTAACTTTCTGCGGAAAGTTTTGAATATACGAAAAAAAAAACTGTAAACAAACAGATTAATTTAATAAGCAAATATTTTATTACAATAAAACTGAAACAGTACACAGGTATGATGAAACCAAAAGCTAAAACACATTCGCTTAAAAACTGGAAACAGGTTGATTACAATGAATTTGGATAATACAGAAATGAATTGGGATTACATTCTTTGGTATTGAGTGCATAAGTGGACTAGCGTGACAAAACATATAAAAAGTTCCCCTTTCTCAAGTCTCTTGTAAATCTTAGAGCTTGTGTCCAAGATTAATCTTTCTTCAAGATCAAACTTATCTCATTGAAGAGGGATCGTATGATTCAAACCGCAATTAACAAGATTAAAGGAGGCCATAATAAGCCAACTGAAAAAGAGATGATTATCTTCTATTTCTGGCTATTCCAAAAAAGATATCAGAATGACTTAAACATTTTCAGTCCAACTCATTGAGCCCAATGAGTAATTCTTGGAGAAATTAAATATTTAAAAAAAAAAAAAAAAAATTGATGATTTATCTGAATATTTAGGTTGCCTTAAAAGTTGATTTAGTTGATGGAATGGGCCACTAGACAAGGGATGAAATTAAACACTACGTAAAGTGTTTTCTCTTCAAAATTCGAAAGGAAATTACACAACACGACAGGAAGTCTGGAGATCAACTCCTAAACAAGATAAACATTGGTTAAATGGCAAAAGTACTCTGGCGTCATTTGTATATCTATGTTAAAAATACTTGTTAATAGCGTTAATACTTTTTCAGGAAAGATTTCCGAATTTCCTGTTGAGTGAATCGTTTTTCACAAAAAATTTGAAAAGGAAACATATTACGTTTTCTTCTCATTTAGACCTTGTCTAGTCGTTCATTCTGAATTTGAAGTGTTTTTCAATTTTCTTAGCGCATTTCAATCTTACTTTACAAAAGGAATCATTTGTTTGTTTATTTCAGTAAAAGTTTATTCCAAATCCAATGGAATGAAACTGTCCAATTTTTTAATACTTCTTTGAGAGCCTATTTCAACCTCCTTTGATAAGAGTATAAATCATACGTCCTCTCCTGTTAGGAAAGGAATTGATTATAAGGCAACAATGGATACAGCTCTTAAATCTTACAAAATCTGCGGAAGTAATCAATGTGAATTCAATGGACGATTGGACTCATTTGCATTAAATCCTTCATACATTTAGGAAACTACCAAAATTCAATTTGTTGAATAAAACACTATTTTTTTACAGGAACCCCTCTTTTTAATTTGAAAGGACATGACTGAAAATGAACTAGGATCCAGATTTGTTTATGATAGCCATGCAAGATATGTGCATCTTCAGAGGAACTGTTCCTCAGAAACATCTCAGTTTTCACTTTCAGAATTCATTGAAATACTGGTATCATTTCCCTATACTTGTGCTAAATAGAAGGATTGGAAACCTACCTGTAATTGTCCGTTAGATTCTAAAAATATGAGATAATTAAATGAACGACTTCAACAGCAAAATCAGCCGCACTGCTCAGCAATATGACTACTGTTGAGCAACTGTTCCTAGGTTTGACCTGAAGTAAAATGATGCTGTAGAATGAATTTTTAAGTCCATACTTCTGACAGTAATGATCATTGCTTCGATTATAATAATGGTAAAAAATTTGAGGATGTCTCTGTAGTTTATCCAGAAAACTAGGCTTAAAAATATTTAATGAATCAGCTAGTTGCTATTAAGATGTACTCAAAATATTTTAATTCTGACAGGTTGAAGGCACACTGTTGGGCAATGTTGCTGGCAAAGAAAGGGCACAAAGCTGATGCATGACATTAGATGACAGTGCATTGTTTGCAAGAGATATACCTTCATAAGGATTAGAGCACAAGATTCTAAATCCCTGGATAGCTGCAAATCTATGCGTTTCTCTTTACAAATTGTTGATTCTTGGCACGCTGCTTGCTGTTGAACTGCCCTTTGCTAAATAATTGTGTGCAGCGTATATCAGCAGTGCAACTGCAGGACACATACCTCATCTCGGTTTGCAACATTGCACGCTTCCTGTCATATTCCATTTTTTATATGGAATAGTACTCAACATCATTTCTCTAAAACTTTCCTGATTTTTCTTTCAGTGGAAAGAATACACAATGCAAATTTCAAGCAATGAAGTTAGTTTGTTCACTTTTAATAAAATAAAATGAGAGCGAAGATTTTGACACACCACAAATGAGACACGCATTTCTGTAGATCCACGGCTATGTAAATGTATATGTATGCAATATTTAAAAATGGCCAGTCCGTGCACAGCATTCATTCCAACGATTCTGTTTCAGGGATTGTTTTGAACATAAATCGTAAAAGATGTACTCGGATCAATTTTTCAATGTAATATACCTGATGCCACCTTGATCATTTTGAATGAACGTTGCCATGAAAACCACGAGTCATCTATTTTCATATACTTAGTACGGTATTTTCAAAGTAAGAAACTAAAATATTAGAATGTGAATACAAAGCTCTAACTTAGTATAGCAAAAGTAGTTATCACTAAAAGATTTAGATCACAGTTGCATAATTACATCATCATTATTAGTATTATTAAGTAACTCTATGTCCTAACTCTTAATCGGCATCCTACCATGTAAGCATTTTTTCAACACCTCACTCTTAGGAATAAAGAAGAATCTTACTGTTAGATACTGTGGACATGTGTCCATTGGAGGGGCCGAAGGGGGGGGGGGGTAACAGGTCAGGTAGAGGGGGCAATTCTCTTTCAAAAACGATTAAAGTTTCAACCACCGGTTCTTTCCATCACCTCATTCTGTATCTTCGAAAATACCTCAGTGGATCAACATCCATTTTTTGCATTTTTTGAATAGAGGGGAAAAAATATAGAACAATTTGAAAAAAAAAATACATAAATTACTCAAAAAATATCAACCAATTAAAATGTGTTTCATCATGTGAAAAGTTTTTCAGATGGAAGTCTAAAATTTTGGTAAAATCAGAATTGATCATTGTGTGACAAAACTCACAAACACAACTACGCCAGAAATTCAAAATTTTCTTTCAATGCAGTTCACTGGTAATCAAGAGAATATCCATAAACATTTCATTTTTGAGATCGAAAATGCCCAATATCATCACACAATACAAGGGAACTTTGAGCGTCTGATATACTTCAAATTTTTGAGCTGTCATCAGGTTTTTCACAATTTTCTTGAACTACTAATGAATTAATTCAGACTGGCAGAAACATCCATGCCATGTCCCATGACCACGCCATGACTACTGTCCCTTGAAAAACGAGGGAGGCAATGAAAAATGAAGAAGTCATGGGTAAAAATCGGAGGGGCAGCTCAAATCAGTGTTAAAGTCATTTTATTTTCAAAATTGCAAAAAGTCTTCACTATGGAAATTCTGGGGAAAAGGGGTTTTTTAGCTGGAAAGCTAGGAATCTACTACATTCCTGAATTAATTAAAAGCATATTTTGGTAAATTTTACGAATGGATCATGCAATTTAAGCAGGCTTTAAAGCGGCTTTTCAAAACAAATTCAAGAACTTCCAGCCTTCTAGGACTTAAGTTTTCAAGGACTTAAAACGAATAATATACCACCAAGGAGAAGATTTTGGAAGCGTTTCATTCAAGTAATTGTTTTCTTTGCAAAATTGTGATAAAGAAAATAAAAAATTACAGAGCGTGGATGAATATAACATAATGGTGGAAATTTCTGACTATAAATGGAAAAAGAAGACCAAAAAAAAAAAAAAAAAAAAAAAAAAAACTCCATAAAACAGGATTTTAATTTTCTTTCTAAATCTGCACTGTTCTTATTTTTTGCTACGTTTTTCATTTCACTGAAAAACTGGATAAATTAGAACTCATATCCACATGGTAGAGGAGCCAAAAAAAATGATTTTTGCCACAGGTTTGACTAGACTTAAGAAGTAAGTAAGTTTGAAAAAAGGAAACCGAAAAGGATTGAAAGGTTTACGAGGAAGCTAAAGATGGGATAGTTGAAATATTAGCCACGGTAAATAGGAGATTGAGAGCAGTAAAAAAGTTGGGAAAATAAATTAAGACTAAACTATGAAATATGAAATTGTTATTTAACCATGTTATATTACAAACCTTGAATCTATTCAGTCTCATTTCTGCCATTTTCATTCACAGGTTGTGGGAACCTTCTGTATATACCTTGCAAAGGAACGTGTAATAATTCAACTAATTCCAGAAAGTTAGGCTCTGCAAAAGAAAGACAGAAAATCTGTTTACTACTAACGCTGCGTATTAGAGTATTTGGTATATCCTTCTATCCCTCTACTTACTACTACTTGGCACTGCATTGCCCATGCACTTCACATAGGTTCGAAAAAAGGATCAACGCTTCATTTTGATTTACAGATTGTATAGGAACGATTGGAATGTTAAGGAACGATTGAAATGGTGTTACAGTGATGCGTTTTTAAAATATTAGATCTGTAGAAAATTTATATTTCTCTATGATTCATTTTGAGACCAAACTGCACTAAGTATGCAAAATTAAGGCAAATTAAAAGCCTCTATAGACTGAATAATGGCACACATCAGCAAGGTTACTCCTGTGAAGTTAGCTTCTTTTTTTCTGATATGAAGACTTTCGACTTGGTTTAACATCAAGTTCAAGCAAAACTTCCTTCAGATTCGATTATTTAAAGTCGACCCCATGCAAAGAGGAGCATGATCATTTCGTTTGACGATACAAATCAGGAGCTTTAAACGTACATTGAAATAATGCTTGCATTTGTCTAAAGAGACATACGCTTGATAAAGCTGCAATGAAAACCAGTGGAACTGAAAAATTATGCGCTGAAAACTCCCTCCAACTGCGCGGTCCAACAGCAGTCTTTTTCCCTCTACATGCTGAGCGCTGCTCCTCTCTCTACTTTTTCCGATTCTTTCTACTTTTTCAGCACCTATGTAACTGTGGCTCCTTCTGATCTCCGCTTTTCTTCTTTTCCCAGAATTCCCTCTCACTGTCTCCCACATTCTCGGGAGCTTGAGAAAGTCTAATACTTTTTTTTTCATCTTCAGAGTAATTTCATACTATTCTTCACTATTGATTCAATGTGGATCAACAAATTTGTGAACTAAATGGTTTCAGGGTGGAAAGAGAAGAAATGCCCGGTTTTTAGGATTGATTCCTTGATTTTCATGATAATAATTCATTCCTTCATATTGCAATATTTCCCCCGTTTTTAGCTCTGAAAAATCTTACAAAAAAGGAGGGAAAACAAATCGATAAAAAAGTTACCTTTTTCAGGAGATATTTCACCATGACGAATCAAAAAATCTAGAACAACCGGACAACTGGTGGTCTTGAAATCAGGAGTGAAACACCTTTCTAAGACCTCCTGAAATACAGATATTGAGTTTAACAAATGGGAAGATTGATATTACACAGAGAATAAGTTGTAAATTGTTTTGAGTGGGAGGGAATGCGAAAATAAAATACGTAATAACATAAAAACGGATGGATTTCAGAGGTTTAACCTTTTTAATTAATGTAATCAAAAACTAAAAATTTTAACTGAATATCGAACATTTCAGCAAGGTGAAGCTTACAGCTTACAGGAAGCTTTCAGCTTTGTGCATTGCATGTTACAGAAAATTCCACTGAACTTTTGAGATTGTACATGAAGTATATTGAAATTTGGATCAGAAAGCTTTTTATTTTTCTTTAAATTTCTTCCAACTGGGTCTGGGTGATCTTTTTCTAAACTGAAGATAGGAACTTACTTTGGCAGGTAGTAATTCAAATTTATCAACTTCCCCGTCATTGTTGGTTGGAATGAAGTCAACAGGAAGTTCAAGATCAAAAACAAATTCCGTGTTTGGAAACAAGCCTCGTTCACTCTCGAAGTAAAAGCTGAAAAAAGAACACTAGGATATGAACTAAATAGTGGCTGCACACAGAAACTGAGAGCTATAGAAAAAACTGCGAGAAGCTCTTGAGGTGATGAGGAGGGGAAGTCAAAGGAGAACCTCTGTTATTGATCCTTTTGTATTTCAGGTCTTCTGCATTTGAGGGAAAAAAGTGCTGAAGGAGAAAAAAGAAAGTATGCACCTCCAAATCTGTTGAGGCTCATTTTTCAACAGGTAGGTTTTGCATCATGGCTACAAAGTCCACCAAGAAAAACCTGCAGGAAACGGAGGAGAAAAATCTTTGATAAAATTTTGAAAGCAAATCATTCCCTCCGAGCCATTTACACAAGTCTACTGGTCAAAAAGAAGTTTTAACAGAATTTTAGCCTCCTCCAGATGCTTAAGCTGACTGCTGACACAATAGTCTGGGGGTATTGATGCAGGTGTTGACTGTTGAACCTCAAAGATTCACAGGCTGATGACCTTTGATCAACAACTCCAAATCAACTCTCACCGAAAAGTAAGGCTTTCCCACAATTTTATTTACTTTTTATTATTTTCAACAGTCAACACCCACATTGATACCCTCAGACTGATGCTCCAGTTAATGCGTCTGTAAGGGGCTATTACTTGGTTCTATTCAAACTCTTGCGGAAAAATTTCATAGTAACTGGGTTTTTCCACAATTGATTCCTGTGAATTTTATTGTATCGGAGCACATTTAAAGAAGGTACGACTGGTTCTTTATTTTTAGAGGGAGCTCCTTCACAGAAAGCGGTTGAGAAATGTCTTTGAGGAAAGTCTAAGAGAGCAGTGAGGAATGAAAAATAATTAGTTGAAACTTACGAAACACAGCCACCTGATTTTAAATTGGCCAACAACTCTCTGGGAATCGAAGCCTCTTCCTCTGCCTCCTTGTGAGCAGTTTCAAGGACACTATATCCACAGGATAAGCCACCGCCTACCTACAAAACAAAACAAACAGGCATACAGGCTTTTTGACCGTGAAAGAAATAAGCAAATAGTCACTGATCACAAGATACAGATAGATACATCAAATTATTTGTATCAAGTTAATTTATCTGAGCCTTGTAATTGTCGATGGCCGAAGTGTGAAACTACTTATCATCATTGCGATGCTTCAAAATTTCGGCTCCTTTTACATTTTTTTTTAATAAAAACAAGCAAACTTCATAACTTGAAATGTATACAGAATATTCTGCTGATACCTAGAGAGGAAAAATAAAGGAAGTTTTCAAGAAATTGTGTTGACTAGTTTTCCGAAGAAAAAATAAAGAATGGTAGGAAGTCTGCATTTTCGCGAACAAAGATATGTAGTTTTGCACTTTGGACATCATTGTGCTGTTTTTCTTGTTCAGATAATTTCCTCTTTTGAAAATCATCCCTTGATCATTTATCTCTTTTATTATGCATTCCACCTCCCTGTTTAGGAGCTTCTCAAAATGCCAGATTTCTTCTCTAGACCATCTACTTTATTCTATAGGATGTCTGAATTGTCCAGTTTTTTTTTATTTGACCCAATATCTTGTTCACTTTATAGGAAAGCTCTTTCATTTTAATCATCCCAAGATTTGTGATCTTCAGATAATCTCACTTTACTATCAGCCAACTTCAGGCTAAAAAAAAAGATAATATAAATTGATCTTATGTCTTCTAAGTTTTTCCAGGGTTTTGCAAAACCAACTTCCAGTAGGTACTAAATACCATCATTTTACTTTTTCACTCCACAGAATTTCTGGGATGTCAGACTTCCACTATTTTCCTTTCTGTTGCCATCTTTTGTCTTTGTCAAACAATTCTTACGATGTTTTTTCACACCTTTACTTTAGTTTACTATTACCAATAGGACGCAATCAGCTGTTTTTCACTTTAATTGCCAAAACCCTCCTTTGACTTTGATTTTTCCACCCTTGACACTGTGAGACACTCAGAGCTACAACTCAAGGGAAAAATAAAAAAAAAAATATAGACAACTGATCAACAGAGAGAATGTTTACACACTTGATAACAGCAAATAGTTCAAGTAAAATAACCATTTCTAAAATAAGAAAAATTTTACACACCATATTGTCCCATTTTCCAGGCCAAGTCTGCTTAGTAGGTGACCTTCTCTGCAGCCATAAACATAAACCTTTTTCTTTATCCATGACATAGCCATTGATATCCACACCATAGTTACAGACACCAAATAAACCTGAAAAATGATTAGGAAGCTTTGCTAAAGTATCGCAAATTGTTTTGATGGGAAAACTGCTGAACTTTAGAAAGATGGCTGCCGAAAATTTGAGCAAAAGAGGAAATTGCATCCCTTAAACTAAAAAGCTACTAGACTTTACATTAAAGTACTCAAATTATCGACTAATTTTAAGCTGAATTCAAAAGAGGAACAAAAACGCTTCACGTTACCAAATCAACAGAATTTATAGGCCTGCTAAAAAATTTCATTTTAAAAAGTGGAATTTTTTTTTTGAAGTCAGGAAACTATTTTCTTCGACAGGACAACAAAAAGGCAGGGAGAGTGGCACTCATTGAGGATTGTATTCACAAAATTACAAAAACACTGCTCCCCATGCTGTATATGTGGCCAATAATATCGCACCATTAAAACTTTCAAAATGATCCATCATTGCCAGATCACGATGGTCCAAAAATTTGATGGTTTTGATGGTTGCTCAAGACAAAGGCTGAAGAATTTGAGTGATCCAGTGTTTTAATATTAAGATTCTCTGATTCATCTTCAAATTAGCATAGGTAAAGTGCTATAGAATTTCACGTAACGGTCGTGTTCTCATAAGTTGTCTTTGTAACCAGTCGTTCAGTTTGTTTTCCTATGGAGGTCATTCTCAAGTATTTATAAGGATTGTCAATCTTACAATTAAAATAAATTCATAAGATAGAGTGAATAAGTCTCAGTTGTAGATCAAACGAGGTCAACTAACAAGAGGATAAATTTTGGAATAACTATTCAAGAAAACCATACATCCATCTTATACAGTATATTAGATTCACATAGATATTAGAATATAAATATACATCTGATTCCTAGATCAGAGGGGAGAAACTAATAGTAAAGATACATTTTGAATTGACTTACAGGTTGCAGAGCGTTCCATTTTCAGCAGCGGTTCATGACAGAAGCTTGGTCGGACTTCATAACTCTGAAAAATGAATTGAGTTTCAGGGCAATAGATAGGATCTTCTCTACAGAGAATTGACATGATTCATTGACCTACTAAAAATCGATTTTGGTTTCAAATTCTTGTAAAGTATCACCCAGAAGGTTGTTGCTTTAAGACTGAGAAAAAAAACTGAGTGAGACTCATACGTCTTCGATTATGTTGAAAAATTCTCCCTGAAGGGAAAAATTTTACATGCTCTGTACAGGTCTGGTGTTAGATGCATGCTTATCTAAAAAGTTGATGGTTCATTCTCATTAAAGCACTAATTTACCCTACAACTTTTACATTAGAGATTGACAGATTTTTCGGGTTTTGGATGTTTTCTTATCCAAAATAAAACATACAATAAATAAATAGGTGTACTGATAGGTTTTGGTAAGGACCCTGCACACCTCTTGAGGGAAAGTGTACCATGACGTATCCTTAATTTTTTTGTAGAATTAGATTCTCTTCAAGATGCTGATTAAAAGTTATCATTGCGCCGACTTTCAACGATGCACCGTTTTCGCAAAAAAACGGCCGAGAAGATTCAATTATTCGGCGATAAAGAGCTAGAGAGATTCTTCTTTTCAGCACTTAAGTGAACGGTCGGCTGTGTGTCAACAAGGAAATCTGTGGAACTCCAGCACCGGGTGGCAGTCTTATCTCGGATTTAGCATGCCGTTTTGCTCAACCGCCCAAATCAGTTTCTCTTTCTCTACCACTCTATTCACCTCTTCCCTATGTCTCTAAATTGAATGCTTTGTTCTTTTGGATTCATTGTCGCCGAATAATTGAATCTTCTCGGCCGTTTTTGCAAAAACGGCGCATTGTTGAAAGTTTGGCAATGATAACTTTTGATCAGCATCTTGAGGAGAATCGAATGCAATAAAAAAATTAAGGATCCGTCATGGTGCACTTTCCCAAAAGAGGTGTGCGGGGTCCTTTAAAAAAATTGTTGAAAGGTTAAAAGACATCGTTTTCTTTTCTTGTGATCTTTGGTTCAGCAGAAAATATTTAGAAGATGAAAGGAATACCTCATCCCTCCATCCTTTGAGGGTGATGAATGTATTAGTAGATCTACATTCTCTCAAAAACTTTTCAACTTGGGTACTTCGTTCGGAGTAGTCTCGAAACGCAGGATTCAGAACGACAGCATGAGGCTGCACAAGAAAGATTTCAGGATACTTCAAGAGGTGATTAGTAACATCTGGACGCACTAAGCCAACTTGACAGTTTCCGACAAAAAAAGGCCTGCAGTCACCTTTCTCGAAACCTGAAAAATATGAAAATGAAAGTGTCAGTCCAGGTAATGAAAATATGATTAAATTAATTACTCGTTTCTCTCAAATAAGTTTGCACTCTTCTAGGTAATGTGTGACAGAAAGTCAGCTGTTATTATTAACAGTTGAAAGAGAATACAAGACCTTCTATCTCACTCTCAAGGTATTCGTTAAATGGGGACTCTAACAGTAGCAAAAATTATTACTCTATCTGCGCAATTCAAATTTCGATGATTCGGAGGGAAAGATACAGGACAATTTTATGCATAGGCATTCACTGACTTGATTTTGATCTGACTCGATCTTGACTCAGCTGAGGCGCTGTTATCAAATGCTTGCACGATAGCGAGGTTATGATTTTATCTACAAACGTTAATTATTCACTCTTGGTAAAAGTGCATTGGATCTTTAAGCAGCACTGATTCGTGGTGGCACAAAAAGCGCAAACAATATACTCTTAGGTACGAGCTGTTACAATGCTTTCTGGAAGAAGTTGGTGAACTTTTGCATTTATTAGTTCATGACAGAATACTAAGCAAGAAGCTGCGGCAAATTAGCAGCAGTCGAAAAGTCTGATTAGGTGGAGTTGATTCTAAGCCCATAAAAATACATTTACGAAGAATGAAGAACAACTGACCTGATAGATAAAAGTTATTAAACTTCTGAGCTAATTTAAGAAGTTTGGAGCCAGATATCTCTTTAGCAGCCATCACATAGGGAAACTCTTTCCATCAAAACAAAAAACCTTGCTGATAGGCACACAAGCAGGTGAGAGATGATACCGAGCTTGAGCAGATTAAAAAAAAAACACTAACTCTGGAATAATTAGATTCGTACTCAGCAGAAACGCACGCTGTTTTTATTGAAAAAGTCATTCAATTTTAAGTAACGTAGCAAGTAAGTTGGAAAATGGACAGCAGTCTATGAGTCGGCCTGCAACGGTTGCACACACACAAGAAAACTTATGGATAGAATACTTGGATGCATTGCACATGACCCGTCATGCATCGAGAAATTCTGCGAACCTGCAAAAAAAAGCATAAAAGACGCCACTAGCGCCACAATCGATGAAACAGGGTACTCCCGTTGAAAAGAGGCGCGAAAGTTCAAATGAGGAGCTTGGAGAACGGGACGCATCAGAGTAGTTTTCTTTAAAGAATTGAGATATTAATGACTTCATCTAAAACGAGTCATGAAATATATTCTGTGAAAAACGAATTACTTAAATTCAATTTTCAAACATCAAAAAGTGAGTATGAACTTTCTTTCCACCATGAGGCTCTTTTCAATTTTGAAACTTTTAACAGGTATTTCTTGAAATAGCAAAAACTGCACAAGTGCACCTCGTCCTCAAAACCCTTCAAATAAGGGACTATAAGGGGCTTGGAGGAAAAAGCGTATAAGTGCAATGTTCGAAAAAAATTGAGATAGGTATTAGTAATTTCAACTAAATCTAACTTTGAAATAAATTCTGTAAAAACTTCACCGGTAAAATCCAATTTTTAAGCATCAAAATCTAACTTTGAACTTCCTTTCCACCATAAGTCATCATATAACTTAGAAACTTTGAACACATTTCTCTCAAAACAGCAACAACTGCACTTATGCACCTTGTCCTTTAAGCCCCTCAAATGGTCTTTAATAAAGCTGTACTGCACCATAGTCCAACTGTAGTTGAATATGCGAACAAGATATAAGGTCAATCCTTTCAAAAGTTGTTTCACAAAGATTACCCAAAATTAGACTTTGGGTCCTCGTGGTTTTAAAAGTGCAGAGTGAAGAGGATAATTTTTTTGACTTGTAAAAGTATCGCACGCACTCTTTTAAACATCATACCTATTAAATTATTTTCTCTTCCCACAGTAAAAACAAAGGAAGTCCAATATAAAATGTGAAAATTAGTACTGACAATGAGAGGAGCAGGCTTCAGAAAGGGGTAAATTTTTTCCCTTAACAATAGAAATCGTTTGTAGCGAGCAATTTGATCTTAAGTCTTCCAATGACAATTGAAAATTTGTTAAAATGTATGGGAGGGCGAAGGAAGAAACACAATTTCAGCAACTTTATCTAGCAAATTAAAGGTTGACTCATTAAGGAATAGAAAAATTAATTAAAGCAAATTTTTACAAGGTCTTGATTACAATTTTATTTGAAATTATTATTCCTCAAAAATACACGCAAAAAATAACAATTTTGGGGAATACTTTAAAAATCACAGATTAACCAATTAATGGTGGCGCACAAATAGCTCAGTATAAAAATATTGGGGAATCAATCAAAAGTTTGACAATGTCTTGAAGGAAACAGAACATAAACACAAAAATGGTGTCAAAGACAGCCATTTACATTTGCAAGACAAAATTACAAGTCCACTTGACATACACAAAACGAGAGTACACAAGAAAGCAGCAGCAGAGACGCACAACTTAATATTTAGTCGAATGCAAATAAATATTTACAAAAAAAAATAAGGGCACAGAACAGAAACACTGTTGCGTTGTGAAATCAAAACCTTGAGAGTATTACGTTCACTCTCGCACCAGAGTAAAAAATAAAAAGAAATGTTTAGTAAGATTTCCTCACTACCAACAAAATAAATAGGTAAAATCTATTGCTTTAGAATACTTCTGAACTTTTTTAAATTATACGTCATTACGAGCATTTTCAGGAAACATTGATGATCTTAATTTTTTGCTGGGTTATACCTATTAAGGCTCATTTGTGATCAGAGACTATCTTGAAGAAACATTGTTAGAAAGTATTTTTCCTTTAAACGCTTTTAAAAAAAATGCAAAAGTTCCTATCAATACATTTTTGCTCTCAAAATCAAACAGATTTAGAGAAATTGTTTGAGATCCCTTGTGCTCATCGCTTATGTTGAAAAAATAAAAAACAGGATAGGATATGGAGCTTTTCTCAAGATGTAGAGGTTTTTAGAGTCCACGCCAAATAAGTTTATGCACCTTCAGACTATGACAGAAGCTAATGTCCTATCGCACTCTGAGGGAATGTAAATTTATTTAGCAATGATTCAGAAGTAAGATACTTTTTTCGCTAATATTGCGGTGAGTTTTACCCCACAAGAAATTTCAGTAATCCCTGAGACATACTTTTACAGAGAATAAAATTTAATACGAAAAAATGATAATAATGATTATATCTTATGAGAACTGCAGGGGCATAGTGATACATTGACAGAGCATTCTAAATGATAGGCCGGTTGGTTTTCAAGAAAATAAAACACTACAATCTCATCAGTTGCATATCAGCGGTGAAACGCCCAAAACACGTATCTTCTTTGCTGTGATTTGAAGTCTCAGATTCCATTTACTTTTTTTGAAGTAGAACAAAGTTTTTTCATTTTTTTTCCTACTTCAAATAACCCACACTGGCTAATCCTTGCGCTTTTATTCCCAACCCCTCCTCTGTCCCTACAACCAGTCCCAGGCAACCATTGTTTGAGACCACTGAACTCGGGTTGCCTGGCTGGGAATCAACCCCGGGACCTCTTGGTCATAGAGCCAGCGCTACAACCACTACACCATAGGTGGCCGACAAGTAACATCATTCCTTAAAGCTTTTACAGAATTTTCTTCGCACACAGAAGAAAAAGTGCGGGAGTTTTTACCAATAGATGTTAAGTAGTTTTCCATTTGAAAAATATAGTATGACGGGAAGTCGCCGATATTGCAAACCGATATACAGTGTTAGGGAGTTTTATCAAAGATTTGTATGTAAAATTAAAGGACTGCACTGATGGATACGACAATTGGCATAAAAAGCAACTTTCTTGAGTAAGTTGAAAACCGGTTTTTTTCTTAGCTTTTGAATAAGAGGGGGACTAATTACCACTTACTAAATGATAGAAATGTCGATTAACACTAAGCAGTTCAGATTCTGAGCAAACTACAGTAAATATTAATAAAAGTAAAAAAAGAAGGAATAAAACAGTTGATCTTACATAAGAACCAACGACAATAACCTCTGCAAATATGATTGCAAATGTTTCAAACTGAAGTCAAGGATAGAGCCGGTGGTTTATGTTAGGAAAAAGTTCTTTCCTACTTGAACACTACTTGTTAAGAGTGAGAACTTCGATAAAGGGAAAAACTTGAGAGCGAATTGGAGCTCTTTCAAATTTTTAGAAGCTGATTGCTTACAAATGGGAAGAAGAACAAATGAAATCATATTGATGATGCTTGTGAAAAGTAAGTTCATATGAAAAATTAATTTAGCTCTGAAAAGTTAGATTTGCTTTAAGGATGAAGGATTAACGAGCTGTACTCAGGTAGGCAGGGATTATGATGCCTCAAAATGTTCAGCTTATTGGGTCTTTTTTAATGACTGACAGGTCATGTGGTACACAGAATACCACAAAAAATTAGGTCCAAAAATCTGCATAGACACTTGAGATTTAAGTCCTCAAAACTGACAATAAGACATTGACAATAAGATGAAATATTTAGATATTTGGATAGTGAGAAGAAGAATCTAAAATTTTATTAAATTTGTAATTTAACCCACTAAGTTGATATTATTTTAATGGTAACTCCCAGTTGGATCTCATAAAAAGGTGATTATAGTTGAGTATTTGCCTTCGGAAAATACACTTCAATAGATAATTAGAACTTGATGCATACTAAAATTTAGATGTTGAATAATGTATCTCTGATAAATGGTTCAATAGATCTTAATTAATAGTAAGCCCAAAGTAAAAAAACAGCACAGATTGAATGTTTCGATATAAACATTATTTAAACAGTTGACTCATATAAGCAGTAAATCTTTAAAGACCTGCAAAGATAATTAGAGAAGCTATACCTCTGATTGGAAGGAGATATTATACTAGAGATTTTGAATCTATTTCACAAATGTTATGATAAAATTTATAACAAATTGCTCAAGTATCGTAAGAGTCAACGCATCACAACCACGGTCAAATACTGTAGTACGGGGGTTTATTGAACTGAATATTGCAGGAGCATTGAATGGAGAGGACTTTTTCTGATGGCTCAAAGATACATTTTTTTATTAATTTTATTGTGATGTTTTTCTTCTAAACTCATCAAATGAGAGATACTCATTAGGTATTTACTTCTCTTAAAAATTCTTGAAGAAGTTTCATTGTATTTTGGTTTGCTTTTGCAACACGTAAATGAACAATAGTTTCGGCTAAAAATCATTCTAAGCATGAACAACAACGGATTTTCAACCCATTTCTGATGTATCTCATCTGTAGAGTAAAGATACTGAAAAATGACTGCTTTAAAACATATTAAGAGGCTTCAGACCTTCAAAGTTTAGATTTCTGTGGTAAGTAATAGAGAAAACTTACTTCAAGATGCAAATTTAACTGTCTCATAGATCAATCAAATAAGAAAATGCATATCAACCAGCAAAAGAACTACTTACAAACATTTGAAGGAAGTTCACATACACAAATATAAAAGGAAACAACAATGCAACGTTTAACGTAACTCACACTTGGAAAAAATTGCCAAAGAAATTAATTTAAACTTGGTTAATTGTCTGATATACTGAGGGCAAGGGCTTCGTCTTCAGAGATGCTGGAGTCATCACTTGAAAAGTTGTCTTCACTATTCCAATCATCTGAAGAGCGAGGTTGTAGCATGAACCCAACAAGGTTAGATACATCCCTAATTTCTTCAACAGAGAAAGCTGAAACAAAATTCGAATTATGAGAAATAGTTCTTTAAGGTCCGTTCGCAGAGTCACAAAATAGGCCTTGGTGGCTCAATTTTAAGGAGACTTAATAGAAACAGATGATTGAAATTCATTTAATCTTTTTCTTTTCCTGCATCATTAATACAAAAATGATTATTTTATTTGTGCTTCTGTGTTTCATTTCACATCAATGAAACTTTGGATGAAACATAAAATTCAGCAGAAAAAGGAGTAATTTGGTAAATTTGAATCACTTATTCTGTAATTAAAAGCTGAAGGATGGTAAGTGAACACTCCTGTAACTACGCAAGGGGAGTAATTTATTCGACTTCTGAGTAAGCTTCACAGGTACCTTCGGTTTTGCTTAAAGCAACATTAATCTGCTCCATGGTTGCATACCACATTGGTTATTGATACGAAATGATTGAAAATTCATGTCAAATGTATACAATGAAATCAGGTCATGCTGCAATCTCACAAGATAAAGAAGTTTTTCTGATAGAAGTCTCACCTTGTAATATTTTTTTAAATTGTCTGATTTTAAATGAAAAAGGATAATTTTATCATGTAAAGGCCAGTTATTGCGATCAAAAATCATACGCTTTTTTTCAATAATATTTAGCTTGTACAAACTTTGCAAACTAAACAGCTATAAAGGTTAGAAGATAGATGACTGCTCCGTTTGGGTCATCAATTACGACAATTCGGTCTCAAGTCCATCTCAGGAGGTTAATTGACAAATCGGGGATGTGTGTAACTACTGTCAATTGTATATATTAAAATATCCTACAGAGAGAATTGCGTTTTGGGTTTACACCGATTGGTGTTGACAACCGAATTCCATTGCAAAAATTTGCCTTGGGATTTGAAATGCATCTTAAAATCAAGCACCTTACATTTGAAAAAATGTCACACATTTTACGAAACCTAAGTCCCTGCAAAACCAGAGAAAAACAAATTGAAATAACAACATACCTTGGCCATGTTCATCCCAAAGGCAATGTGTGAACAGTCTGACTGGAGTAGGTTGGGGCAGGATGTAAAAATCTAGTATAGTAGGTGAAAGTCCTCTTAGAATCTTTGCCTCTTGATGAGCTGGTCTCCATGACTTAGGTGGACTAGGAGACTGCTTGACATCATTCAAAGGACTATAACCTTCAAGCCAACATTCTCCTGTTTCAGAACTCCATGTGAAGAGGCATTTGACTTCAAAAAATAATCTTGGGTCCTTGGTATCCATTGTTTTCCGCCGTTTATACATAGAAGCTCGAGGTTCTGTGTCGTTCATCAACTCAGCATTAAGCCACATACATAAAACGAGTAGAATATCACCATTTAGTGGGCAGACATCCACAATTTCAACATCGTAATCATTGCAGAACCAAAACTTGAATCCCTCGCATTTGCAAATGATGTCTGCTACTCTTGAGCAAAATTGTTCGATGTCGCAGCTCACTTGGCGCACAGTGCAAACAGGAATGTTTAATTTGCCGGCTTTTTGATTTGAAATCATTTCCATCTGCGTATAGCCAGACCCATGGACTGAAACAGCCAAAGCACAGTCACCGATTGTTCCTTGCTCATCATCTTCAATATCAGTTATCGTTGAAATTATTTCTTCGTCTACTTCTGTGAACTTCCGGTCAAATTTGACGGAGCTTTCAGGGATTAACTGACGTCCAAAAATACGGTCAGTCTTACCTTCACTGATCTTTGCTGATTTATTCTTGTCAAAAGAACACTTTGGCTTTTTAGCGTCATCGCTCAGACCTCGAGTTTCATCCCACTTGTTCAAATTTTGATTCTGCGGCCGAAGAACAACACGCATTGAAGACTGAACCTTTCCTGTATCACTGTCCAGGTCAGTCCCCTTATCACAGCCTAATCTTACGGAACTATCTAGGTTTGATTGAGGATTTGCATAGCTTGGTGGATAGCACTTATGATTAGAAACATTTTTGACCAAGTTCAGTTTTGAAGAGTTTCGACTGTTGATGCTATAGTTGGAAAATCCTGACTGTTGAGGCGTTACAGTGCCAGGGATGTTTTCAAGGAATGATCGGATCGCATCACATCGTGACTCACAACTCGGAACGTATTTGTCTGAGACTTCAGAGCGAGGTGACAGGGTGTCCAGTGACTCCCAATCGGCAATGATTGAATTTACATCTGCTGCATCTGCCTCTGGCAAGAAGTCTGTTTTGATTGAAAGCTCTGAGAAACAACCTTGCAATATTTTTCGCGGGGTATTGGCACTCTTTGAAAGCCCACTGCTCGTTTCTTCGCAAGGAGATCTGGGTTTATCACTACCTTCACTATACAATTCGTTAGTTTGAGCATTAGAGAGCACAGCCATGTTAGTTTCAGCACTAGTTAAGTTTGGGGAGTCAGTCTTCATGAGTAGCGAGTCGCAGCTTGAGGCGTTTTTTGTTTGAAAATTTCTGCACTTGACCCTTGAGAGAACAAAGTCGGACTCATTTTCTGAGGGAGAGTGGTCGTTATCAGACTGAAAAAGCTCATCGACAAATGAATCCGATTTGACTCTGTTTCTCTCGTTTGATAGGTGGCATGCCGATTTTTTAGCTATTGGATGGACATTTTCTGTATCCATCACATCATCATCTGTGTGAAATTCGTACATTTTGTCTGCTAAGCGACGTCGGCGGAACCACTTGAATTTGATATTGCACCCATCATCTGACTCTTCAAATGCATACACCTACAAGAAAGAAAGGGAATAAATTAAACATTGCCAAATTAAATAACACGTGAAATTATGTCATAATTAGAACCCCAAATTCGTTGAAACTAATTTTGACTAGTCGAAACTAGTTTCCACAGACCCCTTTAGTTGGAGCTAGTTTCAAAATTGAGGTAACTGGGACCCTCATTGTTGGAACTAGTTCTGACTGTTTTTTTTTTTCCAAGAGAACTAATGTCGATTGAAATTTAAAGGTCAAAACTGGAACTATCTCATGAAAATTAATCACCATTAGGTGGAACTAATTTTGACTAGAGAAAAGTAGAAGCACATGCAGACCTAAATTTTAAACATTATAATTTATTGAGTGAGGTATTTATGTTTTTTTGCCTTAATGACTCTTACTCTGAAAAAGCGTTTTGCAGTGCAGTGGACATGTTGTGTTTAACTTCTCAGCAGTATCCTACATAGTTTTAAAAAATCAGTTCAAATACATTTGGATGTTATTGAAAGAGAAGGATTTTTAGTTAACTAGGGTACAAGAATTAGCTTTTGTTGTTGTTCTTCTTCCTCTTCTTCTCCTTTTTTTTCTTCTTAATTTCTCTTTCCACACATCTGTTAATTATTATAAAATTCTCAGACTTACAGTGAGAGTCTTGTTGGAAAACTTACTTTTTCAGCTTGATCTAAAATAGTGCGTCTCCACACTTTAGTTTTGTTAGGAACAGGTTTCATTGCAAGTTTAGGCATCTTAGCGCACCACATCTGAGAGCTAGTTACATCTCCTGGTGACTGGCAAACAAGTTCTTTTGGCACTGGCGATTTAAGCTGAAATCAGGTAAGAATTCACTATCACTTGAGGGAAAAGTCAGCGGTGAATATAAAAAAAAACACATTTTCAGTTTGGTACACACCTATTCTATTGAAAAATAAAAGGTTGAATCTCTAGGAAATTGCAGGAAGATAGCACGGGAGACAGTACTGGTCAGCTTGTCACAGAAAATGTAGTTTGGCAAAATTTGCCCTGTCGTGCCCTCAATTTTATCTGGTTTGTAAACATAATTTCTGGGTAGGTGGGCCAGGGCTGGCTGTCTATCTTTTCTGCCTACTTCTTATTTCCATTAGAGTCCCTTTATACTGAGAGTCAAGACAATTTGAATCCATTTCTGATTGGTTCCCGTATTTTAGGCCTCCACAGTGTCACAAACGGGAATAAAGATTACATTTTCACCAATTGCAAAGATTATAATCTGGAATGGACCAGGGAATTACGGGTTCGGCAAGGAACAAACGGAATGAGAGGAGGAACGGAGAAAGGCATTTGAGAATGGGCCGATCAAAGATTACGAAAAACGTTCAATTTCTGTAATTTTTATTCCCGTTTGTGACATCCATGAGCCGAATTGTCTTGACTCTCAGTATAAAGGGACTCTAATTTCCATACACTCATGGCTGAATTATCAATTCCTCCTACTTTTCCGAGTAATACTCCCAAGTAAGGCAGGTGCAGCAACACAACAGAGGGTTACCAACTTACATACAGTCCAGTCAGCCTGACTGATTCCTTGATGCTCTTAAATTTATTGCTGCGTCTGTAGTTTGACAAGCTAAAATGATAAGAAGACGATGAGTCAGTTGCATCCTCTGTGAGGGACAGGGAAAACGAGTAACATAGTTTCGTTTGGTGGGATTTGTGGGGAATAGATCACTAGACAAGGTACAAATTTAAGCATTCTGATACATGTTTTCTAACTAGAATTTCACATGGAACACGATTTTTGCATTGATAATTACTAGAATGAACTCCTAAGTAAGATGTTAGCTTTAGTATTTTACATTGTTTACAGGAACTTTAAATTGCCCCGGAACGAGAAATGCAATACTCTACGTCAAATTACGCACTAGAACGGTTGTGGAAGGCTTCTTAATCAAGCAGTTTTTCCCTTACCCTGTGTTGTTTAAAGTGTAAAAAACTTGTAATAACTGATTTGGAGCGCCAAAATTAGTATTATCATATTTTCATGCTGCTTAGACTATTACGGCTATATTTAGTGCTGAATTTGAATAACATAAACCATTGCGTTTTCATGAGCAGGAGGTTTGAATTAATGTGTCATGAAATACTAAATATCTTGGTTAGGAGTTAATTTCAGTAATTTTTTTTTGCGAATTGTGTTCTACATGAAATTTTGGTTTTAAGAAAAATGTATCAAAATGCTCAACTCTATTGTGCCTTATCTAGTGATCTATTGTGGAATGAAATGCGGATACTAAACGTGCATGGAGGTTAAATGCACCATCTGGTAATAATGACTGACAACAATCAGTCTATATTTACCCTGTAATTAACATTATTGACAGATTATTATGGTTCTACTTGCACTCCTCAGCAGGGATTTTAACGGTCTCCCGAGTCGAGTCTGTAGAGACTCAGACTCGGGCAGACCCACAGCAGTGGTGCTGGTCTGCCACCATGATCCCCTGGCAGCCTCAGACCACTGCCCTGATACCGGGTAACCACCGACGCCCGGTGTCAGGGAAGAGGTCTGAGATCCTTTGTCAACGGATGAAGAGGCTCAGGCTCAACGGCGCCTGTACGCAAACAGGGGTGAATATGCTGATTTCCGAGAAGTTCCTGTGGGCGCGCTGCCGAATCTGCTAGCCAGCCAGGCTTTCCCCAGCGAGTCTGCCCTCTAGAGAGACACTATCGGCAGCGAGTCTGCCCTACGGTGCAGCTCAGAGGGCCGACTCGATGGAGGTCTCGCGCTGATGGTCGACCCTGTCAAGGTGGTCCATACCCAAACTTGCTGTACAGAGATCGCTCCTGCACTGAGATCGCCTGCTTAGCCGACTCCCAATCCCTGCTCCTCAGTAACCTATTCCTTCAACGACAGAAAAAAAAGAAGCAAATAATAACTTACTTGAAGATAATTGGCAGAGAGCTTATTTTCATCATTTTCATCACATGGTAGATTTCCATTATTGGTTGATATTCCATACCTGAATGGGCGAACATAATTATAGCCATGCTTCTCAAGGTTGGCTCCTAACCTGAGGGGGTAAAAAACAGAGGGTAGTGATTAACCACGGTTCAAAACATGGGTTACCTGATTTAGTTATCCACAGACTGAAAAGCCACAATATTGAAAAATAGAGCTGAGGGAAAAAATAACACAACCAAACAGAATTTAGATCAATTTGTTCACTTGAAATGAGGATTGGAGGTCACCTAAGGTCTCCAATATAGCTTGATGTAGAAACTCAATGTTTTACTCCCCCCCCCCTTTCCCCCTCCAGGTTACCCTTAAAGTTTGTCTATTAATTACTCATACTTGAGCCTTTGCAACTTTAAACAAATTAGGAAAAATGGCAACATGGCAGTTTTAAATCGGACTGGACACTCTAATTGTTGATGTACTTATGTTAAAAGTACATGCATTTAGAAACAGTTTAGCACAAACAAGGACTTGACATCTTTTCCAGAGGATATTGAAGAGCCAAGATTCCAACTTGGACTTCCCCCTTGCAAACCCTCCCCAAAGTTGTTTGATGGTCCTGAAAATTTGGAAAGAGAAGATCTCAAATATTCGAGATTGAGCGACATAACTTGAGGGAAATTCAGGGAAAAGGATGGGGAGAAGTTAAATTTTTGTAACAAGCTCTTCAAGTTTTACTGTACAGCTCTAAAGAGTCCGATTGTAGTCTTCTCAATCAATTACTGGTTGCACTGTTGGTATATAACGGTCACCGACTTAACTGCTTGAAAAGCAAAGATTAAAATAGTATAACACTAAGCTCATCTAATGCCTTGTTACTTTAAATTTAACAGAGGAATTTTTTGCGGAGATCACTAGTCGCCTAGGCAAAAGTGTTGTAATATATTTTCAGGGAAAAGGCTGCAGAGGTGAGTGTGTCAGGAGGCAAATTGTGGGTCTTAGGGTGACCTCCCCTTCTTCCTAATTTTCCAGGTTTTCTATGATCCTTGGATTTTTCATCTCTCTAATTTTTAAATCAAAAAAAGCAAAAAAACAAGCATAGGGCAGTGCAAAGTACTGGTACTTTCATACAGAATTCTCTCCAAGTAAATAGTGAATTCTTCCTTGAAAATTCAAGCCTCCTAATAGTCCCGAAAAATTCACTTTTGACTGGGAGAGAGCTCTGTGTCAAAGCGCTGTGTAGTTATGAGACGAGGGAGTTTGCAATCCTCCTGATTAGGCATTTACTCTCCCTGAAAAATTTTGTCTTCGTGTCTTTCCTGGTCATCTGACCTGGAGTCTCTAGAAAATTCATACAGAATTCCACAGGTACCTTGAAAACATTCCATCGATCTGGATTTGTTGGCAATCTCTCATCAGAGATTTAACTGGCAATTTGAAATTCCACTTAAAACTGACCAACTTGAAATAGAGGAATTTATCGCAAAACTAGATGTGATGGTGTACTTTTTCAAATGATTGAGATCATAATAAAACATCAATACAGTTGCATGAGGTGACAATTGATCATTTCAATTTTCTTTCTTTGTTGTTATGTTCGAAAGTAATGAGTGTGCTGAGTACAGGTTTACAGTAATTTTTGGCAAAGCAGTTTGAAGATAAACGAAGCTGCTAAAACAATGATACAATGATTTTAACTACTTAGTGTCCGGAATCTTATCATCAGTGAAGAAGCATATTTTCTCAGTTACAAGTAGGTGGTCACATTTTTCTTCAGCTTTTATGTGTAGGAAACAATTAGAGTAAGATCTGGCTGAGTTGAATTGTCAAGGGACAAAGGGCAACTTTTGTCTTGAGCAACTTTTTGTCTTATTCACTTGGCTGCTTAGAACAAAAATGAGCTAAGTGATTTTACACATCTGAAAAGTAATTTTCTGGGAAGATTTTCATGATGTTCGATTTGAATACATGGTTTGAGAGAGATTTTTGTAGTCACAGAGGTAAACTGACCCATTAATATTTCAGTCATGCTCCTCTTCATAATCATGTTTATGATGATCTCTCTTTCATTTTTTCGTTGTTTTATTGTATTTTGATCAAGTACAGATCATTATCCTGTTAGATGGAAGGGTAAATATGTAAGCGTACTTATGTTCAATTGGAGAGTTGACTATGCTGTCTTGCTCCAATGATTGAGAGGGTGGAACAGTTGAGGGATCATCGAGGTCCACAGACAACACATGGAGGAAAACTCCGGTATTGAAAACTATTCGATTTGCAGCTTTCAGACTTATGGAAAGATCAAGTGTGGGATTTGGATTTGATAGATTAAATGATGTGTGAACTGTTAGACCATGTTTTACACATCGCATACTGATACAACTGTCCCAATTGGCAGCAAAGTCTAAAAAAAAATAGAATAGATCAGTAGATAAATATCAATAGAAAATGTGACTAAACTTTTAAGTCAAAAGTACAATTATTATGTGCATTATGTTGCGCTTCCTCCTCTAAGGTAAAAAAAAAAAAGTTTAACTATGTAATACTAAAAACCAGATTATTGTGATAACTAGCTTACTGGATGTCTCAAGTAGGTTTCCTTGGATTTTCCTTAAAGATCATAAGATACTGAAGATGTCTTCATTCATATACATATTTCAAAATTATGATTAGTTTTATTGGTGTCGATGTCGAGTTTGAGGTGAGGCAACATTACAATATTTCTGCAAATTTTAAGGCTTTATAATGAAATGTCATCACTCGTTCATGATCTTTTTTTATTCATTTATTTTTTTTTTTTTAAAGTAATTTTAAATAAACGATACCTAGATAACTGAATTCCTATTATAGTTTCATTTGATAACTTGATTAAAATTAAATAAAACGTTACCTTCCGCATCAAATGAGGCTGCAATGAGCTTACACTGGTAACAACTATGCAAGGCAGGTAAAGTGGTAATAGTAATGAAGGCTTTCCTATCTTCTTCCGGTACTGGCGTATCAGAGTTGCTGTAAGGACAACAAGAAGGAGCAATCTAGAGCACACTGATAATTTTACTTAATTTTAAACATATACTGTGGGAGAAAGAAAACATAGCTAACTTTAACAAATACCAGACTCAAAATTACCACTGTCCATCGATATTCATGCTAAGGAGGTACAAATTTCAGCTAGAGATGATTTTTTTTTTCTCTCATTCCCCTAGATCAAGAGCACATGGATATTTCATCAATTTCAAGCGTGATGCATTCTTGAAAAATGGCACTTAACTTCTTGGGGGTTTGAAATTTTGGGGAGAATGAAAGTACCCTGATTTGGATCGGAATAATCAGCTTTCAGTTTGAAATGTTTCAGAAAGAAGGTACATGAAGTCCATATCATCCCGAATATCACAAGCGTCATTTGAGCTTAGGGATTATGTTGCCAAACTTCTCAATCTTGTCCAATTTTTTACAAAAAAAGTCGGTTGAAAATTTAACCTTGCATTTCTTTGGTCATTGAGATTAATTCCTAAAATTTACATAAAAATATGCTCAAAAGTTTTAAAGAAAATGATGAGATGCCTGACAACAGCATATAAGCGCTACTGCCGCTTGTAATACTTAAGCTGTAAGAAGATGATGTTTTAATGTACAGAGCATATTAAATAAATAAAACGCCTCAGTTTTAGAGGGTCAAGCAGATTTTTGCTCCTATTGGTGATTTTTTCTAGCAGATTTTTTTTTACTTTCCACTGACAGAATAGATGAACTTACTAGTATCCACAGGCCACTATTTTATTAGGAATGGATGGCCACTGAGCTATGCTTATGGACAAAATATCACGGATTTCAAAATCGCCAAAAAGCTGGACTTCCCCAACTTTCACAGCAGCAGCAAAGGGACGGAACGCCCACCAATGCAGCTTGTATTTGTAAGGTGGGAAGCCAAAGTCTGCGGAGTGTTGTAATGGATTCCCATTGGAGAATGAATATGTAATGAGGAACTGGCCACACTGTGTAGTACCCATCAAAATTTGACTGGAAAGTAAAAGACAATAATAAGAATGTTAGGTCGTCAAGCTGCGCATGAGTTAGTTTCCTGAAAGATATAAAGTAAAGAAAAATTGTTTTCTTTTCTTTTGATTGCAATGGTTACCTTCCTAACTAAAATAGACATGAGCAACAAAGAGAGATGAGAATAATATGATGAACAATACCAACCAGTGTAAACCTAAAATGAAAAAAAAATTTTGACTTATTTTATACTGGCAGCAGTTTGTATCTTATCGATGGCCAAAATGCGAAACCACAACTTTCATTGCAGTGTTTCAAAATTTCCGTTTTTATTTTATTTTTTGAAAAGAAACTAGTCAACTTCACAGCTTGAAATTTTTACGAAGTATTCTGCTGATGGCAAAGAAATATCAAGAAAAAATTACTTAAACGTCAAGGAAAAAATGAACTATGATAGGAGGTTTGCTACGTCACAAACAGAGATATGTGGTTTTGCACTTCGGCCATCAATATTTCCAATATCTTAATTAAGCTCCCAGAAGGAATTTATGACTGGACTGTTGCAATTGATGACCAAAAAGCAGTGTACAACAGTTATCTGTCTTCGACTGCTGTCAGCTGTTTTGTCTGCAAGGTTTGTAAGCAAAGGATTTTATTTAGAAAGTGCATGATATTGAATTGCGGAAATTCGCCTAAAATAACCAAGGTTTATAAAACATTTGGACTCAAATTTGATCATTCTCAAGTTCTTTTTGCTCTTGTTTTTTATGGCTTCAAATAATCCAGGTGACAAATCAAAGGATTATTCTTAAGTTCTTCAATTTTTCTTCTGCTGGAGGAACATTGTTTAAAAATATTAAAAAATAGGACCAACTTGATTAGGTCTATCTGGGGGACCTCTAGTTGTTGAGACTCAAAAGTAACTAAAATTACACCTTAGGAGCCTCTTGCTAATTACCAAAACGGTTTGTCCAAAAAGTTCTACCTTGAAACCCTTGATTTTGAAGGTCAACAAACAAATCAAAATAATAATTATTTAAAAAAAAAGCTTAATTATCTTAATATACCTTTTAGCTATAATTAATAGCTAATAAAAACAGATGAGCAAGTAACAAAGCTATCAATTCAAGAGGTACTTACTTCCCAAGATGTAAAACATTCTTTAGATGGAACATTAATCGGTCAGGAATTCCATTGAATAAATATTTAGCTGGTTCACGTAAATTTTTTGCATTACGTTTGAATAGGCCAGAAATCTAGGACAAAAAATTAAGATACATTAGGACTTATCTGTGAGATTGTGCTCAGTTACTGGAAGTTTTAGTGAAAGTCAATCCTCCTCTACAGTTAATGCCAGAAGTTAGCTGATTTTTAAAGTGAGACATAAAATCTGTCATCCTGTTCCTAGCACTCAGTTTTAATGCTGAAATGAAGACAGTAGATCTTCTGTTTCACTCAAAATGTCCATTGACATTTTGAAAAAAATTGCAATTCGTGTTTTCTATCTGTGTTGTGAAATAAGGAGCCCAAATTGTGGATCGAATGGAGACACAAATGAAATTTAAAAAAAAAAAAAATGTAGAGTACTCTGAGAAAGAGGTGAGTTTGGCTTCAGCAATCCTAATGATCAAAACAAACAATCTCCCCTTTCATTCTGACATTTGAAATTACTTAAGTAGTTAGGTAGGTTAGTAGGAGATGATGTGCGACTGAACACATTGACAGTGAAACTGCAAAAACGCAAATCTCCGTTGCAGTGTTTCAAAATCTCCATTCCTATTTCATTTTTTAGAAGGAGACCTAACCAACATCATGGCCTGAAAATTTCATCGAATTTTTTTACACAAGGTGAAAAATCACTTAAGTTTCCAAAAAATAGGTAGTTTTCCATACACCTAGAATGTAAAGTATGAAAGGAAGCTTACAACACCACAAACCAAGATAGACGTTTCTGCAGTTTTACCATCGATATTCAACACTTCTTGGAGATCTTGGTGCTTCAAGCAGCTGTCCCTCTTGCTTGGGTCGGCATGGAGTGCTCATAACATTTGTTTTCATACGTACGTATTAGAATATTCTAGTGGTTCCTTGAGGGGACCTTGAGCCCTGTTACCTGATAATGAGAATCTCAAGCTGGCACAGATGGTAAGCGTCTTATTCACTATATCAAACTCTAAAAATGAAAGGAGATTTAACTTCTCATCGAGCATTACTTCCAAGATAAGCAATCATATATAGTAATGCTGCAGATATTCAAGTTGACTATAAGTAAGAGATTTTCCACACTCAATGGGATTAATTACCTTGGTAGGTACTTACAAATCCAGTGGCGATATCGAAACTGACCGTGATTTCTCAGTTTCAGAGGAAATTGAGAGGTACTGCCGTCTGCCGATTATTAATGAAATGCAGAGGTGTTGGAAGCTTGGGAGACAAAGCACATAAAAAGTAGGTCAAAGATGTTCAACACATGCAAAACTGATTATTTTAGGTGATGAGCATGGTGATCGAAATAAATATTGTTGATAAAGCAGTGGTGAAAGAGTACTCTTAGGGGTTGCTGTTCAGCCACATCCTAGGGATGATGCAAAGGTGCAAGTCCTCAACAAAGCAGATCGATAAAATGCAAGAATTAACGAAATATCGGATTGGGAAATGATTTAAAATAGTTACCTCACGATTCCTGAGTTTCGTTAACAAATTAATGTTATGATTTTTCTTGTCGAAACTCATCATCTGACAGAGACAATGGCTTGCAAGATATCAGACACAAGTACGGATGAAATAAATCCGCAATCAAGACTTAAATGGTCATTGTTATTACGATCTTAAAGTTCGATGATCTGAGACTGGCCATTCGTAGTTCGGTTGTCGGTGGGGATATTGAAATAATATGCCAAAATTAAAGCTTTTCTTCAGATCATAAGACGCACGATGCTTGGTTAGGACCAAAACCACGGAAAGATAAACGCGAATCCGAGACTACGAGTTCATTTATCACGTCTCATTACAGGTGCAGAAAGTATCCTTAGTTCACGAATTAGGAATGAAACAATTTCGGATTATCCAAAACTATCAAAAAATCTCATTTACTGGCAAACCTCGGTCGCGATCAACATTCATAGGTATGCGCACACACACTTACACTGATAATAATCTTTGATTTTGTGTAGTGGTGAGAACGTAAATAAAAAGTGGTACATGAGACCCTGTGTTGCCTAGTGGGGCAATGTTTGTCATTGTTTGTATTTTATTCAGTTTCTAGCTTTTTATAAGCACGAGGGGAACGAGAAACCAATTCAAAAGTGTGCTATTTGTATGTTTTTCAGTATTATCTCATTGTTCTTTCTTGTGATTTTTTCAGGGCATCAATTGAGGAGCAAAATATTAGATTTTGGTGCTCAGAGGTTGCTTTGACAACCCTGCAATAAGGGCATTTTAGTGTTGTCGGATTGCAATTATTCATGAATAAATGTTAGAGGGATTTTTAGATTTATTTGACTCAAGCGGCTTCACTGTACCAAGTGCCCTAACCTCAAATAACAATTGTGAATGTGAATGTGATTTGTGCTCTCGTGCTCTCAGAATCTCAGAATCGCAGGTCCTTAGGTCCAATTTAGGTCCCCCCCTATTCCTCAAAACTCATTTTTATAGACGTACCTAACTAGCATAACCATTCTTAACTCCCTCCTAGCCAGCAAACAGTTTAGTACTAAAATTATGTTGGAAAAAAAACCATCGGAGCAACAGTTTGTCTCCTCAACGCTCAATCACATCTTGGAGGATTTGCAGGAAGCAGAAGCACAGGGCTTTAATCTTCCGAGTAAGTAGCTAAAATTCGACCTTACCTGCATCTATAATTGCATTTTTTTATTTCTGACGTACATGAATGGGTATCAAGATCAGTCGTTAAGACTTGCTCTAGGCAGCATGCTGCGAAGGCATCTCTCGTGCAGCTTTGTCAAATGCTTACTATTCTGGCTCATGTGTCGCCTTTCAACTAGCAAGTTAATTGTTGGAACTTAGAACTTCTGTCAGCGAGTACAGAAATTGAGAATTGATTCATTGCATAGAGCGGATGCATCGTAGGTTGAGACGAGTGTCAATCCCTGATTACCTCCAAATCTGCACTACGCAACAGGTTAATACATGCAGTCAGATGGCACCACTGATGAGTGGTGACCTAAACAATACTTGACTTTTGTCTCAACATACGATGCGTCTGCTCCAGGACAGACATGGCCTCATTTTGTTCTGTCTCATCGTTCTGATTTATTTCTCACTATTAATGGATGAGTGCACGTGCAGGCTTCTTCAAGAGTTAAAATGAACGCTTTTTGAAGTCTGTCACACTGATGATGTCTATAGAGCAACCTTAGTCTGTATTAAGTCGACAAAACCGCTTTCTAAGTGATTATGCTATATGGACGACGCTCAGCAGAAAGGGACGAAGCCTTAACAGCTATTGCCAAACTTAACTTGACAATTAAATGTTTCGAACGAGAATGTTTGTGCGGATTCTTTTGAAAATTTTTAGGAATTTGCTTTGCGCTGTGCAGAAAATTCACAGAAATCTGCACTAAATCCTGAATGTTTTTCATGTACAAAATTCATCTGGCCCATTAAATGTAGCACTCTCTGATGTGGCTTGGTTCATTTCTGCTTAAGGTCTATTTGGATTGTATTTAGCAAAAAGGAACCAGCGCGATCACAGTGTTGTTAAAATGTTGCTTCTTCATAATTATCTAAAAAATCTCCGAGAGTATCGAATAGTTTTAGCTTCCCATCAAAGAAGTGTTAGTTTTCAAGGAAAATAATTGTGTAAATTTTAATACTGTATGTATAACGGGTATTTTTGAAAGAATATGAGAAGTTGCACAATTTGGAAAACACTGCAATTGCGCTGGTTCCTTTTTGCTAAATGCGATCCGTTTATTAGTTCCATAGACCTATAACACAATCTAGACTGCACACTAGGCCCAACTCAAGGCGGAGGAGGTGAGACAGCGAGGGGGGTAAAACAGGGTAAAGATGCACCTTCAGCTTATTTGATACAGCCTGAGATATATGTCGTACCACATGACGCTCATTATAGAAAAGCGGCCATGCGTGTGCATGTCTGTTTTGCCTGAGGGTGATTTGAGTTCGCAGAAATTCATTGGTACTTAGGACTGCTGGCAGCATACCTGGACTACAGACCAAGGGTGACTGAATGATACCAGTTGCAATTCAGGTTGCTTATCGTCCCACCGAAATATCCTAATGTACGGTCTAGGTCGTGTCTTACGTTTATGATTAGTTCTAATACGTACCCTCAGCGACTTGTTATCCTCAAGGTTAAACTGCCTCTTACTGCCTATCGAGGTCATGTTGAAGTTTTTGCATCTAAAAGAAGGATCAGAATACAATATCTCACGGTGCTAAGTTACTGTAATAATTTAAAACCAGTAATGATGTGAATGTCAATCTTTGTAAAGTGCTCTTAAGTTATTTAGATAATTGGCTGTTGCCATATTAAATGTAGAATATAATCTTTATGTCACCTTATAATTTAGTTAAGTAAAAAACATTTGTTTTAGGTCCTGCTGAGGTTCTTGGTGGTGAGAAAGAAGCTGACACTGATGCTGAAAATGTTATTGCAACCAAGCACTATGAAACAATCAAGAAGCTAATTGAAGATAGTAGTAACTTAGAAGAAGTTTTGCAACAGTTGAAGAAAGCCAACAGCACTCTTCAGAACCAATACAAAGAACTCAAAGACATGACAAATGCTGTAAAAGAAGCTAGTGCAGCAGCTTTACATTAATTGTTGCAGTTACTAGTGGTATTTATTTTATTAAGTTTCTTGTATAGTTTTTATAGAAATTTAGCGTTATTAGTGACGTAATATCTAGTATGAAGCATTTTTGTCCGTACATAGGTTGTAAGGCATCATTTCCACGACCATCAAAGTTGCGGCTTCATATTAAGAAAATTCACCTCAAAGAGCAGCTTTTTGTATGCACCTATTCTAATTGCGACAAAAATTACACACAAGCAGCACACTTGAAGCGACACATTGAAATTAATCATGAACGCAGTGGTGGCACTCCATTTCAAGCCAAATGCTCTTTTGCTGGCTGCAAGGCTGTGCTGTCCACCAAGTGGGGTTTAGTTCGTCACGAAAGAACTCATATGTCTAAGGATGAATTCAAATGTCTACATTGTTCAAGATCTTTCACCAAAAAAGTATTCTTAGAGAAACACATGGTCACTCATCATAGCCATGGACAGCCGCATTACCAATGTTCGCAATGCCCTCTAGCGTTTAATACTCATCATCGTTACCATCAACACATGTCCCGAACGCATGCAGTCTACTTTTGCAATCGTGCAGGCTGTAACATGGTTCGCTTTGAAGATCATAATAAGTTGCGGGCACATGAATCCTCCATCCACTTTCCGGTCAAATTTCAATGTGCTGAATGTAGTAAGAAGTTTTCACGTCGGATGTTTCTTGTGGAACACATTAGCTCAGAACATGAAGGTTTATCTTTTCAATGCCCCCACAAGGATTGTGAAAGAACTTTTTCATACAGACGCAATCTGAATACACACTTGAAATCGCATGAAAACATACGCTTTTCCTGTGCACATTGCGGCAATGAGTTAAGCACTAAACAAAAGTTACGACAACATATTGAAAAGATACACCAGAAATTAGGTAAACCCAGAACTTTCTCTAAAAGCAGCAAAAGTGTATTGGGAAATGTTTTGGGTTTATATCATGATCATGATAAATTGATGAATGTGAAAGCTGAAAGCTTGGTATCCAACTCTGTCAGTAAAATTGACCCGTTAAGAATAGAAACATCATCAGATACTGATAAATTGATGAATGCGAAAGCTGAAAGCTTGGCATCCAACTCTGTCAGTGAAATTGCACCATTAGAAATAGAATCATCATCTGATATTGATAAATTGATGAATGCGGAAGCTGAAAGCTTGGTATCCAACTCTGTCAGTGAAATTGCACCGTTAAAAATAGAAACATCATCAGATAATGAGATACTTGGGTTTTAAAGTAAATTATTCCTATCGAGTAACCTGAAGAGACTCAAGGTCTTCAAGATTTGTTCAAGCGTTCAATCCCATGACAGCATACGTACCTTCTTGGTGAAAGTCGGCTTTAATATCTTGATTTTCAAGCTGCTTATAATTTTACCAATCCTCCGGCCTTTTTTCCTTTCAATAATGTGTCATATGTTTGAACAGTATTTACTGCTATTATCTCTTACATCTCTAGTAAGACCTTAAACTGTACATTGAAGGAATCATCATTGATTTTGATGGTTTCTATTTTCTTCCTTTTCTTAGTTCGATTGAATTAACTGTTTTTTTTTTTTAAAATGTTTGAGATGAGCACCTGAGAGAATTGATGGACTAAAATGGTAACACGGAGGAGCAATATCTGCAGTTCCAAATTTATAATCTTTCCTTAAAAGTAAACATTTGCTGTTTACACACATGTAGAAAGTTAGAAAGCCTGCAATACAAATAAAATGATTTTTATTGTTTCTTCTCAGTGCGTCTTAAATCGATCAGATCATTGTGAATATTTGACTCGTAAGTAAGTCCTCCCAAAAATTTCATCTGAAAAATGGTATCTTCTATCACCGAAATTGTTGCAAAATGGTATGATGAGTGAATGAAGTCAATTACAATATGGCAAGTTTGTTGATCCTAAATTTACGCCTTGCGTATTGTTTTTATTCATCCTACAACTTTTTTTGAATTAGTGATTATTCTTTTCATTTATGTATCACAACTAAAAAACCAAATGCATGAGCTTATTAAACGCATTTCTTCTGATTTTGAGATAATTGAGAACTAAGGTGAGAACTTGAGTGTGGCAAACTTTTTTATGTAGAATTTTTTCTTGTGTTTCATGGCAGTCTTATCCTCATGATTTTGCTTTTAACTCTCTGTTTTTATCATAGACTACCTTACAAGAATGGCATAAACAGCCTAAACTTGATTTGTTTACAAATCGATGACGGAAGTGCAAAATCAAGTATCTCCATTGTGATGTTTTAAAATTTCCCCTCCTATTTTATTTTTTTCAAAAGAAACAAGCAAACTTTATTGCTTGAAATTCATACAGAATATTTTGCGACCAGAGAAGAATAATCAAGAAGTTCTCAAGAAATTGAGTTGACTATGATCAGGGAAAATGAAGTGTGACAGGAAGTCCTCAACGTCGCAAATGGAGGTACATGGATCCCGTACTTGGGCCAACAAAATGTCAATAAACAGGCTCATGCTCCGGACCCTTCAGTTATTTTTATATGATTGTGAAACTGCTTACCAAACCATGTATCTCGGTTAAAGACATTTCAGACTTCCTGCTGTACTATAATTTTTGAATGGGAAACTACTCATCGTCTATTCTTGAAAAATTCTGTGCTTTTTCTACTCTGTGCGATAAAAACTCCAAGAAAAGTTCAAGGAATAATATTGATTTGTTCTCCTTTAAAATAATTAAATGAGAGTAGAGATTTTTAAGTACTATAAACTAGACACGTGGTTTGGTAGTTTCATTGTCGATATAATGTCTTGTAATTAAACGGATTTCATAGGAATAAACCTAATTAAATTAAGTGCCATCTAATTTTCTTTCATGTCTTATTTTTTCGACAGAAAAATAATGACAACTTTGACTTGAAATTTTGTGAGTATATTCTTTATAAGCTGGAAGAAATGCTCAAAAAGTTTCAAGGCATCATTTTGTTTGTTGTCCTGTCAATAGAATAATACTTGAGGTAAAATTAGGCAATGTTAAATGCAAGTAAGTAGTTAGACCATTAAATTCATGCATTCCTGGTGGTGCAATGTTCAGTCGGAAGAAACATATCCAAGAATGAAAATAGACACTGAATAGAAGTCTTCTTTTTCTAAATTTCCCCTCAGTGACTGAGCAGCTGATATGAAATCAGACTGCTCCCCCACTACTCTTTGAACTGCTTTTCGGTATTATTAAAATCTTGTAGTAGATGAAGTAAGCAGAAACACTATTCATCATCCGTTTGAGCCGCGTGAAGATTTTCTCATTTAGTTAATTAATAATGGATTCATCTGTAGTTAAAATGAAAAGGAGGCATGGAGAGCTATTTTTGGATGGAATACCAAATTATTTTAGATTTTTTTAATCCTCTCACGTTGCACATATTTCTGAATATTCAATATCATTTTATATTATTATAGAGAAAATTAATGACATTCAATGGCACGGTTTTCATGACTTTCTTATGTAAAGTCAAATATTCAGTATTATTGTAATTTGAGTTTTTAAGACAGGTCAAATGCCATCAACAAGCATATTTTATACTTTACTATTTTTATATTATTGTTATTAACTATCCAAATTTTCTTATTATGCACCAAATGTTGTTTTGTTAAAAAAGCTTCAAAGCCATGGAATTTCAATACATTAATCTTGAAATTATCTACTTTTTTATTTTTCAATATATATCTCATAATAATAAGAAAATGGAAATAAGTGTTACTAAGCCGCCAAACCCGAGGATGTCGACAATTTAAGTAACTTGGCTTTTCCAAATATTCGTGACCCCAATGCAGATGTTTCTTGGCTCTAGCCTAAGTACAGAAAAAAAATTTGCTTTTCAAGGATGCTGAGGTGCAAAAAATAAAATCAAACTAAGAAAACGGAGTAATAGTTGTAACAACTGTATTTGATAAAAATGGATTTTGAAAAATCAGGTACTAAAAGTATGTATGTATTGCATGTTTACGGAATGTAAGGGCAAATGGACAAGGCAAATTAAATGGGTGCAAAGATTAATCAACGAAAAACACAGCAGAAAATCAGATCTTTAATTTTGCTCATTCTAGTCAGTAACTCGAGCAGTACTGATTGTATAAGCTAGATTGGACTAAATCTGCGGGAACTCCTGAGCTTCCATCTAAGACTGGATACCAGCTAAAAAAGTTACCTAGAAATAAGTATAGAAACAATCAGTACATTTCTCACAACAAGAATCACTTTCAAAGGTCATGTCAGCGCAGTTAACACTTTGTTGACTAATTGATAGGATATATCCAATCTAAACCTAGTGATCATCTCGTGACAGAAGAGTTGATCAAGATATGACATCAACCTTGACGTGGCGCGCTTTTGAGTTGGTTCAAAAAATTTCAACAATTTTATTAAAGCCTCCTTTATAAAGCATCATCCATCGTTTTTTACCCCTAAGCTTTAACCTGCTTTCCTCTCACTTCTGAAGAACTGTTCTTTCAAATGCATGCAAAGGGATAATATTGAAGAACTTTTGGACAGCAAATTAAATTTTGGAATTGAGCTCAAACCTTTTGCCTCTCATGCCCCTTTTCAACTCAGGATACAGTCTATAGTAGCACAGAGCTGAATTTGCTTTCTTCAAAGTTGGTTTAATACTGTCCTTTTGCACGAATCTGGAAAAACGATTCTACAGAGGTAGGAATACCATTTTCAAAACTCCGTCAATCAGTCAATATTTGACTCACAGAGCTTCACAAGGTTTCATTCTTTTGGGGACTTTATTGAAGTGGTGCGGAAGAAGGTGATTTCTTTGTCTACTGACGCCCCCCCCCAAATGGAATGAAGGTGGGGGTGAGGTGAGCTGACCAAAATTTGGTAAATTTGTGTCGTAGACCCTTGCTGAAGGCGAGAGTGATGAACATTGTGAAAAAGTGAGGCAATTCATTACTGATGTATAATGAAAGATACTTTTTTTTAGTTTAGTAGGAGATTTCAGTACTTAAAAATGAAGAAATAGAGGAGTTAAGTATATTAAGTAAATGAAGAACAGGTAGATAAGAGGATGTATACCTACTTCCTTTTGATAGATTCAAAGTCTGTCATCAAAATGGATAGAATATCGCATGCTGTCACAAAGGAATAGCTGTAATGAAGGCGAAGAATCAACTAGCAATACGTATTTGCCTCCTTCCCTTCCTTCCAGTATCAATTGAAGAAGTTGAAGATTTTTGATGAGTTATGAAATGTAGCGACTACCATATGGACCAAAGATTTTGTTGCTGTCTTCAAAAAAGAAAATCCATGATATGCATGGTTTGATTTGCTCAGCAGGGCAAATCGCACTGTTAATAGGAAAATTACTCTCCGCGTTTTAAAACAATTAATTTACTTTTTTTCCATAGAGGGAACCTGCTAATAATGTTACGAGTACAAGTGATTCCTTCTCTTCTCTAAATTGGCTCAATAGGGGTAGGGTTGAGGCTTAATAGAGTTGCAAGAACCAATCCATGAGTCAGAAATTTTAGAATTTCTCAGAATTCTTTAAAGAATTCCTGCAACTTTATACATTCTATACAGGACCTCTTGTATTAATGTACAGCCTATTAACATGCAATAGTTTTAACAAACTTGGCTGGACTGAATATCAAAACCTGTTTCGGTTTTTGATTCTGCGAACGGAAAATGGTATCTTTTCTTGTACAAAAGACCCTTACCCAACAATAAGCCACTTCCAGCCTCAGCCTGATCTTCAAAATACTTTCAGGGTCGATGGAAAATCACTTCCTGAGTCCAAAACAATCATGGTTTTTGAAACCTGATAATTGGAGGGGAGGTGAGAGGGTTAAAGATGAAACGTTGAAACTGTATACTTTCTAAACAGTTCGTCATAGGAAGATGATCTTGGTCTGAGAATTAAAGAAGGCCATCTGCTTTTAGCTAATGTTAACTAAACTGGTCCATTTTGAACTTTTTTCCATTTCGGCTATTTGCACTCGCAAGTAAAGGAGAATTAGATTTTGAGGCTCGGGAGCTTGAGAAGTTTCAAAATTTTGGTAACTAATAACTTGATCTAAGGCTAAGAAAAAAAAACAAATAGATATTTACAGACATACACAAAATGACACTATGAAACAAACGGGATAAACATTGTAATATTATAAAAAAAGGCCCTGACGTTTCAGGACATAACAACCCCTCCTTCAGCAGTACAAGTAAATGTTAAAATTAAAACTGGAAAATTAAAATTTTAGCTTATTTCCAAAGATTACCACTGAAGAAGGAGTTAAATTTCCTCCAAACATTCGAGTTCTTTTTTAAAACTTTACTTCTGTTATCCCATTTTTTTGTATGTATTTGTTTGCCATTGTGCTTTTGTGTGTTTTAGGGCTGTTGAAATTGTTTTAACTGTTATACAAATACATGTATCTATGTAGTCAAGACAAGGTAAACGGGGAGAGGGCTGAAAACATGACACCATGCATTGAGAGATGTTTCGGCACTCATCAATGCCTTTTTTAGTTTATACCAAATCTTTTCAGCAATATTGAGAAATGACCCAAGTAAATTAAAGACGAGGAGGGAAAAAAAAAGAAAAAAATATTAAGGAGACATTCTGATATTGCACAAAAATAAAAAAGTATATTATTCACATTAATACTGAAAAAAATATTTTTAAGTACAAATAATAGATAAATTGTTGATATTGCCCTAAGAATATAAAAAATTATGAGCTTTGAGTTATAATATGTTTCCAATGACAACTTTTCCAATCCGTCAAACTCTAGACAAAAAGTCAAAGTTACAGTTATTCAATGCACCTTTCTGCACAAATATATATAACCAACAAATGCTTAAAAAACATAAATATATTCCGTGGGTATTTCAGGCAATATGATTAATAAGTACAAGTAATTTTTTGTGAGAATAAAATGTGGATATTTGTTTAAGTATGTAAGACTACAGGCGTAATTATGCGTGCACTGAAAAGAGTGTGCGCAAAGTGAAAATGGTGTCTTGAAATTCAGGGTTGAAGTAAATATGTATAGCAATGATAGAACAGAATTTGAAGAAGGCACTTTGTTCATTAAATGCAAGAAAGAAGCAGGCTAAGTAAAGACGTTACAAGAAGTCGATCGTTACTTACAACTTAATCCTAAAAAGCTGCTTTAGAAGCAATCACAGAGAAAAACAACTGGAATTAAAACAAAAAGGCTCTTGGAAAAAGGCACCATGATTGAGTGTCATCAGGTAGGCAGATAGATGCACAATTTGATAGTGAATGGCAAAAAGAAAACCTATAAATTTGTAATACTGGAAATTTCCTGTCAATTTTATTTTTTTCAATAGAATAGTATCCAACATAATTTTTGAGGATTTATAACATATTTCTTTTCTCTTTCAAAGGTATTCTCCGAAAATTTCATGAGAAAATAATGATTAGCTTCCTCGTAAAAAAAATTGATGACAGAAATTTGGAAACACCGTTAAACTTCCTACAGACTTAGCTAAAAAATAGTTTTTCCCAGCTTTTTCTTCATGGAAAAGACACGCACTTGCTTTTTTCTTCATCCGGGGTTTTGATGAGAAGAAGAAAAAAGAAATGTGATTCGTACCATTAATTCTGAAATTAACCTTTAGTACCTCAGGTTCCCATTTCTAAGTTACAATTGTTTGAAATCTGTGATCTAATATTCATAAAAATTCGAATGATTAAGGAAAACTGAGCACAAGGAAGACAATTCAATATTTTAAATGAAATTTCACAGTGTTCCCAAGTTTTCCGCATACATTTTTGGACCGAATCCCTGCTTTAATATTTCCTGATTTCCTAGCCCTGTCGACACCTTGATGACAATCTTAAACATGTGTCTCTATTTTTACCATTGAGAAATCGATGCAAACTCGTTCAGTACGTAATGGTGCAAAGTGATACCTTGATAAAACTCAAAATTCCGCTGTCTCTCACATTTTTTTGAATCCCGAATTCTTCAAAGAGTTACATATTAATACTTTGAATATATTTTTATTTTTTGGTGTCTTTTAAATCCCTTGCACTAATAAAATAGTCTATTAAAACAGTGCCAGATAAATAGGATTGACACTGACTAAAGCTTCAAATTCCAACATTTTTAAAATGAGAGGCTACAAAAAGTATCCATGCCAAAGTGTGAAACCACTTATCTCCATTGCAGTGTTTCGAAGTGTCTGCTCCTGCTATTTTATCTTTCCGAGTAAAAACAACCCAACATGATGACTTGAAAATTATATGGAATATTCTTCTAATGGAAGAAAAATTAAAGACTTTTTTAAGAAATTACAGTGACTAGTTTTCCACAGAAAAAATAAAGTATGACATGACATGAGGTCTGCAACGCTACAAACGGAGATAATTACGTGGTTTCGCATTTGAACTATCGATGCTGAATAGCTGAGAAAATAAATTTCCCTCCTAAAAACCTGAATGGAACAAGGGTACCTTTCAGAAACGGTGCTACTAAGACCATGCAACAGTTTCTCTGTTTTAAAAATCGAAAAAAAAGATAGGTACTTATTATTTTAAATTATCTGCATAAATCAGAATATTGGTTTTAAAAAAATATATTCTATATTCTCAATATTCTTTCCTCATCAAGTAAGCACAGAACTTTCACTATCAAAGTGCTGTTGCAACTGCGAAATGCTCTTGTTCCATTCAGTTCATGACTTATCACTTGATAAGGCTGTATTAGTTTTCAATGAAAGCTTTGCTAGGTACTTAAGAAATTAAAACTCTCAGTGGAACCCAAATCTTACAATCAGAAGATGGATAGTGTGTCATCTACAGAAAATGTACTATAATTCATCACAGCAATTTAATTTCTTTTTCAGACAGACACTGTGATAAAACCAGAGGAGTCGCATGCTTCTTGCTTCGTAATAACTCCCTCTGAGATGCCATGGCTATTCTTGGAAAAAAGTGCAAAATTTGGAATGTATTTAAAGCATTCTATGAAATTGCACAGTATATTCGAGAAATAATTATTTATGCCTTGTTCTATGGTCGTCTTGAGAGCTGGAAATTGTTTGAAAAAAATGCTTTAATTCAGGACTTGTTATAAGGCTTATGCTCTATTCTTGGTATTTGAGACGGATCTCATAATTCATATTAATAAATGTTCAAAGCAATATCTGATGTAATTCCAGCAGAAACAGAACGTAAAAATAAATACATCGTTGTCAGTTTTCCTTTGATTCTTACTGACTAGTAAAACGTGGCAGACTTGAGTTAGGCACAACCTAAAATGCTTTGAGGCAAAGTGGATACTTATGAACCTCAATTACTTTAAACCTAGCACTAATGCCGTTTTAAGCAGGTAACAACTTACTTAAAATAATGGTAACAATATAGAGTTTGGTAAGTACAAAAAATGTCTCCCTCAATAGAAAAAAACAATGGTAATGATAATGAGAGTTAGAATGACACTTATCTATGTCAAAGAATGAATAGATTGAAGTATTCCAGTCATCTGTATCTGTACCTATAATCTGAATTTAAGCATCAATTCAAAATGTCTGATTTGTACTATTTCATAACTAAATAACTTAAATTTTTTGGAAGGTACTTAACTGGTCTTCATGTAGGAAAAATAATTTACCCTTGGTTACTTGCATCACAGTACTTAGAATATTTAATTTTAAATATTAAATTATTAATATGAAACTTTTCAAAATAAGTAAAGCCCCTAAGTTTATAGTTGTATAAATGTACTAAAAATTTAAGATATAAGAGCTAAAATTTTATCCTAGCGTATAAAATTTAGTTCCATTCATCCATTTGCTCCGCCTTATTTTTTTAACAGAAAAGCCGGATGATATTGAGTATTTTCAGAAAAACTGCCGAGAATTTTTTGAACTGACTTTAGCCGAAAAGAAAAAGATACACCGCAATGATGCTAAGATAGAGCAATTTCACTTATCCTTCAAAAAATGATTCGGCCTAACACAGCCTGGCGTCCACACACATTTATGAGAGTAATGGTAGTGCGTTTAGGGGGGAGGGGGGGGGGAGGCCGTTTCCTCTAAGTTTTCAAGGATTTTATTTCTTTATGATGATTTTACCAAAAATTTTGTCTAGATGTACCTGAATTTCAAACTTTTCCCAGCGAGAAACTTTCCCCAGGATCCTCTCGAGTTCCAAATTTCCCCAAAGGTTTCTGCCTATTCGCCTCCACTACTTGAGAGAGTATTACTACATCTACGAAACGCTGCCAACTTGCGACAAAGAACGACGAGGACGAGAAGGGACAAACAGACTTATTTCAGTCAACCCTCAGAATCAAAGAAAGTGATGGTGGACTAATAATGTACTAAGAAAGCTGGGAGTTATGAAGATAACTCCCTAGGTTGAAAAACTAGTGAATTAAAAATTCTGATACTTGATTCATTTCAAATCAGGGCATCTACTAGTAATAAAAAACCAAACTTGGGGACTTTCAGGGACTTTTAGGGGTATTTTTTCAAGAAAGTCGGGGACTCTTTTCCCAAAATAGTAAGAGAAAGGGAGCTAGTTAGAGCGTTAAAAGGTGAATTTTATGCAACTAATTTTACAAGTCATGTTGAGCCAATGAAAACGTACGAAAAACCAAGCAACGCTTCAGTTTCTTTATTCCTGGTTATACCACGCCGCCAAAAATTTGAAAATGCCGATGTTGAAGACGATTTTTGTCACTTTTTGGGGACCTGAACAAGAACATTGGGGACTTTTGGGGATATCGGGGACACCCTTCCAATATCGGGGACTTGTGGGGACCAGTAGACACCCTGCATATGCTACTTGGTGTTTGATGTCCTAAAATGAACATAGGCTGACATTCGTACATTGATTTGGGACAATAAAAGGCAAAAATTGTTTTCTTGGGTTTATTAGGAGCTATCCCCCATTTCAAAGGAGAAATAATATCTGCATACATCTTCTCTGACCAAAAAGACTCCATGCGAGACGAACATTAGCCAATGACAGGGTCTGTTTCAAGGGTAAAATTCCAAGGCTGACTTCCAGAGTGAGACAGAAAATCCACTATACAGTCTCTCCTTTTTCACAACAGCAAATTTTGTATAGGTAGGTGTAAAAGATAAATTGACTCCCTGTCTTGGCTTGAGGATTTATATTTGGAAGCCTATTTTCAGGGTGATCTAAATTCCTGCACCGCCAGCACCCCTGTAACCTTAGATCAAATTGAGACTGAGACTTGAAATTTTATGACTGCTCCTAAATCAGTGGAAACGACTTTTGGGACCCCCCAAAATTTTAAGAGGATCGCCCCAAAGAGGGAAAAGAAGCCCGGGGATTATAAGGGTGGTGCTGGACTTTTGAATCACCCTGTATACTACAAATTTCTTGAAGTTGAAGTTGAGGGTGTCTCTTACGATTAGTATTGGAGCAAAAATATCAAGCCAAATAAAGCAGAATGGAGAAAAAGCAGAGGACAGATAAAAAGATGAGAATCTGATCGCCTAATTCAAGTCAATTGGTTAAGGATGATATGATTTGGATTTCAGTTGATTATAGACATTATGCGATGACCTGTGCAAATTTTTGGTTCAAAGACATGAGAAGAGAGATATGTTTGCAACTATGAAAAAACATTCACCGAACCATAAAGTCATAGAAGTTTACCTGAGTATTCAAGAAAATTTTGCGGTGAATTAAATTGAAATTAAGAAAGTCTCTAAATTCATTATGAATAAGACTCATTTAGAATTATGATTACTTCCCTTAGTGTTTTGCTATGATAAATGAACAATCTGATATTAGAGGATATGTTCTTATTCTTGACAGCACCCAAAAGAGATTAATACGATTCATTGTCAAACCAATGGGATTTTTTGATTCAGGTTTATAAAGATAACGGAGGATATCAAAATTATTTCTTCCTTACGGTTGAGTTATGGTGAGATCAGTTTGGTGGGAACACAATTTTAAAAATGTTTGATATCTCAACATGTGAATAAATGAAAAGTTTACGTCAAATTTGACAGAAAAGGGAAAATTATTCACATTAGGAGCCAGAGTCGATTAAACGAGGAATTCAGGGGTATCTAGATCTCAATTTTCTTTTTCAAAAAATTTTATAGACATGGATACTGTTCCACTTCGAGAAAAGCCAGGGTCATTCAAAACCAAAATCAGGTAAATTAAAGAATTCTCTGAATGTGAACTTGCCTCTGGGTTTAAATTTCAGATGTTCTTCAATGAATTGACAAGGGCATTGGGAAGAAATACAATGTCTGGGAGGATGAGAGTGACCGCCTCTTCCCGCATCGATGTTCAAAACCAACCTTCCTCGTGCATGAAGTTTGGTCCAACGTGATGCATAGCGCAAGAACAGCATCACCGCACGTTCCTGTAAACCCATCGGCAGAGTTCAATTAGTACCCATCGAATGCGGGAACAAACAGTGATACATGCAAGAGTTAGAGCAGAAAGAAGAGCACTAGAGCGAAGACAGGATCTGGAAGCGGGCAATCAACACCTTTGCACAAGACCATTTTCTACCAAAGGGTAAAGAGTAAACAGTTGCATTTATTAGGTAGTGTATTTCAATATTCTGCACTGACAACTTTGCAGATAATCAGTTCTGTCCGATGACATTCGCAAAAATTTTGCTGTATAAAAGCCAAGATTTTCTCCATTGAAAAATGCAATTCGGATTTTCGACAAGCCTGATTTTCCTGCACTCCTTGCATGTACCATTTGAGGACTTTTGATCAAAGTGAGGTTCTTGTGACCATTTTTTTTTCTACGTTCAAGTATTTCAAAGAAGAAAATTCAATTGATTTCAATTGAGGTCAGTAGAACATTCAACCGTTCAATCAGTATTTTGACACTGTTCTATTGGTCATTTTTATCAGGGGTACTTCCTAGTTGATAGACGTAAACACAATAAACTGCTCCTTCTATTAGAAGAGGCACAAACTAAAATTCAGCCTAAAGTTTAAAGATAAAATCTAACTGCTGATGGTACACTAAAAAGCTTCAGGTACCGAAAAATATACGTAAAAAAAAAAAAAGAATCCCCCATACTTTCAAAAACGCACAAGGGTAGTTTCATCTCTTCTACAAGCAAAGATATTTGCTGGATTAAAGAAGCTGAGACACATTTTTCAAAATAAAAATTTATTCTGCAAACAATACATCATTTACGATTTTTTAAACCCATTTGAATAAACACAAAAGAAGGACGGATTTGTTACAAGCTGCACGAATAGATGGGTAAGGTATCTTCCATTTCATATCATGCAAAGTTGTTCTAAGTTGCGTTCTAAAATTTAAAAATTTAACAATTCTTTAGGAATGTCTTGTGGTAAAAAATAGAAACTTTAACAATACAACGTTCTGTACAAATTAAACATTTAAAAAAAGTATATTGATAAATATTCAATTTACATTCCTAACAGAGGTGAGAATATACAATTATATTTATTTCCAAATTTTGATAATTCGGGAAATTTTCTTATGACTGACTAAATACTATTTCACTGCAACACGCCAATTTTTTTCTTCTTTCACAGTACGTAATAAGAAAACTAGATAAAACTTGAAATAAAAGATCAATTTCAAAATGACAGAAAAGAAAAGTTGATATCTGGAATGAACGGTGCATGAGCAAAAACACGAGACCTATTGATAGAGCAACTGAGTTAGGGAAAATTTAGTTTGATTTACTGAAAACACTGCATTCGATTACCAATTACGAATATTGAAAAATATGCACTCAAAGAAATGCTTTATCAACTAAACTTTGACACACCTCATTACCTTATTTTTAGCGCTCAGCCGATAGAAAGCCCTTTTAGATTTAAATCTGCCTCAAGAATGCTAGTATACTGGGGACAATGCGCTCAAATGGCACACAGGCTCAACAACAAGATGGCACATAGGGAGGGGCCTCACAAATTTAGAATATGTAGATTTATCTGTTATACCTTTATTTAATGCTTTTGATGTCAAAGAGCGGAGGACAATAATCGTCTTTCTATTATTTATTTGTTTAACAATAGTGTACTTTTCTCAAAATTGATAGTTGAAATTTTGGTGAGGCGCGTTTTTTCACTCAACGTTGCTCATCTTCTTTGGGAAACTTAAAAACGTGTCTACATAGAAAACAGCTGAGCGCTTCTCTAAAACAAAGGCATCAGAGCTTTCTCGCTTATTTTTTAATTCTTGCGCAAAGAGCATCATCAGGATCAGCAGACCAATGAAATTATCAAAAATCATTTTGAAGAAGAGAAAAATACAAGCAATTAGTAGTGAAATCGAACATAATTCATTTTCTTATAATTAATCCATGAGCAAGTTAAAATATGTATAGTATTTTCTATTAAGTAGTACATACATTATTTTAAGGTTTTTCTAAGCTCCATTTTACTTATTATTTCTTTCAAGTTGTTGCTGCGTGTGGTTTGTAATAAAGATGTTCTTAAAATTTATAGAATTTCTTAAATCTATCACAAAATCAAAAAGAACAGACATATTCAAATACTGAGGCTCATTAAAACTGTGATTTCAAGCAGACATCATAGGCAGATTTGAAAAGGGCAGGACAGAGAGAGCTATTGCTCTTTTTGTTCCTTGAAAATAGTGCAGGAAAGAAGTGCAACAAACAAAGAAAACACTTGTAAAAAAAGAGCTGTTTTTTGAGCTGCAAAGCAAAAACTTTCTCCCTTTTGGACTGGGTCAGCCTAGAGCAAACATGATTTACTGTTATTAAACACGATTTTACTCAGAGCACAGCTTGCGCAAAAAGCTCTAGAAATTGTGATGTGACTGTGTGAAATAAAATATTGAAAGAATTTTTTAAAAAACTGGAACAGGGCAGAGGGGATAGATTTGCTATAAAATTTTGATACAGAAAAAGAAAATTCTTCTTTATGGAAATTCCTTAAAAATCATAGGAATTACAGGTATAAGTATGACGGTTGCAGGTGCGCTATATGTGAAACATGATGTTGTTGAGCTTACTGTATCAATGTTACTTACAACACTTGGCCGTTGTATTGTCATTGGTGACCGCCCTAAGATAGAGTTGTACTTTCCAGAAAGCCCCACGGCAATAAACAAGCTGGGTGATTCGTCATTTTCCCCACGAAAGAATGTAGCTACATTTTAATGTTGCCAAAGTTCCACTTGCAAATACCATTTTGACCAAGAGAATCTTGGACTTTTCTGACTGAAAATTTCAGTGATGTTTCTTCTGATCTCAAGTGAAAATTACATACATTGTTTTAAAAATTGCACAGGTACATTCTCACAAAGAATTATATTGTTTGAGTCAATTTTGCAACCTTAGAACAGAGTTACGTTCTTTCGTCCAGGAAGCGACTGTCTATGAGGATTTTAGTTCCTGAGGTAATGTTTTACGGTTTATCAATCATTGAAAAAAATTAATCAGCCAAAATAATACTATGGTGAATAAATAAGTTGATGCCATAGCTATTGAAACTATTAATTTAAAAATTCACCCATGAAAATCCTCATTACTTCTACTAAGCAATACTGTGAGATAAACTGAACGGAATCATTGAAAGAAAATAAGATTTTCGTAATATTTAAAGACAACTTAAACAGTAGCTTTGGATGATCCCTTACTGCATAAAGTGAGAATAAGTAACATACAAGTACAGGGACTAAGTTGGAAGAACTAATAAGTCAACTGGGTAACTGAATAATAAAACAAGAAAAAGCAACTAACTGTAAACAATGCAAAACAATGATCTAAAACTAAAGAGAGGAATGGAGTGTATAGCTATGATTCAGTAGACTAAACAAGCACTGAGAGATATCTTAAAATAGATAAAAGTCTACTACGTACAATAATTGAATGAAGTTTGCACTACAACTGCCTCCGATCAGACTACTATTGGGAATCTATTGTTTACTCTAACATATGAACACATACATGAGATGTCTAATAACCCCTCAGTCTACGTTGAGTACATGGCACTTATAAAGTTTTATGAAAACAAAGGTGGGTTTCGACACACCAGTCAAGGTGAAACGATTTAACGTTAGCCAGGGCGCTAGTTCTTAGAAAGAGCAATGATTACTTCCTTGAAAGAAATCCTAATAACAGGAAATATTTGATTTCCTTTGAACAAGAAAACTCTTTGCAGTAACAGAAGCTAACGAAGATTGAAGACTTAACAACATCTGACAAAAATTGATTGGTTTCAGAAAAAAACCATCCAACAAGTTCAACTTCAATTGATGTTTAGCAATTCTCATTTCACTTGGAGTAATTACACAGTTCAGATATGTGTTGATACTATACATATTTGTGCATCCTTTTACAGGCAGTCTTGATGAGAATTTCACAAAATAAATACTGCTAGATCCCCCAAATTTGAACCAGAGTGCTATAAAAATGGTCAACAATGAAAAAGGTAACGGATGATATCAGAGTTCCTCTTCAATACTCCGACTCTGCCTTGTTCTATGAGCCATTACATACCAGAGCCTTTTACCTGCAAGTCTCCTTATCACTTGATTTCAACAATACCTAGAGGTGATGTTCAACCTAAGAATATGAATTGAGATTTTGTCTGCTAAGTAGTATGCAGGAATGAGTTGACAGGAGCTCAGTGCTTCAGCTAGTGTATGCAGGTTCCTTTTTGATAGGATGTCCCCAAACTCAAGAGTATTATAAAAGGAAGCTTCAAAAATTACCATGAAGAGACATCATAATTTTGAAAAAGATAAAAAAAAAATACATTAACAGCTTTAATTACAGATAGCAAAAAGATATAGTGATATTTTTGTTCGAGATCTTTTGGAGCAAAGAAATTTGATAACTTTCGGAGACTTCATATTAGGAGTTGCTTTGAATATTTATTGTAACAGGAAGTTTCAGTGTAATTAGGAAAGGAAGGAAGGAGGGAATCACCTTTGAAAATTGGGAGAAAAGTCTAATTTCAACTTGTTGCCTATCACATAAGGCTCATCAGTTGACATTAATTACAGATGATTCAACTTATTCGGTAAAATAATCAACAATTTAACAGATTTAAGGCACACAGTTCTAAGTAGTAGCAACAAAAGTTGGTGAATACATAAGTGAATAGCTCTCGTTTTTTGAGCAGAAGTCTTGAAATAATAAAGATGATTATGTATTTAATTAATTCTTGCTGACTACCACCCTTGGTCTATGCTTTTTTTAAAGCCTCATTGAAGGAATATTGCACAGAGCAAGACCTGACAACTAGTTAGTCATTTGTCGAAACTTAAGTAAGTTTGCAAAGTGGCTGATTAATGCACTTCCTTTTTCAATGGAAGAAGAATTACAAACGCCAGCAGAATACTGAAAGAGAGTGCAATTTTTCCTAGTCTTTCATTTACACTTTGCTAGTAAAATTTGAGAAAAAAGTATTCTAAAAGTGGGTGAAAAAACTGTCTTGTAAAGTATTATATTGTTCTCAAGGTGCCAAGAGCAGCAATCTAAGCCACAAAAGTTAGCATATTGATCAACAAAGCTTGATTTGTTTTCAACTCACTTTTTTAAAAATTGTCACCAAATAAAGAGCTTGCATAACGTCTTACCAGCTTGGAAATGTGGGTCATTCTAAAATTTTCTGACTTGAAATATTTACATTAACAATTACTACAAAAAAATTATTATCTAAAATAGGTTAAATGATAAAAATGAAGAGGTTCAAACAGAACCTTCTTAAGTAAAGAGAAAAACATCACCAATAGAATTTCTTTAAACAAAGCGGAAGTGCTTTGAACATAATCAATTATAAAACCTGACAGAATGCTGTAGGACGGAGGAATGTAAAATATAATTTTTTTTATAAAAAAAGAGTAATTATTATAAATAATTACAGGTAAACAGTTAGCACCTTTAATACTGCGTAAAAAATAAAATTTAAAATTGATTTTTGAATCGCAACCATTGACATTTTTTTGTTTGGTTGTGGACGGAATAAAATATTTGAATCAACAAAAAATCACACAGAGGCTTATCTTTAATGAAAACAGAAAAAAGAGCTAAAAACGTAGTAGTATCAAACCATAAAAATGAAGCTCTGCGAAAAACGTTCAAAAATACTGTTTCAGTAATACATGATTTCATTCACAACTCTCTTCATAATATGACAAAGATTAGAATGTTCTAATCTCTAAAAGAATGGGTAAGTCTAGTCATTAAGCTGCTAAACTAAGATGTAGGCTTAACTATTTAACATAGTTAATTAGTAATTTAGTTTACTCAAATATTGTCTTCGTTCTTTTCATGGATAAAAGTTTAAGTAAAAATTTGGCATCCTAGAGGCATGTTATATCTCTCGTTTTTGAAAGCTCTAAAAATTATTGGGTAAAAATCAATTTTGCTAACTACTAAAAAAGTAACTTGAAAAATGTTATCCTAAAATTCGAATTGCCTTCAGGATGTTTTCCTACAGAATACACTTTTTTGAAAAGGCAAATGAAGTTCTGGGGGTTTTGTTTTTTTTCTGGCAACACCATTGTCAATTATATTTTTTTAAAAAAAATATATAATTTTTTGGAAAAATTTCAGTTCAGAAAAGAATTTAAGTAGAAGATATTACACGATCTTTTCTTAGAGCCACAGAGGAGAAAAAAGTACTATAACTGATTAACTTTTATGATTGATACAAAAAGGCAGCAATATTGCTTGCAACTGATAAAACCGCTTTAAGATAGAAAAAAATTAAAGAAAGGGCCACAGGCACTTATGGTAAACGCTTTAAAACTACATTTCAATTTTTTTTTTTTTTTTTTAAAAAAACATGAATATTAAACACATGTACTTTGTACACTGAATAAGTCAATTTTGTATTTAAACCCATAATACCCATGTTCTTGTAACTAGCGTGCTAACGTAGAAAATGTCATGCAGACTCCATGAAGGGGGGGACTAATGGAATGAAAACTGCACTCATGCTTTGATCAGGAATGTAAAATTTGTTTACAGGAAATCTAGAAGATCTTCGATAAAAAATGTTGAGTTAAGTAGATTCAGCTGCTTTGTATATTATATATAATACAAAAAGATAATTCAAGAACGCTTCCTCTACAATCCTGGGAAAAATACCCTTATAAAAGTTTAAATAAGTTAAAATGATGTCCAAAAATAAACTTAACGAAATACAAAAGCTTGCTCATTCTTTTTCTTCTCCTTTTTTTTAAAAAGAAAATTTCTAGCCTTAAGTTATTTTTTTAAAAAAAATTTATACTGAAGATTTCAAAAATTATAAGCTATAAGTTAAAAGAAGGTATCGGTCCTCAGTGGTAAAAATATTGTAACAATCATTTCCAGTTCTGACAGCAAATGTGTCCTTGTAAACAAAACTTTAAGAACCAATCCTACCATTGATTTCAAAAAGAAAAAAAAGAAAGAAAGGAAAAAAAAATTATTGCAATATTCAGGTTACATAATCTCCTTGAATGTTTGACTTCTTAAATTAAAGAGAAAACTGCTAGCTCATCCATTGGTGTAGATTTTAACTGATTTTGATGCGACAAGCATTACTTTAATAATAATGTTGAGTGCAGAACAAGACTCACGATGAGCGAGAGAAATTTTATTCCTTCCTTAATCTATACCTCTCTCCCGCAAGAAATCAGTGAAGCACGGACAGAACGCCCGCTTATCCCTCCGAGGCTTGTTGCGCAGGTGCTCCTCAATATACTGGCACGGACACAAAGCAGAGCTGAGATGTCGCAGATCGACAGGATTTCCTCCATCTTCATCGACAGTCCAGTCTAAGCGACGGCGTAAATAATCTTTACACCAGCGTTGGCTGTACCGCAGGAGAATTTGCTCACCCCTTGCCTTTTAAAGAGCCCAAGGAATTATCATGGATTATTTTCAGTTTTTTTTTCTTTTCTTATACTGTCAGAATCAAGTGGTCTTGACAAAAAAAACATAATTTTGAGATAAAAGTTTAGTGTCTGTTACGACTCTCTCCTGATGTGTTCAAATTTTTTAAAAAAAATGTATATATTTACATTTGTACAGCAGTGGCAGAGATTGAACACAGGAACTATTTGGAACAAATTACTGGAAAGACTAATTTTGCAGGGGGGAAAAAATTGGTTTGGGTGAAATAGAATTCTTAGTTATACATTCATGGTGAAACTGCCAGAATGTGTACCTTGATTTTTGAGAGTTTTGAGTTAGCTGCATGAACGTGCTGGACGGAGATGTCTTTTGTCTACCATCAAATTATTTTACTCAAAATAAAATAGGAAGTTATCCAAAAACGTGTTTCAATTGCTGAGTACTCGGCACTAATTCCCAAACCGTGTTTCTTGTACCAACTCCTGAAAGATTCTATATTGACTGCATGGAAAATCAGTGTTCATGGAGTGATGGCACACATTGTCATCATCTACATTTACTTCTGCCCGGCTTGATAAGTGATTTTTTTTTCGTTTCATCACCTCCATAATAATTCCAAAATTCATGCAAATTGAATAGTTCAACTTGTACACGATCCTCTACTAATATTGTGAACTCTATACAACTCCATGAAAACAAGTAAAAATTTGGAATACCAAAAAAATATTGAGTTCCTCCACTTTTCCATACGTCTACCAAGCATGTGAAGACTTTCTACACCATGTAAACCTAGGTCGACAAGACACTTCCAGTCCCCCTCTCCCTCCCTAGGATGTCTCCTATTTAAGGGCTGTACGATATTCAAATTTTTCAACCCCTAAAAAGCTTCTATGCAGTCTTCAAAGTGACTTTGTGAAGGGAAAATAATTTAGGCTCTTTCCAGAATGCGGGTGACAGCGCGGTAATGGCTGCAAATGCATCTTATTCCCTCTTCTAAAGCCAGAAAACAATTTTGGACTTCAAGTCAAATTTTTGGATTTTTGTCTATACTTCCAGATTGGTCATGAAGATTCGAAACTTTTTCCAGACTTTCTAGTGTTTCCAGACCTGTAGTTTCCTGAATTTTGTATTTTTCTCAGAGCAAGTGAAAAATTAGCATTTTTGGGGGCAGACTCTGTGAAAAAGTTGATGAAGTCATAGTTTACGGACTACTCACACCCACTTTTGATTAAATGACAACTGGAGAGGGTAAAAAATGGAAACATCTGACACCTAAAAACTGGTTTGCTTAAAATTTGGCACAATTCTGAGGTCAGTTTAAAATCAAGAATGTAGGTTGTGTATTCTTGTTTTGAGTGAACTGAGAATTTTATGAAGTTTTTCTGTAATACACATTGACATTAAATGATCACAGGGAGAAAATACTTATGATGAAAAGAAAAAGAAATTGGCTGGAAATTTAAGAATAACTTACTTGTTTTCGAGAAACATATGATGTTGTTGAGCCTTGAATTACTATGTCGTCATCCTCAATGTCCATTCTTTCTTTCAATTTTTTCATCTTTTGAGCATCTGGTGCTGCACCTTGAGTGACCTGTCTCCCTTCTGCTTCTTCTTTTTCAATGACTTCTTGCAATTTTTTCTGAAAAAGTAAAAAGAATTAGTAAGGCTCCTAATTTGGACTCATTGCTGATGGCAACAATTATATAGTATTGCTTTAAATTATTTGTCGACACCATACTTTTTTCGACGGATTCAAGTAATGAGTTTGGTACAGGATGAAAGATGGAAAGAACTTCCAGAGAAAGGAGTTATGTTCTCATTTTTCAGAAATTGATGAACAGCGTGACTACATCACCCAACTGAAGATGACCCCTAAAACTTCTAAAACTTGTTCATGACACCAAAATAGGTGGTCACAAAAGAAGCTATCTGAGACAAAATATTCTTATTTATATAAAATCTAAGTCCCAAGTCAGAGCACACACACCTATCTCATTGGAAAATGACAAGAGGTGAAAGATACACTCCTCTCTACAACAATCTTAAATTAAATTGATTGGGATTTGAAAATATTTTGATTGAATTTCTCATTCAGTAGGTTTGACTGTATATTTTGCAATACTATACATTCATTCTCTGACAAAGATAGTTGCCAAATGTTTTGAATAACCCCTGTGCAAGAAACTGGCATAAATCAATTAAACTTACAGGACATCTTTATGTCCTTTAAGTTTCAGTTATTTAAAAAGGGATATTGTTGCTTATGTACATTTATAGACTGCTACTTACTAAGAGAAAACTGTTGAAAATATCACCATGGACAACGTTGCTGGAAAATAATATTAGAAACGAACAACATGGTACTGCGTTACACTGCATAAGTGTATACTAATCACACTCTTTGCTTACAAGAAACTAGCTCAAATCAGAGGTTCGAATCGTGGATCATTGTTGATAAATCAACGTATGAGTAGCTCAAAGGTCTGGCGACATGCAAACAGGTTCAAAATTTATTATTTAAGGAATACAAATTATTTTTTGAGATTCAAAAATAGTTAGGGACTAATTTAAAAAAAATAAATAAATAAATAACTTGGTAAATAAATAAGTAAACAATAAAAACACACTAAAATACAATAAACAAATGGGTATACAAGGCTAGAGGAGACATAAAACAATCAGGATGTTTCGGGCCAATTACATGCCCATTCTCAACTGGAGGAAAAGCTAAAAAATGTAAAAATTAAAACAAGAAAATGAGCATGCAACTGACCGAGGTAGGAATCAGTGCAAACTGAAAAACAGAGCAAAAATGTAACTGGCCCGAAACATCCTAGTTGTTTTATATCTCTTCTAGCCTTGTATACCCATTCGTTTATTGTATTTTAGTGTCTTTTTATTGTTGTCTGCATTCGAGCTATTGCGTCTCTCTCTCTCTTAAATAAGTAAATAAAGAGATAAATAGGAAGAAAATGATAGTGCATTCACAAAGTTTTCATAAAAGCATTAACAATGCACCCTGATACATTACTAAAATTAATTCAAGGTAATACTTTTCCAGAAATTTTCTTTTTTAAAAAAATCTTTCATTGAATACAACAACAAAAATAATAAAGAAAGCTTCAGGATACTTACGATGCAATCTGAGGTATCAAAATACACAAAACAAAGATTCACTTTCAGGCAGGACATTTTCCCTCGATCATCAAGACCAAGAATTATTTTATGTTTGATGAGATGTCTATTCACATGAGCAAGGCACTTTTCTAAATTATGATTCAGCTGTAACATAAAACATTCATGAACTTGAAGACGTTTAACAAATACATCATCTACAAATCTGACAATTAATTCTTCTTAGTTCTTTGTACAGTCAGGTTAAGTATGATGGATTTCATTTTTCTGTATCAAAAGGTGGTGCCATGATTGTCTAGCCTCTCAATTTACATTAACCCTCAGGAGCGATAACACTGGTAAGGTTGGAAGTATTTGAGGAACTTTCTGGAAAAAGGAGTTATATTGAAAAATCGCATTTGAAGTTTTCATTACTACTTTCTGACCACTGACGGTGACTTACATTAGAGCGTAGACTCCAATTTTTGGTGTAAGTAGCCATCAGTGGCCAGAAAGTAATTATGGAAACTTCAATTGCATTATCCTCGAACGCGAACTTCACTATGAGCCATTTTCCCAAAGCTCTTCATTTGCCATTGAGTCAACTTTCTCTATATATTTACTCCTCTAGGAATTTTTATTATAATCTCAATATCAATTTTGTAGATATTTCTTAAGAATATGCTTTTAAAAATATTTCATCAGCGAGAAAACCGACATTTGTCACAATCCCAAAATCCGATTAATCTTTTCTCCTTGCATTCTGAGAGATAAAAAAACTAACATGTTCATCGCTGCACATTTTTCTCCAACGCTGCCTTCAGCACCTACAAAACATGAGTAATAAAAGCATCAATCTTAGTATTCTTGCTCATTTTTCATGATTGGTACTATTTATCAAAAACTGTGATGATGCTAATGCTTCTGCTCATGATAGGTGTTTCAGAGTCGGTTTATTACCAGGTGTCTAGCAATTTTCAAAAATAAAAATACCAGACATTTCCCTGATTTTCCTGACAAAAAGGGCCAAAAAACTGGGGAAAAATTTAAAATTCCCTTACAGACAGAGAAAATGATTCCCTGACAAAAAGGAAAAATGTTTCTAATTTTTTGACACAGTTGAACTGGTTAGATGAAAGCAAGAATTTTTTCGTGTTTTAGGAATATAATGTAATAAATAGGACAAAATATATGGTGCCTGAACTTATGCGAGATATGTTTGCTCTAATTTATAAATTTGAAAGAAAACAGCAGAAATTCTGGTAGAAAATTTGGTATTGATTCCATTTTTCTGAAACTTGATTCATCATTAATCTTCAACCCAAAAAAAATCCGTGTTTCTCAATTTTTCTAACATTTCCCTGGCACGAAAATCGCTTGCAAAAGAAAATTCCCTGACATGCCGGATTTTTGCAGATTCCCTGACATTTTCTTTGATTTCCCTGACACACGAAAAATTCCCTGGAATTTCTCAATCTTCCAGGTCGCTGGGCACCCTGATTATTAGACTTCAATTTAGTACAATTACCCACTGGGAACACATCAAGCACACGCTACTAAAAGACATTGATCACTTATGATTGATATGACTTAACAAGAAACATTGCAACTAGTAAAGTGCAACTAGCAAATATATTGCACAAATATTATATTTATGAATAATTTTCATATTTAATTAATATTCACATTACGACTTGAGAAAAGTGCCTACCTTTATTTTGATCCACATGCATAGGAAAATTGCTGATGCATTGATGATCAACCATAAAACACCTAACCCAAACAGCATCAGCCCTTGGATTCCCGAAAATAAAAGTGCTAGGAGGATGAAAAAAGCCGTGAATATCCAAACAACCAAAACTCGTTTATAGCAAATATTATAAACTACAAAACGGAAATCATTTGTAAGTAAGGCCATGATCTGGACGTAATCTTCAACAGTTAACTGTAAAGAAACAATAAACAAAATAACATGAATTTTAACTTGATGGCTAAAGTAGACATTAAATGAAAAAAAAAGAAAGGAAAAACTTAGAGGCTAAGTGGCAATTCCTATTTTCTTTTCCTAAGATTATTAATTCATTAAATGATTTTAAATCATCGATCAGAAGTATTAGGTGGAGTGAGCTTGCAGTAATTAGAAAAGAAAAATGGTTTTATAACAATAACTCAAGAGGCTTTACTTAATATGATGCGAAAAAAATAAATGGGGTGGCTAAAAACCCATTGTATTCAAATGTTACAATCAAGATGGCTACGGATTCGGTGGTGGAAGAATACACAGTGGTAAGATTTCGATGAATTTGAGATTATGCAGCTCTTTGGTTTTTGAGATGTTTTAAAACTGGGGTCGCTTCAAACAAGATAAGTAATATGTCTCTTAAGCAATTAAATTTACGAATGAGGAAAATTAAAATTAAATTTAGTTAAAGTTTCTCAAAAAAATATTTCTGAGTCTCTTTCCTCTGAAATGATAGAATTTTGTGCAATGCAAATTTATGAATTTTACCTTGTTTCAATACCAACTTATGCTGTGGACTGGTGCATTTAACAGTCTCTATTCATTCTTAAGTGATAGATTAAAGATAGCGTTAGTAGGTTTTACTTACTGTTAGGCCTTGAGCCATGAGTTCTTCAGGCACAAGTTCAGGACGGAATTTGGCAGGGGTTACCCATGGAAACTTAGAATTAACAGGTAATAAGGTCACTATTATATCACCATTTGCTGAAAGAGTAAAAAAATTATTAGCATATGGTAAAGGTAAGTTTCGAGCATATTTTCAGGCAAGGATTTTCAATATTTTGTTGGGAAGCAAAATGGAATTTTAGCTTCTTGCTTTTCAAATTTTTGTGTTTTTTTAACTTACACCAAGATGACATTAGCTCTGGCATTAATTTATTATTCACCTAGAAAATGAACGAGGGGGAGGAGACCCAGCAGCTACCAAACACAAATTATTCCTAAACATGCTGGTCTTAACTAGTTTTGCAGAGTATTAGCTAGAATAGGTAACAATAGGTAATCTGCCACATTAATTTCTTCTTACTTTTCAGACCTTCTTGGAAGTCTAAAAATATGAGATTAGAGGGGATTGAGAAGAAAATACTTGAGAACTTTGAGTTCCAAAAAAAGGAAGAGGGCAAAAAGGTGTTAAAACAAGGAGGTTTCAATCGCATACCCTCATGTGTAGCTCAGATGCTCTATGATAGGTAATGGTAACAAAAATATTATAACAGGGATGATGATACCATTGGAAAAATTTTGTTCATATATTTGGGAAAATACAGGGTATCCAGAGGTCCTGCACCACTAGCACCAGATGTCATCAGTAACTCTTTAACAAATTGAGATAAATATTTGAAATTTTTGGAGTGCTTTTAGGTCAAAGGAAACGATTTTTGGGAACTCCCAAAATGTTAAAGGGTTCCCTCTGAAAAGGGGCAAGAAACTTGAGCAGGACTTTTGAATCACCCTGTACAAAAAGTAGGAAGTACATTGTAAACAGAATTTGCTGCATAGATTGATATGATCAGTAAACTTACCGAAGCCTTGTCGCAGAATGGCTGCGGACGGATTGGAAGTTGCACTGGCACCAACTGGCGTTTGGTTGAGGTCTATTGTGCGCATGTTTACAGCTGTTGATGGGGTTCCTGGGCCCGAGTCCATCACAGGGCGTTGGTTAAGATTAATGTGAACAGACTCTGTTTTTAGCACAGCTCCACCACCATAGTTTGATTCTGATCTGTGGTTATTTTGTGACTCGGAGGTTATCCGTTCGACAACTTCTGCTGTAGCAACCGTGCCGTTGCGGCTGTCGTCAGGCTCATCTTCTTCCTTGCGTGATTTAATTTCTTCATCTTCAAACTGAACCCACTTTTTTGGCTTTGAAGAGTTTGAAACATTAAGAGGATCTTCATTGATACTCATCCTTGAAAAATGGGAAAGATCTGAAAGAGGAACATATAAATAAAGGAATCGAATAGATTTTGGCAGTTTTGTGAATAGAGACTTTAACCGAGGTTTCCGCATCAACTACAAGTGGTGAAATTATCAGTTTCAAGAAGACCATCAAACGCACAAGGGAAGGGGTGAGGAGGGGTTGAAGTTCCCAGCTTTAATTCTTGACAGATTTTCTAAAATAACTACACATATTTACTTACTGCTGAAATTGTCATGATTGCAGGGTGAGAAGTTTTACGGTGCGGAACTACGGGGGTAAAATTGTATGGCTGAAAAATGAAATTTTCTTCTTCTTTTTTTTGGGTTGTTTGAAGATACAATCTGCCTAGATAGACTTAGTTGTCTGTTTGATTATTTTTCTTCACCTTACAGCATCATTTTTTATATTTAATTTTTCTGCTCTGTGAGAGTTATCTCACGAATTTCATATTAGATTAGATTTAGATTTATTTATTAATCAGAAAATACATGTTACAGATTTATATTTAATGTCTTTCAATTCTCCTTCTTCCCTACAGATTCATGAATCACAAACCAGCAGGGAAATCATTATTTCTGGTTTAGATTAAAAATATTTGTCTCATTACAAGATAACTCACCTGTCAAATTCCTTGGATATGACTCATCTGCAATTTCCGGTAGAGTTCACAGTGTCCTTGAATGCTATGTGTGGCTGAAAGCAAAAGTTGCAAACATAAAATTTAATGAAAAAGATATCTACCTGAAAACTGACAAGAGCAGTTCCGAAGAGATGTAAAAGAGGATCGAAAGTAAATTTTTTTAAATTAAGCATGGGTGCGCCTCCAGTCATGCTGATGCGCATACCTACTCAAAACTGCTACTTGTTGATGACTGATTGATAAATGGATGGTGAAACTACTGAATTTTGTATCTCAATTATATTTGATAACAGTAAGAGTGGTCACTCACTGAAATGACATTATCTGACCCTGCAAGTCGATTATTGAACGCTCAAAGCAGCACTACAAGACATCAAAATGCAAGATATGAAATGGTTAATTTAGGGTTTTGTCTAGTCTTGCCTTACCGACATAATTTCAAAAGTGGGGCCCCAGAAAAGTTTTAGAGTTTGTTCAAAGCTGAAGGCGACTTATCACAAATAATAGGTTAAAGATGATAAGATATAAGAATATACCGGTGACATAGTGTGTTAAGCAAGACACTTCAAAGCGCAACCAGGCAGTTTCAAATGGAATTAATTTACAAATAATGAACAAGAGGAAAAATCCTCAATTACTTAATAATTTGATGTATGTTATTACATATTGTGCGCGGTGGAAGTTGATACTGAAAAGAAATCGGAGGTTGTTACCAGATGGGCCCATAGGACCCATAAAACTGGTCCAAGAATAATTGAAATTGAAGAGATCAGCAGTGAATTTGATTTCACTGGTAATCTTATACTGGTCTGACATACGTTCAAATAACTAATATGAAATTTTGAGCTTACATATGAACAAAAATAAGCAGGAAACACCCAAGTCTTGGCCTAATTAAAAGAGGGCAGAGAACATAAAAACACATAACACAATAATAAGGTAAATGTTGGAAACAGGGCTGCCGATGTTACACCTGTTATCAGTATCAAAAGCTGCCAATGACGTGAAGTGGCGACGCCATCTTTCATTTCAACCTGGTAACACCGCCATTTTGAAATCGCCCGAAGTTTCTTTCCGTGGAGTGTGTGTGTGAGTGTGAGAGCAAGAAAGTTCCGGTCACACGTGTACCTCTGTTTCTGGTGATTTTAGTAAAATTTCTTGTGTTTTAAGGTAATTTAACTCCTCTTGTTACAGTGCGCTTGCTTTTACGTCTTCTGTCATAGTTGGAAATTAGGAATTCCTTACTTTCTTCGCAGAAGAATGACCCTCGTTCTTCCATCCGCATGGCCTCCATTTTCGAGCCGGCGTCTATCGACGGTTATCGGACCATCGTTTTTTCCAATACGAAACCTAATTAGCTTTAACGAAAGTTTGTTTCACTTCAGGCACTTTCTACCATCTCCAGTGTCTAAGGTTTTGCCAATGCCTTACTCTCCTAATCCTTCTTTTAGCTCGCGATTTTCCGCCTGTATTGTTCTCGCCGTAATGGCGTCCTATACCCTCGCAGCGGCCTCACCTTACCGGGCTGTAGGAATATTCCACGAAAATACTACAAATTTACCGGCTAACTTAGCTCTTGGTTTATTTCATCATCTAGTTTTATAAGTTTCTTGTTCGCAAACAAGTCAAGGTTACTTCTGGTAGTTCTTGGCACAAATTCTCTGAGCATCACCCTGAGAAGCCCATTGCCTTTTCGTAGGTCACTATTCTCTTCCTCTCAGTTGGAGCTGATTACTGATACCTTCCAAATTTCTCAGCAGTTTCCCCCGCAATATAAGAGACTCAACTAAATTTGGCGGAAGCCGGCTCCTATTGTTGAGTTCTTTTCTTTTCCTACTGTCCTCTTTTTCTCTCCATACTAGGGTTGCCATACCTTACAATTTATTGATCCTGTGTACTTACTGTACTTAATGTATGTATACTTTTATTGCTGTTCTTATTTCTGCATGTTTAATGGTGAAGGTTGCCTTCCCTCCAGAATGTTGATTGTGCGTGAGTAACATGTACTTAAGTGACATCTTGGGAAGTTGGTCCTGCCAATCCTGGCAGTTTTCAGAGCTAGTTTTGAGTTCTGACTGAGGCTAAAGTATTTATCTCAGTGTCAGTTTTTTTTTTCATACTTTCCCACTTGATTATTCTAACCCTCCCTGTTCTTTAATGTTACTATGCGTAGATTTTCTTTTTCCACAATTGCTAGGCTGTTTACCTGTGTGCATCCCACTCTTCCTTTACGTAGTACCCTCTCTTCTTACTTATTTGGCGCTCATTTTTTTCCCCTCATTGACGAAGCTTTTCTGCTTGGAATATAAAGCTAGTCGGGAAACAGTTTAATCCCGCTCCTCCACTATTTTTTTTTACCTCTGTTTGAGGACCATTTGTTCTTAAGGCAAGTGTCCTATTAATGTATTGAAATGCAATGCTGAACATAACTTGTGTCACATTTCCAATTTCCTTTGTGAATAAAAAGTACCCTTTTAAGGAGGAAATATTTGATCAGCATTTTGATTTGTTTGATGTTTGCAGGAACTGTATTAAAAATTAATCATGGTCCTCGTTCCTGCGAAAACAACAAAACGGAAAACTACTGTAGCTCAATCTTCTCCTGCTAAAAAAACCAAAGTTACTCCTGCCAAGAAAGGAGCTGCTGCCAAAACAAAAGGTAATAAAAAGAATGACAAAAAGCCATTAAAATTTTAAATCCCTCCCACTCATCTTCTTAAATTAGTTCAACGTAGATCAGAGATTCTTACCAGAAATCTTGACTACTCCATTCTAATATGGACATTCTTTCCTATTACATCAGCAGATTCTAGGTGTGGATGATAGGTGGTAGGTTGTCTCAGCCATTCCATCTGTAAGCAAGACAACCTTAAGTCACTGTGCCGTACAGCAAGAATTTTAAATTTTTCCCAGTCGTTAATCCATCTTTTGTTAGTTATTAGTGACTTGTGTATGATCTCCATGGAGAAAATTTGTTTATTAAGTTTCTCTTGTACCAAGCTATTCTCAATCGTTGGTGATTCCGTGAATTTTCAGTTCCTTACCTTATAGTGAGCAATGCGGTATTTGCTTTCCTCTTGTCATTGGTTTTGTATGTCACACTATGTCATGAACAGAAATTTTCTTGTTGGCAAATTTTAATTAGTAGGTTACAACTTAGTTTTATTTAACTTCATATTTTGTTTAGAGGGGTTATTTTCATTCATGCTCAGAAGAGTTCATTCTCGTACCAGACAATGATAATCTATTTTCTGGATTATTATTGATCGATAAATGATGATGTCAATTGAATGTATTTCTGCTAAATGAAGCCAGAGACAGAAGGGAAAGAAGGGATGTGCTTGTTTGTTTACTTTTGGTTTGATGGTGTTTTCGCATCACTACAATCTACATGAAAACATCTGACTGTTGCAGAAGCAAGAACACAAGCTTGGACAGGTTTTTTAATACCTTCAAACCTTGTACTTAATTCCTCAATTTTTAGCCACACAGAAATCACAACCTTTTAAAAGTTGCGGATCATGATTGATGAGTAGTGTTTTATGATACGATCACTAAACGGACGTTTTCAAGATGAATAGTAGTGAACAACGGTCTGTGTAGAAGCCAAAATTCATTGTCTGCGCTTGCAAACGGAAAATAAACAAGGGCCAACTTACCTGACGATACCTCTAGTTGTTCCTATTCCTCGGAAATGGGCACTGCTGTATTTTTCCTCTTAAGGAAGCAACCCTCTTGGCAAATTTTTTAAGAAGGAATGAGATTCTTTTGCAGCCTATTTATCAGGGGTGAAATGGTTGAGTATTTAAAACTTGGTCATACTCAGATCTAAATCTGGGTGGGACACTAGCGATCTCTCCTTGTAAGAAAATAAAGTAACCATAGTTCTTGCTAGATGCTTGGGTAAGTGTCTCATCTGAAAGTTGAGATTGTTCCATGTTAGTATTGATTAAAATAATTTCTTTCCGCAGCTGGAGCTAAGAGAGGCTCGCCCAACAAGAACAACGCTGAAGATGAAGAAAACGAAGAAGTAGAAGAACAGACTGAAGAAGTTGAGGAAGAAGGTATTGATAGAGCTTTTTTTTGAGTCAATGTATTTTCGCTTGCATTAGGTGGCTATACATTGTCACACATACCAACAATGACTTAACTCCAGTCTAGACTTTTAATTTTCTCAATTTGTAGTATATTATCACCCAAAAGTAAACCATCTTGTTCAGTTTTTGAATCTCATCAAAATCTTTAGGAGCCATCATGGCCAGCATGTTGAAAATTTAAGAACCATCAGGGTTCATTCAGGAGCAAAAGCGCTTTTTCCTTTTTTTCTGAGAAATTAAGATTAACGATATGGTAAGTATTGTTTGGAATGTCAGAAATAGTTTTATTGTTGTGACTCAGCAGGGTCGTATTTCCTCCGATAGCAATCGCACTTTTAAGGAATATTTATATTCGTAGCGCATGCTCATTTATGCGCCAACTTTAGCCGCACCTTCAATTATTTAGGCGCATACAGCGCATGGCGCCTGTGGGATTTAAACACTGATACTAGTTCTTCCTATTTCTACTAGTCCAGGGGTTTGTAAAATGCCCGATCCCTGAATGGTAGTGAAATGAACACTGGTCGCATTTTGTGGAACATAAGCGAGGGAGCTTACTTTACCTTTTGCATTTCATTGCACAGTGAATCTCAGTGTTAATTTTTAATTAGAGAAAATAATCTTAAAACCTTCAAGACTCCTGATGTAATCATGTTAAAATGATATTTTTCTCTTTCTTAGGTTCAGGAAATGAAGAAGAAGTTAAGGAAGAAGGCGATGAGGGTGACGAAAATGAGGAAGGTGACGAAGAAGGTAATGAAGAGGGAGACGAGCAGGAGAATGCAGGTGAAACCACAGCTGAAGGTGAGGGTGAAACCAAAACAGAGCCAGCCCCATCACTAATTAAAAAAGGAACTGGACCATCTAAGCTAGAGGCCTACGTTTTCCAGAACCTCAACCCACAGTAAGTTAAGCTTGTGCCATTGAGCCTCTGGTAAAATGTGCTATCCTTGAAAATATGTGAACCATGTAACAGCTAAATTTTTTTTAAGATAACTCCTTGACTGCCACCAGCTTGACGCTATCAGTAAAAGTAAACTTGTCACAACAAAAGAATACAATTTTTAGTAAAATTTTGTGCCCGTGAAATTGGAAATGGCCCTGTTACAGCCTCTATTGTCATTCAGTCCTACTGAGATCAGCCTTATTTTCAGGCCTCATACTTCTAAGGCCAACACCAAACATATAACCATTTCTTTAAATCAATAAGTTTTTTCAGATAAAACCTTAGCCCTCTGTAAACAGGCATAAGTTTCTTTAAAACACCATTTCAGGTGATGAAATCTGCATTGGATGTACTTAAAGTTAAAATTATAGTACAAATCTCTGCTCTATTTTAAAGACAATGATTATTATTATTATTTGACAGTAGAAGTGAACAATTCAACTGTGTAAATTCACTAAAGAAAATTATCAAAGTCGTATTTTGTTTAAAACGACAAATTCTTTCTGTTTTTCTTTCTTGTTTCTTCTGCATGATTCTGAACAATCAATGAGAAAGCGAATTCCAATTTTAGGTTAGAAAACAGCGTTGTCCTGGGCAACAACATAAAAACGACTTGCCTCTGAGCACGTTGCAGTTGTTGTACAACAATGTTGCCGCGGGGGTTCCCAAATTTTGTGCGTGAAAATAAGCCCTGCCCCCACAACACAAAATAACTTCGAACAAAATGTGTTTGTTGCTTGTTTCCCCAACATGTTCCGAGTGTTGCCTCCGAACAAAATACTATTCAAGTTTCAAAATTTTTCCTATTCTGCAGTCAAAAAAAAGTTTCTTAATTTTTTCTCTCTCATTTTCTTTTCAGCACCTCCATTGCTGATGTACATAGAGTCTTGAGAGCCAACTCAATTGACACAGGACTTGTGAATGCCAGCATTGTAGTAGAATTTAAACCAAATGTACCTAAGGTAAGCAGGGCCGGATTTACATTTTTAGCGCCCTAGGCTAAACTTAGAGTGGCGCCCCTAAAAGTAGGCGCTCTCGTGGGGAAGGGGGGGCGCTCCTCCCCTCCAGATCAGAAGGAGGGGGTCCGGTAAATGTTCAAATTCACTGTAAAGGTCGACTTTTCCCGCTAGGGGAAAAGCCGCCTTGGTGGACCGGAGTCCTGGAGGGATAACGGATAGGACATCCAAAAGAGAAAAAAAGAAAAGAACGCGGAAATAGGAGGAACCCTCCTATGCCCAACCTCCACAATGGATCACACAATCATGAACACTAAAACTAACAAAAAGGATTCAGCCCCGAAGGGCTGATTTCAAAAAAAGGGAAAAACTTACATCACGCAAGACTGATGTCTAGGAACGGAATGGCTTCGCCTGACTTGTGTTTTCGGGTTCCCCCGCCTGCGCGCTGTTGGCGGAGGAAACCGAAAACACAAGTTTCAAAATTCTGGCGGGAGGGCTATTGACTCTTTACATCACCTTTAAAAAAGCACAATTTTAAACAGTTTTGAGGTACGTTTACGTTCGCAAGTTGGCTTTGGAAAATACGTTTTTGAATAAATTTTCAAAAATTTTGCGCCCCTCAGAATGTTGCGCCCTAGGCTATAGCCTATGTAGCCTATTGGTAAATCCGGCCCTGAAGGTAAGCCGAAGAAGTCAATTGTTTTGAAAGTAAAGACTCTCTCGTTGATAATTTTACATCTGAATGCTGCTATTAGTAAGGAATTTAAACGTTTTTCATCAATGCATCTAGTCTCCTCAATCACTTTGCAACCACCGTAGTCAATCAAGCACATGCACTTGAAGGAGGTCTTCTGTTTCCTCATGTGGAAGCCAACCTGTGAATTATCATAGTTTTTCAAATTAGTAACTGAATAAATATTTTTTCCTCTGCAGCCCGACTGATAAAAAGTAGTACTTGCTCAACAAATATGTTCATTCTTTTTGTTACTTATTTCCTATGACTATTTCCAGAATTTCTTGGAAAGTGCTGCAAAAATTACATTTGGCGGTGAGAATGAAAAGTTCACGGTTGGGAAATACAAGCCTTTGGAAATCAGTGAATACATTGACAATATCCCCCCACCTTCAGTTAACTTTAAGCAGTGGCTTAAGATCTCAGTACTCGACCTCGATGAAGGGTAAGTTTCATCATCAAATATACTTGCTGGCTAATTTTCGTAACAGTTTCAGGAAAAATGGATGTTCTTTAATTTGCTGTATGCATTGCCATTTGTGAAAGAATTGATCAGTAAACCAAGTTGGAATGAAATTCTTTAATTTGCTGTATGCATTGCCATTTGTGAAAGAATTGATCAGTAAACCAAGTTGGAATGAAAGAAGTTTCAGGTCCTCCTCTAAAATCATGTGCATGATAGAATATCTACCTCTTAAACCTCGAAGCATGTTTACATGCAGTCGACTGGCACTGAAATTTTCAGTCCTTTGGAGAAAAAATGTGCAATTTTTTTTCACAGTGAAATAACTTAAAAATGATGAAGCATTTAAACGGTAGGAACTTCAAAAATCTATGCCTCCAAATTTTTTGTAGAGAAAGATGGGTAGCAAGTCTCCTTCTCTCTGTTAAATTCTTTCCTATAAATCCCTATAACAGTATACAGTGATCATCAGCCATTTCCTGCCCACTCTTATGAGAATTTACATTGAAGAATTTCCCACAATTACTGATATTCAAATGGGACTTTCTACCTACTGTTCTCTTGAGAAAATTATCGAGAATAAACTTTTCAAGTCTATAACTTGCAAATGTTTCTTCTTTTCTGAGGTTTTTTACTGACCGGTAAGAAAGCGGTTTTCTTTACTGCTGAAATTAGCAGAACCCCGGATGCCCAAACAACGAAATTGGGTAAAGTATAACTGTAAAGTAAACTCAAATTATCATTTGAGAACAATTATTTGTCGCACATAAATGTGGGCTAAGATTAACAGAAATACCCGAAGCAGTGTTTTGGATAAAATGAGTTAGGAGTAGTTAAATTCAACAATGTAGTCGTAATTTTTTTGTGTCAAAAATTGAAAGTTGAGAAACAATTTTTGAACATGAAAATGCAATAGACTGCAGGAGTATAATGTACAGCTCTCGGCTGCCCCGCAGCATAATACAATTTTAAGAAAGATTTATTCTCTCTAATAGTGCACCACAGTAAAAATTAAAACATATGAGGCTGGTGACAGTTGTTTTATAAAAATTCACTCAAGTCGAAGCTTTTCGAGAAGAAGAACACATACTAAAATGAGGCTGACTTTATCTCACCGCTTCCTCAAACTATGTCAACTGTAAGAGAACCTCAGTTAAGATTCATAACTCCCTCAACTACTACAACTTGTCCCTCACTACGAACTGTTTCGAACCGAACTGAGATCACATAATAAGACTTCCTAAGCATTCATTCTTAATCGTCTTCTTTAATCAATCATATTCTTTTGGTTCCAGAACTACTAAAGAGGAAGTAAAAGAAATAGTTGAGAATGTCGTCGGCGAGGAAGTGAAAGTAGAAACTGGAAATGCCACATCCATGGTCATCACTTTCCAATCAGAAAAATCCTTTGGTGTAAGTATTTGCAGAATGCTTCTGTCGAGTATTCATGTGTAATATTTTCCAATTCAGTCACCTTCATACCATGGAGGTACATTATTTAATAATTAAGATCCAGCTGCTTGGGATTTTGTAGACAAACGGAAGTCATTGGTATCGTGTTCATGGGCGTAATTGATTCAAACAAGATAGGAAGAAAGTATGTAAAATGAGTAAGTTTTTACTACTGTTCTACGGAAAAATTTTGTATGAACATTTGAGTGTTGCCAAATTTCCTCTGATATAATGTTCGTTTTTGAAGAGAGTTCTCTTGAAATTTTCAGATCATTAAGATCTGATAGTTGGTGTAAGTGACTGTCAAATTCAAGAAAAAATATTCTCTTATTCCTTGAAAATTCATATTTTATCAAAGGAAACTTTGCTTCATCTGAAGATTCATATGACATTCTTCTTTCAGGGTTGCCACTGTTGGGGAGTACCAGAAAAACCCGGAAATATTAGGGAATTTGAAAAAATCTGGGAAAACATGGAAATGTTATGGTAAATGAGGAACGTGTTAAGGGAAAATTCGTTAAGTTACCTTTATTTGCTTTCTAGAGTGAGTCTGACTTTTAAACAACAAATTTTGTATTAGAGCTATTCCAAATTATTTCTGTTTTACCCAAATTCTGCCAAATTTCAGCATTGTAACCTTGGTTGTACTTATGAATCGAAAACTCTACCGCAAGGTGCTCAGAGTACCTCAGAAATTTTGACCATGTTAAAACTTTTATCATGTGTTGGTTTTTAATTGGACTGTGTTTTTCCCCCCAGAAACTCCTAGTTCATGATGATCTGAAAGTCAAAGACAAAGCTGTCCGGCTGAAGATCCCATTCGTAACCAACATCACACGGAACAACAACCGACGCTCAGATTTCAGCCCAAGGAAAAACGGTGTCTCCGGCAGCCCAATCCGAGGTGGTCGAGGAGGTAACGTTGGAGGTGGTTTTGGCGGTGGACGAGGAGGCGGTGGTTTCTTCGGTGGCCCGAAGCGCGGTGGTCGTGGAGCAGCCCGAATGGGCGGTGGCTACGGTGGATATGGTGGTTACATGCGTCCTTACTAAATTTAGAGCTAGGTTATTTATTGTATTGTAAGCTTTTATACTTGTGATTCAATTATCCTCTTTTATAATTTGAAGTAGCTCTAAGTCAATCTACCGCGCGGTTCTTGCAATATCACTGTAACTTTGCCTAGCTCAGAGGTGTGAAGCAGTGTTGCGTGAAGAATTTCGAAGGTGAGGGTCCGACCTAGCCTATGTTGAACACAGTGCATATTTGTCAACTGGGATGAGAGAATAGTAACTTGTTTTCTTTCTATCGGGCCAATTACAATCAAGCTGATAAAAAGTTTTTCAATTTATCAGTTCAGTGGGTAAAATGCAACTTTTAAAGAAGTTTTCTCTCAGTGATCGACTCATTCCAATTTTTTTTTTTTTTTTTTTTTTACCAAGTCACATAAACTCAGAATTATTCGTGTAATCTCTGCAGAAGGTAGCCCACTAAGACAAAATGAAAGTAAAATTTGACAAGTTTAGTTGAGGCTATCAGTATGCGAAAGAAACTTGTCCACAATCTGGATGTTCTCAGTAAATGATTCATAATGTACTTAACTCGCATTTTTTTAAACAACCAGTTATTTTCTTATGAGGTTGTACAAAAATTGAGTAAATGGATTCATTATATTCGTGGAGGTCCTTATATTCTTCATGGAATATTATGTTTCTTAAGGTCCTCTGAGCAAGATTGGGTCAAGTCAAATTTTACTCTCGTCCCAGAGAATTCTTTCCTTTTCTCTCCCTCGTAATTCTTTTAGCAATATAATTACGTGATTAAATATTTGACTTTCAAGTGGATTATTCAATGATTTCCTGTGGTTTGTCCAAATATTTTAACAGTAAATCTGATTTTCTTGTATTTTTTACCACTCATCCCCTGTTGTGAATTTGACCATTCATGTTATTTTAATGCTCAGTTCCTGTGAGAGATAATTTACAGAAATGTTAATCTCAAGCTCAGGCTCTAATTTGCAGATATTAAACCTTGACCAGAATCCATCTATTTGTTTTCTTGAACTTGACGCAGTGGTAGTAATCCTAAAATGTCTGGTGTTCCTAGACGTGAGATAATCATTATTTTATCTATCTAGAAATATAAAAAAATCACTCCATTCGTCTCATTTGTATTCGGCAGACAAATTTTTACAATGAGGAAAGGTGGAGCAAAGCGTGAGAGGAAAGCGGATTGTACATTTACTAATCAGCTTTGTAAAATTGTTCCAGCACAGGTGGTTCCTCTTTGATCACTGTAAACAGATGAAATTTTTGAATATTTCAGAAAAGGTTATTGAAATCCACTCAATAATATTATGAAGCAGTACATTTTTCCTTTCTTTCAAATCTCTCCTCCTTTTGATCCACCTTCGCTTTCTGTAAAATTTGCTCCATTGTGAAGAATCAATTACTCTCATTTTAATTAAGTTTTCTGTCCTCTAAGTCTTAGAAAGTGAATAATTTAGTCGCCATGATGCAAGTAGGGTATACAATTCTCAATGTATTATGTAAGTCGAATTTTATTTTAATTAAACCTATCTGTAGACTAATTTGATGTGTAACAATCCATATGTCAAGTTCATTAAAAATCACATTTCAGTTCATTTGTAATCAAGTTTACCTTTTTCTCTGTCCCACCCTTTGATTTGGGCCCTTTCAGCTTTAGAACTCTTTTTCTTTTGGCATGGATGTTGTCCCATCGACACGGAAATCTTCTTCTTTTTTTTCTCTCTTTTTTTTGCAATTTTTAAGCTGCTCTGCAGGCTCATTGATAATTGAAATTCATTGGCTTGCAGTTCTGCTCTCTGCTACCACTTGGCGCAACTTAAAATCTATTTTAGATTTTTCAGTTGTATAAGTAACCAATTTTCTTTTCAAACTTAGGAGGAGGGAACGTTTTTTGTTTATATTTTAATTTTAAACAGCTCTCTGTTCTTAAGAACGCATACTTGAAAAAGAATTCTAAATCTGGAATGGAGTCAGTGCTCTTGTTCTTGATGGCAGAGAAATTATGAAGAGGTCACTTTTAAATCTTTCCATGGGATTGTGGTCTCATCTCATTGCTCAGTTGAATCAGACAAGGCTTACATTTAGTGTAAGGGATTTCAGCAATACATAGTTACAGTCTTTTGCGATGGATATACCCTGAATCTATGAAAACCTGACCAGCAACATTATCATTTCCATCATCATGAATTCCTAACACCCAAATTCAACGATCAATTGGACGTAGATTTTTGTAAGGAACTGTGTCTATAGGTTCTTTACATAGTTCCTTCTAGTAGACTTAAGGGATGGTAAAGTGCAAGATTATCCCTCAAAGGATATTACTTTGAAGTAAAAAAAAAAAAAAAAATCCAACTGCATTCATAACACACTGTTTGATATCATTTTAGGTCAAGTTTTTCTACTACCTTCCGCTTTTCCAAATCTCACCTCTTTTTGCACCAGAGAATCCAGTGCATAAGTTCCTCCTCATATCGATGAACCGCTCCTTACTTACCCTGAGGTTTTGCCTTCATTTTGAGTTTCCACTATTCCTTCTTCAAGAAAAATTAAACATTGCCAAATGTGTACTATTGACCATGAATTTCGTAAATTTTCATAAGGGTTCGTAACCAAAAATGCAAAGGACAATGGACAAATTTCACAATATTCTCTACAAATAAATATTTTATCTGAGGCAACTAGTCGAATTATGTCTTGACCAGAGTTGCTAAAAGAAATTTCATCGAATAAAATTTCGTGAAATTTCATCGAATAAAATTTCGTGAAATTTCATGAAATTTCTTTTTTCCTATGAAATTTCTTTCGACCGACAAAATATCAAAAATGCTTGTTTTTTATAACAGAATTTGTTTTTATTTTTAAAGAGAATAATATTTGTCAATTAGACCAAGTGGAGCGCTGTCTTTTCTTAGTTCTTCTCTTCTCGTCTTCTCTTATACTTACAAAATGCTTACTCTTTCATTTTGAAACATTTTCTCTCAGATTCAAGAAAAAGTAAAATACCTAACTACTTACTGATCACTTCAAACTACTCATCTATCACTTCAAAGCTCAAAAATACAGGTACTCTACTTATTTATCAAATATTTCCTGTTTCAAAAAAGAAATACGTCAGCGAAGGAAACTGTTAATTTCTGAAAAATCATTTAAATTGTTTCAAGGATAGTTTAAGATCCCTCCCTCCCTTTTGTACCAAAAAAGAAGGATATAGGTACTATTAGGGGGTACCAGGATTCTTTATAATCAAGAAATTTGTTTTGTTCCAAGTATGAAAGCTAACGTCTTACTTTATCCGTAAAAATTATTTTGGTGTTCAACCGGTATGGCTGTGTGTTCAACCAAAATTTGAGAAAAAAAATTCAAAATTATGTTTTTGCATGTTTTACTCAACTTCCTGGGTATTTCTAAAGTTCCCTTTGACAGTTTACCACGTGCGTATAAAGAGTCTTAATGAGATTCCTAAGTTTCTAGGGTTTAATCCTGAATTCTGAGTGTTAAATGAAATTTCCTGAAATTTCCTCATGAAATTTCTTTTTATAATCTTTCGTGAAATTTCTTAACTCTGGTCTTGACCCTTCTTGGTGCGACAAACGACAACAATGATTTTATAAAGCAAAGATTTATTCACTGAAGTGGCAACTTCGTGTTAGCATCAGCTGTCACTTGAAAATGGCGCATATCATGTTCGAATGTTTTGTTTTCATCCCTTATCAGTCAGGGAGCTTGTCTTGAACTTGTAGGGCAGTTACTCTCTAGCGAGCCAATCGAGCTGAAAATGTTGTTAATTTAGTCTCCAATTGTCTTTCTATCAGTTAATATTATCTAGTCATTATAAATTGAGTGAAATTTTGAATAGCAATCCTGTGCAATTTTATCATATAACTTCGATCATCTGTGATTTTGATACTTATTCCATGTGACCTCGTTCACCTCGTATCTATTATCATTTTTTTCAGTGAATCACGTCCCCGTCACGTATCTTGCATTTTAGCTACGTTCACTTTGTGTCAAATCACACAATTGATGAAAAATGACTGAGCCAAACACCCAAATATGTACGCCTGCTAGTACTTTGGAGTTCCTAGAAGAAATAGGTAAACTGAAAGTAAGTTTCTTTTCTTCCTACTTTAATCTCTTCAGTTTCTTCTCAGCGGAATGCTCATTCATTTTCTATTCAAGCACTGAGGAAGTTTGCACCTACATTATTTTTTGTGCCTAGCTTGAATTAAGATGATTCCATGGCAGGAGGATTACGAGCTAGAGCGACTTGCGATATCTTAACTCCTGGATTAGCTCTGTGTTTGCAGCCAACTGTCATTCTCATTGAATTTTAAGATCATGTTTTTATTGTCAAGAGGCTAAAAAATTTGCCTACCAAATTTAATGAGCTGACACAGCGTAATACAGGCAGAGAATATTTACAGGAAAAATGCAGCATTCGATTGCCGGTTCTAATACCAGTATTGAATACAATATTTTTCCTGTAAACTTTTGGAAATAGTTTAGTATATGGACCGGCCCTGAAAATAACCTATATCTCCAGCCCCCTTACGTACATTCGGGAGAAGTGAGAGGGAATGGGGTCCTAGGTGGGGACCAACTAATTTTACAACGAAATAACCGAAAACATTAACTGTCCACTAGCTAAACTTCTAAGGCAGTTTAGAATATGGACTGTTAATGAAAAGAAAGAGGAAGGCAGAAAGAGAGAATGAGGGGTCCACATACTAAACCGCCACAAGAGTTCGGATGATGGACCACTCACATAAACGACGCAGTGGAACCGTGGTGAAATCAAGTTGCGATACAGGTGCTGCAGTGCCGCAGCGGGCCGGTCGCGTTTTTCAACGGCGGCTCTTGTACTAAACTACTAAAGGAGTTTAGACAGGCTGTAAAATAGAAAACGTAATTGGTGCAGCGTCCACTTTATGAAAGGAGTTTCTCTTTCAGGCGTTGTGTCCGAAAAGTGATTGCGGGAGGCGGCCTTTAGCCGAAAAACGATTACAGCGCTCTCGAGTCGGCCCTGATTGTGAAGAAAAAATTATAAAAGACGAAAATTTGGTGGCGACATGAAAGGGATTTTCCTTTGAAAATCCTGGAAAAGTGGTTGCGGGAGGCGGCTTATGGCCGCAAAGAAAGATAACAACTCTCTCGAGTCGGCGCGGATTGTGAATAAAGAAGAAACATAGATAGTGAAAAATTTAGTGGCATCATGATGAAGGGGTTGTTCAGATGTGACAAAGCCGGTTCCACGCAAAATGTGTTGAACCAGAAAGTCAGTGCATAGTTGGCACATTCTGCGGAGACGAGAGACTTAGCTTGCCCACCCATCGGCAGGAGAGGCCCCTCTGTACTTCTGTAGCGACGGTCCATATTCTAATCTGCCTAGACAGTTCAGTATGTGAGCGGTTAATCTTTTGAAACTCACGGTATTTTGGAGGTTTTTTTTTTGGGATTGTCAGGGTTTTTTCAAGTGTGTCCCCACCTGGGACCCCATTCCCTCACATTTCTCCCAAATGTGCGTCAGGGGAGGGCGATAAAGGTTGTTTTCGAGAACGGTCCATGTACTGAACCGTAGCCAAATTGTTAGAGGAGTATATTGAGAAACTTACCTTCCAAGCGAAATTTTGCTTGTGCAATTATAATCATTGATGATCTTTTATCTTTTACAGCACCTGAAAAGGACTGGATGGGTGTTGAGAAAAGTCGATGACCCAGAAACTGTTTCGGGACACATGTATAGAATGGCTACCATGACATTTCTTATAGATGATGCCAGTGAGCTGGACAAGAATAAGTAAGACTCTTTATGTTACTTATTCATTTTTTCCTATTTATATTATTATTCTACACTTTAGAAGAAGTAAACCTCTTTCGTTTGATGTTATCATTTTAGAGCCTAGGAAAAATTAGTATTTTCTTTTGTAAGTTTTCAAAAAATCTGTGCATGTGCCATGAGTTTTAAAATAAATTATGTGACACAGCGGTCATCCAAAAAGTCTGTTGAGATTCAATAAAACTAATTGTACTCATTCGCATTTCAGTTACATTTCCAGTCTCAGTTTTAGTCTCCTTTAAATTGGACTGCATTTTGCAATTTGGAACTATAAATCCTGGCTCTTCTGGAAAAACACTTATGTGCATAGGGGAACTAATGGCAGGTATGTTGTTTTTAAACCGGGCTAGAATTTATAGTTCCAAATTGCACAATGTAGTCCAATTAAGATTCCTTATCTACATTTTGCCTCGTGCCAAGCAAGAATGTTAGGGATATGGGATGAATTTTAGTGTGCTCCTCTAGTCTATTGTAGCATTCTTTTCTTTTGCCATCTCTAGCCCTGCCAGCATCCCCAAATTTTAGTTTCCCCAACGACTGCCCCTGTCCACCTTCTTTTTAAAACTGCTTGGATTCCCCTGGGGGCTGATTGCTGAAATTAAGAGACAAAGCAATAGACAAAGAAGACATATGGAGTCAGGAGCGATCCTATTGGTTGAAATTGGTGGTTCTTATAGACTGAAGGAGAACATTATGGACTAATTTTATGGTCGCTCGTCGGGTGCTGTTAGTTACCTCCTTCTATTACCTACCTCCTTTGTCCATTGCAACCACCTTTTTTTTACCAATAGGATCCCTCAATATCCTTTTTGTTTCCTTTGTCCACTGCTTTGTCTACCCATTTCAATAATCAGCCCGCAGAATTTCCAGCATCACCTCAGGCGTGTGCAATAGAAATTTCCTCTCACTTGCATTTTACTCTGCCTCCCTTGGATTTCATGAATTAAACGGAAAAGAACATAATACAACAGAATATGTGTATGTTTTACTTTTAAGAAGGACTTTGAAAAAAATTAAGATGAAATAAAAGTGATTAATGATGTATGTAAGCACAAGAGTTTGGCTCTGATTGTCTATGATTGATGGAATATTTTTGAATGCAGGTAATTTTTTGTCATACAGTTTGGAGAGGAAGGCACAAGAGTCATTGTTTAGTGCAAGTGAGAGGAGCAGGGACTGCTTTTCTAGGCACCTTTAACAATCAAAGCTGCTTTTCTTCACTTTTCATAGATACCAACAATTTGTGAATAAGAACACGGTTTTGAAAAGTTTTCATCCATTGTATTTCACTTAATAATTATGTTTTTGTTTCTATCCGATAGATGTATGCAGATGGCATTGATTCATGACATGGCTGAATGTATTGTCGGTGACTTAACTCCCTACTGCGGTGTGTCACCAAGTGAAAAACATCAAAGAGAAGATGATGCCATGACATTATTGTCAAAACTAGTACCTCAGCCGCAAGGCCAAAACATGCTCAACTTATTCAAGGTGTGCTTATTTACTCTATCTATTTTTGGTGGTTTAGATAGTTTATTTAGTCTCCAAGCTTCTTTGAACCTTCGAGCAGAGTACTCGGAAAATTTCGTCAAACTCCTGCGAAGGTTCTGACGTCATTTATTACTTTTTTAAAAGTTCAAATGGGGACACTATGAAACTTTCACTAAGGTTCCAATAACAAAAAAAAAATCAATTAAGGAGAACAATTGTGAAGATTTTTCAAAGAAATGAGACATGTAGCCAGGAGTAATTGGTTACGCTTCAAGGAATGCCTTCAAGAATCTAAAGGGATTGAGTAATTTTTCTTCTGATTTTGTCAGTGAAGTATGATTTGTGCTTTCTACACAAATTTGTCAACAATCACTTGTTATCAATCCGATGTATCTTTTTGTTTCAGGAATATGAAAGTCAGATCTCCAAGGAAGCGAAATTTGTAAAAGAGCTTGATAGGCTAGATATGATTCTGCAGGCGTTTGAATATGAGAAGATGCATAAATCTCCTAAAAAGTATGAAGAATTTTTTGATTCTACCCTGGACAAAATCACGCATCCTCTGCTTGTACCCATCAAGGAAGAACTACTTCTTCAGCGGTCGAAATTTCAATGAATTCTTGAAAGCCAAGAATTCATTGTGCGCTGAAGTGTAATCTGTGCCTACTTTCAAACCCTTATCAGATCGAAGCTGTAAGATTATTTTCCTGCTTCGTATTCCTTGAACAGATGAATCTATTAAATAATAGCATAGAGCATTGATACTGCTTCAATTAAGATCTTCATTGATATAGCAGTCTTAATTTCGATACTACGCTTGTTGAATTCCACTGAGTCTATACAGCTGTACATAGTTTGAAAAGTTTCCGAGTCAATATCCATTATCACTTAAGCTTGAGACTTCTCGTTTTATAATTTAATTTCAGATGAGCTTAAGTTGATTGTTAGCAAGGGCTTCATTTTGGATGGCTCAACAAAATTAAATTTCAGAAAAATTGCTGAGTAGTGTAGCAGACAATATATACACACAATGCACTTACATATAACACAGTGCAGCTAAGAATCCAAGCATCACAAAAAATGACATCTTTTGCTTTAACAACTTGTCAAAACCATTTTGGAAACTTTCCTAACTAGAGCTGTCTTGTATATGTCAGTTGAAAGTAGGCACTAATAAAAACGTGTATGTACATCAAATTGTAAGTTATAATATCGGTCAAGATCGCTTGAATTACCAATTTTTTTTTTTTTTTTTTTTTTTGAATTTTTTAAGATGCAATATAAGCAATCATATTTTTATGAATTTAATGTACTAAAAACATGTTGGACTCATTCACCTACTCATACATCCATTATAAATTTGAAACTCTGTTTAATATTTTCTAACAACTCGTGCTCAAGTTACTGCCAAATGTGTACAATTCGGTTAAACCTATTTCAAACAAAATCATCAAAGACCTTAACATGGGCGTCAGTTTAGTTAAATTGAAGGGACAGGGGTGAAATAATGAAAGGAGGCAAAATTTGCTTGAAAATGGAGTGGCAAAATTCAAGAAATCTTCAGAATACAGCAACAAAATTTACCAAAATGGGCCATCCATTAATTAAGTCACGCTATGAAGGGAGAACAGGGGGTCTTAGTCTGCAAGACAGATGGTGGGAGGGAGGTTTGATATTGACTGACATCCCTCAAAAATCAATATGGAACACCAATTTTTTGCAAATTTTTTGATAGTTCCATCAGAGCAATTGAATTAGCGGAAATCAGAAATGAGACTTGTTAAGTTTTAAACATCAACCGATTTAATTATTTAAATGCGTCTAAAAATAAAATAATCGCCCTTCAGAATACTGCCATACAATATCAATTGTTTACATTAAAATGGCAGAAATGCGTGACATGATAGAGGAGAGAGGGCCTAAAATTCTGAATATCAGTGACAAAATTTGTGAACGGCCCCTTAGTGTATGCGATCAAAGTAGCGATGTTCCTGCTGTGTAAACTTGATGCCTTTAGCAATGTCATCTTAATGGATGCCACCTTTGCCACCATTGCATAATATTTTCGAGATTCATTAATTCAAGAAGATTAGTCATTATAAATACTCAAAATGACCAACGATTTGATGAAAATGTTCAACTCAGACAGCTGAAAATTGACCCCAAGTAGCCACGCACTATGTATCAGATTTTCACGGCAGAAGTTGATTGTAAGGATGTTTTATGTGAAACACTGATGTTCCTTCGTTCTAATCTTTAACTTCTAACAATTTTGAATTTTCTAATTTTTTCTATATTTCCACATCATTCTAGGGCCAACCACACATTTAATGAAGTGTCCGGCTACTAAATGGACCACAGCCCCATTTATTTCAATTTTAAACTACAGAACTCACTATTTTAATTTTAGGAGCCGGCCCACAAGTCCTTTTGGGCAATGTCTAATTAGAAGTCTGGCATCAGTCAAAACCGAAGTAAGAATGAAAGATTTATCAGGAAAACTTTTTGTTGTTTTCACACCCGAAGAAATTTCTACATGAAGGTTGTCTTAAGAGTTGAAAACAGGTGAAAACTATCCAATAGTATTTCAACTGTCCTATTGTTATTTTTTGTTTTCTTTTTCTATCAAATCGAATTAAATTTGATTTTTTTTACCTCTACTTTCAATGGTTCACTGTACCTAAGTTATTTGGATTTTATTAGTTTTAATGAAATCATTCAATTTTGTTCCTGGAATATCTTTTAAGTAACAAAATTTTTTGTAGCCACATTTAGCTTTTAAAGCTTATCTAAGTGCATACTTTGATTCTTACAATCAAAATAAATTTTCCTTTATTTTAATTTTTAATTTTCGACTCATTTTTAGTGGAAAAACCTGGATTAGTAAATATGTGCTGCGCATCCACAATGCGGAGCACGTCTGATGGGAAGAGTAGCCTGATGTTGAAGAGACGGGAAACATGTAAAGCTACTTTTAACACTGGACAAAGATTAGATGATGGCGTCCTAGACATTTGAATTGGTTTTAGTGCACTGTGGACGAATCCAGGACGCCTGACAAAAAATACTTAGAAGTATAATCACTCACGTTGGCACTATGTTCCGGAAAACTCATGACAGCTTTATTCCTTACACACATACTTTACTGACGAAAGATTGAGATCTCAAGGCCCTGAGGCGGTTAACCACCTGTAGGTCCATTACATAGCTTACACTGAGAAGCTGGAGAAAAAAGAGAGGCAATCATGGTAGAATCATCTTATCTATATTACTTATGATAAAGTAGCGTATTTCACCAGGTGCTACAGACTAAATATTAATTGTTACGTGTTCTGATGAGCCATGCACTAAGCGCTGCTTCAAGCCAGATGTCTCTATATAATTTAAAGTAATATCCTCACTAACAATCAGTTTCCTTGATTTCACTGAGGATAAGTGGCTTTAAAGCTGAACCCTCTTGACTACATTTTTAGCATTTGTTTCAAATACGGTTTTAATACTAGACTTTCATTGTTACCTTTTTGAAAAACAAATTGTTAGAGATTTTTTATTGCTTTGGGCTTTCTCCTCATTTCTTTTCGAATGACATAGGGTAAACATTTTCCAGTAGAAAAAGACATGTTTCGATACATTTTCAGGGGCTCTTTACTTCCACTTTTATTGATATTGATACTCAAAGAGCAACAGCAAAGGATTGGTACAAAAATCAAAAAGAGTATTAACAAGATTTCAAAAACAACAGTTCAAATAAATGTTCCGAAGTACAAAACATAGGATATACTTAATAAAAAAGCGAACAAATTGAGTGACAGATGATGTAGAAAATACAGTATCAACTTAACAAGGGGAATGCAAGTTTTGATTTGTCCTCCTCTATACTCAGAAAACACACTTCTCTGTAATTAGACTTACGTAATACCTTGTAAGATGGGGCCTGCATCTATAAAACTACCTTAAAACTAAATACCCAGCCATTTCAAAGTAATTTGATATTTTCTTGAACTTCTGATTGAATCAAACCATCAAAACACCCATTTCCATCAAGTTTCAACTTAGAAATTAAACAGGTAAACAAAAACTGATATCCTGCTTGGTTTAATTTTTAATACTTCTAAATATTTTAATTTTTAAGGCCAGAGTAAGTGGGTATAATCCGAATCCTTTACATCTTACAGTTCTCAATTGTCTCTCAGGTGGAAATATTACACTGATAAGTGAATTACAGAGATAAATAATGAATATTCTAGCAGTTCACGGCTCCATCCATGAATTGTATAATGAAAAAATAAAAATCAAGATTTGAGTTACTCACTCTATTTGGTGAAAATTTGAGATGTTACTATCCCTTGAAATCCAAGGAGAAAATCATCCAGAGGATCTGGATGGTTTACCAACAAAATTTATTGCAAGAGAACTGGTTTTGAATTAGTGGTTTACAAAATCCAGTCATTGTTTCCATCATCATTGCCACGTAACGATGAAAAAAGATGATCTTTGACCTTAGGGCGTGGATCTTCTTTTATTTCTGAGGGAACAGCTCCTTCTTGGCCCAAAAGGTACTCAAATTCTAGAAAAAGAAATTTAGAACTAAATGTCATAACAATGCCAAGGAAACAAGTAAGAGCCGCAAAAGTCATACCAAAACTATAAGATAAGATATAAAATCAAGACACTTGAGGCAAGTAAATAATCAGTGATTGGAAATTTCTGGCATATTATATTTAACTGATGATAATGAATGATCCAATTTACTCAGATTAATTTTTTGCACGAAGATTTGTACAATACTTATATGAATTTTAAGTGTTGAAACCGTTAAAACTACATGAAAATCTACACCTGATCTTGAGTAAAATGAGAAACTTAGGAATGTTAAAATGGGATTCTTGATAGTTATAAAACAAAAAACGCAATATTGAGGGAATCACTCTTTTACATTTAAAAGACTCACCCTCATAGGACAAATTGTTCCTAAAACTTGCAGGCCCTACAAGCTGGCTCTTCATTTCACCTTCGAAGTAGATAAACACTGTTGGTAAGTTCTTATCAGGATAATTTGGAATACAGACAGTTGATATAGATTTTAAGAACTTGGTGGCAGGAAATTTTACGGCCAACTTTGAAAGGTAGTCATTCAGTACAGCACAAAGAGGGATCCTGTTGAAAAGAAACAAAATATTAAAACAGGAAAATAAGTAGAATGTGAAGTAAACGCAAGACACAAACATAACTCCAGTGAAAATTGGTCATAACGACACTGAAGCAACAGATTGATTTCGGTAGTTATACCCTATAGTTGACTAAATAGTTATAGTGGCAGAGAATGGTGCATACTGTCATTGCTGTACTGCAATATTAAGATTCGTCTGCTCTTTTGCCAACAGGAGGGCTTTTTTTGTTATCAAAAGATGAGACATTATTTACAGACAGTAATTTGTTAATTTTAAATAGGTTTTATTTTAAAAGTTGAACTTTGAAAAAGTTGTTGAGAGAATAGGCTCACCCTTGCTTATATAGATGCAAAACAACATGAATTCCTTCTCCTGCTTTATTGACTTCGTTTACATAATCTTGCGCACTTATTTCCAGCACATGACCAAATTTCGATCTTTCAGCAGCTTCCTTCATTTCTGCTATTCGCTTCCTTCGATATTCTTCTAATACTCTTTCGTCCTCTTCATCTTCTAGCTCATCAAGTTCATCTAAAGTCATATCTTCCTTTTCTTTCTGATCTGCAATTCACACCACAAAATTACGATTATTTCACTGTCAGTTCTTAGGAATGCTCTGCATGTTTTCATTCAGAGCGCTTTCATGCAAGATTCCTCTGGGTGTGATATGATGGGAAACAGTTCATGTTTCAAGTGAGCTTGTATGCAGGAGTGCAAAACTTTCAAGGGTTCTCCCAAAATAAATTTAGGTTCCCTCATTTCAAGTTTTCGCAGAATTATGCCCGACATATAAAGTAACGTAGTCAACAATTTTGTTCCCACAAAACAGCGGGCATGAATGTTTTGTTCTCCACCTTGCAAAAAAATAAACCTTCCCCCTTCCTGCAGCGTTCCCCTATTTCACGGTACCTTGTTACAGAAGTTTCTGCACCCCTACTTGAATAAAAAAGTTCTGGTGGAACCAAGTAAATATTTTGAAACACGGTTGGAAGAAATTTGTCAAACATAATTTTACCTGCAGTGATGCTTTGTTTTTTTACTTTTCTAAAAAAAATATTTTTCGGTGCTCACATTTGAAAAGAGGAAAAAAAGAAATGAAAAAAAAAAGAGTCGCATGCATTTATAATGACTTGTCTGGACTAGGAAGCCCGCAAAAGGAAGCTTGTCTTTACTTCCCATGAAATTTCACATGTACAATACTCTCACTGTGTAACAGATCTCAAGTGACAGAAATATTCATCCAGCATGGAGAGAGCAATGACAGAGAGAGAGAGTACTGCATTCCACTATTTTGGAGTGATTTTGGATAGAAACAGAAAAAATTTGTTTAGTCACTGAATACACAAACCTTGATTCTGTAATTTTTGAACAGAACTTTCAACCATATTGACGATATCATCTTCTGAAATTTCTTTTTCTTTAGGCGGTAATATTCCCTTGCTTCTGAGAATGTCATTCCATTGCGTGTCTTCATTTGGGTCCTAAAAACATTGGAGTATAAAGTTATGAGGATAAAAGGATTTTATATTGTTCTATATTCATCCTTCAGCGAGACCCAGGTTGAAGAGGTTAGTGGTAGGCACATTCATCCATCAAAATTATGTCTCACACGTCATTTTCAGTTCTAAAGCCCAATTTACACTATTTATCTATCAAACTTTTCATCCGACATGATTGAACAAAAAGTTGGCTCAAAAAATTTGAATAAATTACCACTGCAGTGTGATATCGTCATCAGCATGCAATTTGCAAAGATACTCCTTCGGCTCATGTCGGTCGGAAGATTTCATTCCAACTTTTCGTTCAACTTTCCATCCGACTGACACTGAAAATTGAACAAAAAGTTAAATGTGACGTCACATTGAAGTTTCCATTCAATTTTTCATCAAATTGTCGTTTCCTCTTGTTAGCATCACACTATCCAACTTTTCATTTGACAAGTTGTATCCAAGAGTTGGATGAAAAGTTTGATAGTGTGACTTGGGCTTCACTTGAAGACTAAAATAAATGTAAGTGCGTAAATCGAAGTTGCACAAAGGTAGAGTTATTTTGCTCACTGGAACGCAGATTAACTTTTGAATATCTATTTGAAGTACTAATGTTACTGTAAGTGATCCTAACATGCAGTAAACTGAACAAGAGACTAAAAATTAGATTTCGCAGTCTGCTTGTGGTTTGAGAAGTTATGTCTTCTGTCTTTACTTCACTACTTCCGATCCACTGTCCATCCTTTGAGCCCATTAAAACATTCTAGTCCTTCCTAATAAATACTGAGACAGTCTCTTTGTATAATAGATAGAATGATATACGAGTCAATGGTGGCATGCATACTCAACACCAGTGGTTGGAGGAAAGAAGAGTAAATTTTCATTTAGAAAACAGACCTGCATTGTGCCTTGATGAAACACTTAGTGGAAAAAAATATGCAGATGAATCTTTGGTTTACACTGAAGTATTAACTATCAAAAGATAGAGAGCCACTAAAGCAAATTGACCTCATTTGAACATAATAAAAATTTAATAAGTTCACTACACACAACTTGAGAAAGGGAGAGGTGCGTCAGACCATAAAAGGTAAACATGTGAATGATAGGTTATGTGTTGCTCTGGTTTTTTCACTCCAAACTGGCAACAGTGCCAAGAAAAATACACACATGCAAATTTATCTTTGGAAACATAGTCTTTGTCTTTATATTTACACTTTGCTGGTCCTTATCATCACTTTTCACTTTACTTTTTATCAGGCTCAGGCAGTCAGTCAAGTCAGCACCTTCATCTTCTCCTTTTTTCTGAATAAGCATGTGACAGTGGTTATCGTAGTGATTTCTAATTATTTTCAAAATTTTTCCTTCATTATCTAGTGCTCTAAACGTATTGAGATGATCCAAAAAGCAAGTATTTTAGATTATTCGCTCCAATGCACAGCATGTGAGCGCAGGTTTTAAAGTTATCAAAGTTATCACCGAGTAACTTGTCTTCTACGGATTAAGCACTTTCTTCACTATGGTTGACAATATTGCAGTGTCTCTACCTCATCACATATTAGAACTACTGTTCTCCTACTTAGATTTAAGTGATCTTAGAAGTTGTGCCCTTGTCTGTAAATCATGGGAAAATTTTTTGAGCGATGAAAACAGCGATGTGTGGAGACTGCAGTGTTTCCAAAAACTCTCTGAGGAAGTTTTAAAATCTGATTTGTTGTCCAGTCTATCTACGTACAAAGCTAAGCTGAGAGCCCACTACCATGCTTGGAACCCTGATGATTGCTCTCGTAATGTGTTCATCAAATCAAACAACTTCACTCTTCATCGAAATCCTGTGGCGCAAAGCACTGATGCTGTCAGAGGAAAAATCGGATTCGGACATGGCCGGCATTCATGGGAAGTATTCTGGGAAGGCCCTCTTGGCACCGTTGCTGTAATTGGTATCGCAACAGAAGAAGCAACTTTGCAATGTCAAGGATATGTTGCGCTGCTTGGATCTGACGATCAAAGTTGGGGATGGAATCTTGTGGACAATCATTTATTACACAATGGAGATACCCAGGGAAACTACCCTTTGTTAAATAATGCTCCTAAATACCAGGTAAATATTTTATTGAGTATCTTAGCCCCCCTAGGGGTTGTTTTAGTATACCCCTGTCGTACATGGATAGTAGTTGGATTAGATAGTTGATAATCAAACATATCTATATCTCCTCACCGTACCTGAGTATTTTCGGAAGATCTATACCTATCCCTGTGAAGCTGTCATACTCAGGGGTGTAGAAAGCTTAAGTTCATCTCAAATAAGTTAATGCACTGTCAGATAGCAAAAGAAGATCCATTATCTCGACTCGTGCCTTTATTTTCAACGCGCAACTAACATGACATGATCTCTGTCACAGTCTAAAAATGAGTAAACTTATTCAGCAAGGGCTCTATTGGAAGCAAAAATCAATCCAAATCTCAGCCTCAAAATTTCCATGATACTGAAAAGATTACTTCACTCTTCCACAATGTCTAGGGTACACATTGAACGGGAAACGAAGAGGTAATTTAAAAAGAATAGTCCTATGAAAAACCTTCCTCTTGAACTGCAGAATTTTTTGCATCCTGTTTTAAGTATCTTATAAAAAATTCTTACTTTTAATAAGTAGCTTTCAGCCCAATTGAAGTTCTTGCATGGAGCGTCATCTTTGATCGTCATCTTGAGCGTCATCAATCATCTTTGATCAATTCTCTGTTTTACAGAGAAACTCCTAGCATTATTGCTTGAATTTTCCTTTGAACTTGTCATATCTTTTATCAAATATCCACCAGAAAGGAGTATAGAGAATGAAATCTGAAGTGAATTTTTCGTAAAATTGATTAATCCTGTTACCTTTTTTCAAAATAACTGAAAAACAGGGACTGTCTTCTAACAAAAGTGCTTCCATTTTCTTTAACGTTTCAAGTGAACATACACACACTCTTACCTGGGATGTCCCTCTGTCAGCCCTGACAAACTACTCATTGATTTGTTTTTTTCTTCTTTTTTTTCAGGTTGGAGAAAGAATTAGAGTAATTTTGGACTGTGAGACAAACACCTTATCATTTGAAAAAAATCACGAATTTCTTGGAGTTGCTTTCAAAGGTCAGTATGTCCAGCTGTCAAAGTATATTTCTTAGTAGTTAAGTATTGACATCTAAAAATATTGAGTGTCAGTTAGTTAGTTAATTTTATTTAACGACGATCAGCATCTAGGCTATTTACGTCGGGGACTAGGCAATTTTAAATTTTTAAATTTAGTTTCTTGAAGAGTTTTAAAATTTCTGTGACTACCATTGGACTATCTGAACACAAAGGGTGCATATTAAGAGGGAGGGAACTTCGAATTTTGATACGTGTGGCATAGGTTTTAGGGCAAGAAAGTAAAATATGCTTGAGTGTCAATGTTGCCTGCATATGTTGCCTTATATGCCTGCTCTGCCCAGAAAAATGTACCAAAAATTGAGAAGACTAATTCCAAGTCCAAAAATGCTACAATAAAACATGGGTACTCTGCGTTGCATAGGCTGGAAGACCTTGTGTTGGCTCAAAAAGCCCAGCTAGTCTTGGGCCTTGATGGTTGTGTAACCATTTCCTCCACCTAATCAAACATACAACTCCTTTGAATGATATGCCTACTAAGCCAACAATATCCCACCAATCCCGAGATCTAAAAGTTTTACTCCACAAAACTTCAAAAATATATATGAACCTACGAGAGTCAACTATGGCTTTGTGCAGCTAACTCTAATAGCCCAAAATGAAGTCTTATGCCTCTTTACTTTATTTGTAAAATTGATCCTAAAAATTAGCTGTAAGTCGAAACAGATTAATATAGTCTGCAAAAGGGTGTATTAGAAGCGTATTTTTGTTGATGTTCGGTCGAACGAAAATGGGTGGATCATATCAGTTTTGTGTTTTGTTTTGACGCGATCATACTTTTTCGGAATAACACTGGGACTCACCAGATGGATAGAAGGTGAAATTCTTGCAAACGTTGGAGCCAAAATATAATCCTACAAAAAGCAGGGTTCAGAAATGACCTGATGTAGATGATGGCATCCGACCAGCATCAATTCGGACAGTCGAACTTCAAATGTTTACCAACCCGAGTATGATCTCGCTGCCATTATTGCGGCATTTTGGCTTGACCGATCATCAACGAATATACGCTTTAGGTGTACTCATAAAATTTGTTTCACTTATCATGAAAATAATAGAAAAATGTGCGAGCCATTTTGAAGGGATTGACAATCGGTCCCATGAGGCTGACTGGGCAGTGCCAGAACTACTCTCTGTTGGTCCCTTGGGACAGTCATGGTGGTCAACAAGTTAAACATTATGAATAAAGACTTTGAATTACTTTGTCCCTAAAGCTTCCAGTACTCTCGATTTTTGCTGAGCCAAGCAAGCCAGTAGTTTGAATGAAGTACGGGTGTCATATTATAAATGGAGTTATGCTTCGAGCTTTTCAAGTAACTTAATGCTTTGTGAATTGCTGCAAATTTTTGAACAAAAATTCCAAAGCTAGGGCTTATTATGAGCTTCTTGTGAGCCACAGTAGTTTTCCTGAAAAAAAACGTCAAAAATGTTCTTTAAATAACATTATTTCCCTGTCAAAGTTCTGGTGCATGCTGATTTCCAAATTAATACGCCATTTACTGTTTTCAGGTCTTCCGCCAAAGAAACTATATCCTTCAGTTTCAGCTGTTTATGGTAACACTGAGGTTTCAATGGTATACTTAGGACCACCATATGATGGCTGAGAGCATTGGCATCGAAGAAACAGTTGGATTTGTGTTTGACAGTAATTTACAGATAGTCCGTCGTGAATGGTTCCACTGAATTGCAACAAATTATTGGTAATTCTCTATCAACTCATCAAAACTCATAGGAAAATAAGCAAGGAAGATTTTAGATATTTTCATTTTCAATTGTGTCGCATCATGTGAAAACAGCTAATATCCATTTCTTCAGGTCTGAGTTTTGTTTCTTAATAATATTTTTCAAGAGTTAATGTGGTCGAAGATGGTATAAGGACTTGCTATAGGTTTGAAGTAACCCTATTACAAGTTTTCACATAATTTTTATGACTGAATCTAACGATCAACCTCCAAAAAACCCAAGACTCGAAAAATGGCCATTAGCCGTTTTTGCATGATGCGCTTCAATTAATGAATGCATTTTTATCCATTTATTTCTAGGTTTCTGTTGGTAGAACTATATACTAAGTTTGGGTTCTAGGTATCTAATATCAGCTTGTTTGAAACATCTCAAATCATATGGTTCAGCTGGTAATGCTCAGTTTGTCTTTTCATATTAAAATATTTTTAGAGCAAATAAAGCTCAATGATCATTTTTTGTCATCGTGATCTTAAGCTCAAGAAGCTATTCAAGGCGACAGCAAGTGTTGCTTAACGTACATATGTTTTAAGTTTTCCGACAAGAATCATTGAAAAAAAAAAAAAAAAAAAAAAAAAAAAAAAACCCATAAACAGAAAAAAAGGAAGTGTATGATACGATGTTGCCTAAAAATATTTTTAATTTTTTTCTGTATTATAGTTTAAAAAGCTTGTAGGGAGACCTGGACCTCTTAAATTGAAATTTGAATTGTTTTTGATCTCCAATTTTTTATTTATTTTTTAGCTGCGATCTCCTTTTTTTATTTCAGGGTTACTTTTTTCTTTTGTTCCCAATTTGTAATGATTTTATAATTTACTTAAACTTACTCCACGTATTCTTATTGAGGAGTATGGAGGCAAAAGGCTGCTCTTTTCTGATTCTCATAAGTTACAAGAAAATCACTTTGCAGCTGGGTTTTTTTTTTTTTTTTTTTTTTTTTTTTTTTTTTTTTTAATCTAAAACATGGAGGAGCCTTTTAATAGCTTTTCAAGAATAAATAAAATCTGGTTATTTCTGAGATTTTCAAATCATATCCATAAGCGGAGGAATTTTTTGCAAGAAAATTCAAAACACAGTTTTTACCCCCAGATTTTAGAGCTGTCCATCCAAAACTTATGAAGTGAGTTGTAGCATATCTCTGCATCACATTATCCGGCTCTAATTCCAACCAAAGTGTTTATCTGTGAATATCTGAATAATCGTATGCTACCTTTTATTCCGCTGTGTCCTATTTGTCAAGCTGGCATTCACATCTTAATCCTTCACAAATGATTACTTTCAAGCTGATTAATATTCGTCCACGTAAACTTTAATGTCACCATTCTTACAGTAAAGGTCCTAACTAAGAAATTAGAGGCCTGATTGCAGTGATTTCTGACTTCAGTGTTTCCTGATTGAAGTCAAAGAAGATTTCACAGCTTTCAAGAGTAAAATGTAATTAAAGACTATCCTTTCATCAATGGTTGATGCAAGAGTATTGTGGCTTGACATTCAACGTTCATCCCTATGACCATTTAGACTGATAGAGTTAGTGAATAAGTACATTTAGTCAACAATAACTAAAGATTTCTCCTACATCTATGACTGATTTTATTTACTAGGCATAAGTCTTCATTGACATTTGAAAGAAAAGTGATCATGTAAGCATAAGGAAAATTATTTTGCCTAGCAGTCAGTTCGGCAAGTTAATAGACTACTAGGCATCAAATGAATCAAATTCATTAATCCTCTCTTCAAACTTTTATGTCAAACCAATGTGCACAGCCAAAAATTCTAAAATCAACTCCACAGCAAGACATATCTAAACATTTAAAATCCACAAGCCAAAGATATGAGCGTGTTATAAGTTAAATGTAAAGTTAGGAGATTCAAGTATTTGCAAGCACTATGCGTGACAGAAAAATCGATGAATGATGTGGCAAAAGTTTCATTTGATGTAAAAGTAAAGTGCACTGGTTAATAGTTTCACTGCAGTCGATCTCCAGAAGTTTTGGTGTCTGTTCCTTTTCTATACAGAACTTTTAAGATATTGTACTTTATGCAGATTTTACATTGTCATCGTCTTTACGGACTCATTTTTGCTGTGAGTTTCCAACTTACTAGAATCCAAGCCAAGTAAGTTTATGCACTTTTAGACTGCGACAGAAGATTAGTGAAGATGTAGTATCAGTTAAGCACTGAAAGTGAGTGCAAGAATGCAGATGGCAGAGCTTCTGTTGCATTCTAAAAGTGCATAATCTTATTTGGAGTGGACTCTCACATTCTTTTGCTCAAGCATCAAGAAGTAATTTGTTTACCCATTTTCTTTTAGGTTTCACTGATCTCTTTTTAATCAATAATTTTGAGTCACATACATCTCTAGGTCCGTAAGTCTTTCCTATAATTTAGTATCCTAATATTTTCCTTCTTGCTGCTTTCTAGTCATTTTCATTTTTATAATTTTGCATAAGTCAGAAACAATTAGGGCTAATATTTACTTTTAATACTTACTTTTTATTTTTTTATTTCTCAAGCTCATTTTGAGCAACTTTGTTTTGATAAAATATTAATCATTTTCCACGAAGTTATTTATCATATTCCATGTTTTGGTCCTCTTTTTGCTTTTCCTGAGAGCTTTCAATGGGTAGAAAGTATTGAGACTAGAACGAGATGAGTACCTATCTGGTGCAATGACATGTGAGATGAAAAAGGAATAATAACATTTTATTGCACATTCAACTTACTTGTGCCAACTTTTTTGAAATTTTTGTGCCTCAGTGACAGCTCAATATTGAGGCATTGCAGTCTCATTGGACAGTGTTGTAAATTGAAAATGTAATTTGCAGAAGTGTTCAAGAATTGCAATTCGATGAAAAAAGAGAGTCAAATAATAAACCTTTAACCAGCATTCTTGGGAAAATAAAAAGATCCCCCCCCCCAAAAAAAAAAAAAATTTACCCCTCTCCATTTTTTTTTTAGAGAATGGTTGTAACTATCAAGATGTGCCCTTAATAGTTTAAAAGTGCTCCTAGATACCTGTAAAATAAAATTCAAAAAAAAAAAAAAAAAAAAAAAAAAAAAAAAAAAAAAACACGAAGCACCATGAATTAAAACTTGATTGCTCGACTAAATCTTAAGAAGAAAAATTTTACTCCCACTAATTTTCTCCTTCAGGGTTTTCAGCACTTTTTTTAAAATTTTTTTGGAGAGATGCCACGAGAAGAACTTTGAATAACTGCTTTAATTTTGGATATGGACTGAAATGGCCCGCCTCGTAGACTATTTTTAAAGATTGAAAATAGCTACTGATGACACTTGTTGCTTCATGTTTCTTTCATAAGAAGTATCCAATGGCAAGAATTTGAGAAAATATGTCTTCAAAAGTGGGATGAAAAATTCGGGAGATTCTTTGAAAACGATTGAGAGGCTGGGTCATTTGATGAATAATACCAATTCTCATTCGGTTAAGGTTTGATTTTATTTTCAATGCAAAATTTACATTGCTTATCTTATTTTTTCCTCCAAAAAAGAAGAAAAAAATCATGAAAAGTCAGGAGTTGTAACATAACTTACAAAACTCTATCAATCAGTCCATTTTTTACCTACAGCACTCCATGAGGTCTTATTTTATGCGTATCAAGAGGACAAAATAATTATGTAAACTGCATCTTGATATATGTACTAATATTCGCCCAAAAAATGGAAAAGAGCGGTACTTTTTGAACAACATGTATGTATTCCTGTTTGTACAAAACTTTTTTGTTAAAAATGGGGCTAGTCATGATTATTATCCGTTTGGACACAGATTGGTTTCTATGTTTTTTGTTTTTGTTTTTCCTTTTTTTTGTTTGATTTTAAACAAATGTTGAAAAAATAGCACTCCAGTTTTTATATCTTATTTGTATAATTAATGTGAATCTCAGTGATCTAGGGATGAGAACTGATTATCTAAAGCTGTGAAACAGCTACGTCTTTGAAGAACAGTTATTATCGCAATCCAGGATTTTATATAAAACACGGAACTATAACATTAAGAGACGTACATACTGAAGAATATGATGTCAAACTTGAAAGATTTATAGAAAATTAATATCGTAAACTAGGAAAACGGACATTACTCTTTGATGAAGTGAGTAAGTGAGAGATGGCGACATGATATCTATCTTTCTCATCTATTGTGTCAACAAATCAAGCCATTCCCTTAATTTTCAATTTAAATTTTCATCAAATCGGTATTTATGCTGCCACATGTCATGGTTTGGTGTTTTACACAAATTCCTGGACTGTGATAATTACTTTTTCTCATAGACACCTGGTGTACTGCAGTGTAACGTAGTGGCGGTTTTCATTCCTAGATCACCTAAATTTATTTCAATTCCTTGGCTCTTTGCCAATCGCTCACATTAATTTCATAATTTTACAAATAATCCATCATTCAATCAAATTAAATTTAATATTGTCCAAGCTTTCAGTAAAAACTGAAATCTTATCTTGCTGTTTAGATACTTGATTTTAAGAAGCAGCCAATTTTGTTTTTCCTTCCTTTTGTTTTTTCCAGTTTTTCACTTTTGAGTTTTCATAAGGTCACTGGGAGTGAACTTTAATTTGTACTTTTGGATTTCACATTTTTATATAAGCACACCCAAAATCTGATGAAAGAATGGAAAGTGATTTTTTGTAAGGTGTGAACGATCGTAGAAACATATTTCCCGTGAAAAATTTCCAGTTCTCAGATTAAAACTGCCAGATCTTTTTTTAAAAATTGCCTGTCTTGGTTTGATGTAAGCGCCGTGTGTTTTGCAAAATTAAACACGTGCGATTTGTACTTACGGCTGTCTAAAAAACCATGTTTATCTGAACTTTGACCTATCTATCTTGATTTGAAGATAACAATGATAAGCGACGCAGTACTGTGCAATGATGTGCAATATTTTTCACTACTAAAAAAGAAATCTATTTTTTGGCGTCTAGGTCATCATACATGTCTTGTCTTCAGATATAGAGTAGTCATTTATACCTCATCAGTTCAAAACCTCTAATAGGTTACCCAAAATATGCTAAGTATAGTCAACAAGTCAATCAGGTATTTTTAGATTTTTTGGTTTTGATTTTATTCAATTGAAATTTTTTCATAAATTTATAACTTTCTTATGTGTATGTGTATTTTGAGTGGATGGCCCATTTTCTTCGACGAAACGTTATGTGCTGTGTAATTGAATATAAGCATTCCTTAAGTCTTTTCCCACTTTAGATTTGAAGCAGTTGACCCCACTGTAGCGCATATTTTGTCATTTTTTGTATGATTGTTGCAAATATTCATAAATCCTTTTTCTTTTTTTGCCTCTAAAAAACCATTGTTCCGCAGTTAATGCTAATGCCAAATTGCTTTGAACCCTTGCTTCATATGGTTAGACTGCCTCGATGATCTGCATTTATTCCAAGTTTCAGACTTTTTGTTCGTTATTCTAGGTGTCCTCTCTTGAGCACTAAATTTATTCCGTAACATGAAGAGCGGGAATGTAGCCACTTGGCACTAGTGGTAAAAGTAGTAATTTTAATATTTTTGAGGTGTATCAAGTCGGAACACTCAATGAACCGCAAGCAGGGCAAGCTCTTTTTTCTTCTAACAATTGACTCAAAACTCTCAATTTGTGCTTTCCTCCCAAAAGAATGTAATTATTTTTAAAGTTCCAAGTTACAAATGTTATTTGTCAATTTTTTACTCCAAAATGATGATTTTTAACTCATGGTAATTATATTTTTTGACTTTATTGATCGAGTAATGTTTTATGAAGTCTTCAATTTTAAATAAAGATGGCCTACTCTATCTTTATTATGTCATTTTCCTTTCATTAAAACCTTACCAAGCTTCACATTGATGGCAACAGTGCCAAATCATGTATTTATATTGCAATGTCTCAAAATTTCCGCTCCTATTTTATTTGTTCAAAGATGAATATGCCAACTTCATGGCTTGAAATTGTCCATGTAACCCCTGTCAAATTTTTTGATTTTGGACAGGAAAAAAATTTTGGCGACCGGGAAAAAACGAATGTTATTGACTGTTAGGTGAAAGTTCAGCGAATGCGCGTTTTTTGCCAATCGCGAAAACCAGCCGACTCGTGAAGCCTTATAGATCAGATAATCGGACTCAGTGGGTCATTTCCAAGTGGAATAACTCGGTTTCAGCCCAGTCCGAGAACTTTCGATTTTGACCCGGAAATTGCAGAATATTTTACTATAATATAATATATGCTTGAGAAGCAACGGTATTTGCCGTTTGCATGGAAACTTCAGTAATGAAGAAATGCTTTAGGAACTTCAAATCATGTTTTTGGTTTATTGTGGGAAATGGTCAGTTTTCTTGAAAATTAAAAGATTTTAGCCAGCAGCAACTGCTGTGTGCAACCGTGGTAATCAATTAGAGTATGATATCAGGAAGCAACGGTGCTTGCCGTTGGCACGAGAAACCTAGATCCTTATTATCCTTTGAAACATTAGTACAAGTATCTGGTCAACTGTTTGAAGTTCCTGAAGCATTTCTTCATTAATCGAGTTTCCGTGCTAATGGCAAACACCATTGCTTCTTGAACGTAAATGAGAGGAACAGTCAAGGCAGTTCTCAAGAAATTAATACATTGAGTAGCTTTCCAAAAAACAAAGTAAAGTATGACAGGGAGTTTGCTTTGTCGCAAAGGGAGATATGTGGTTTAGAACTTTGGCCATTGACATTATACATAGGATATAAATGCAGGGTGATCCAAAAGTCCCTTCCACCCCCTTTAACTTTTTACCTAATTGAGGTAAAGATTTGAAACTTGGGAGATGTTCCTAGGTCAAAGGGAGCTACTTTTTGGCCCCCCTCAAGTTTTCAGGGGGGCAACAGACCCCAACTTTAAATTTTCAAATAGGAAGACCCCCTTTGTGATGGCTCGTTCGAGCCAGAGAAGTTTCAAATTTTTACCTCAATTAGGTAAAAAGTTAGAGGGCGTGGAAGGGACTTTTGGATTACCCTGTAAATAATGGGAAGTATGAAGTATGGAAGAAGGACAAAATTTGCATTTAAATAAAAATGATTAATAATTTAGGATACTACACACTTTTATGTGAAATAAATTTTCTAAATTTACTTAAGTCTATATGAACAAAGAAATTGCAAGATGGGCTGATCTAACTAGGATTTGATAGAGTCCATGCCAAACAAGTTTAAGCACTTTTAAACTGCAACATAATATCGTCTGAAGTCAGTTTTGCAATGAAACAGAGGGGCAATAATCAAATTCACGGGTCTTCTCAAAGAGCAGTCAAAATGTCACAGATGCCTCTGAAAATTCTAATGTTCTGCAACCTTAATGAAGAAAAGGTCCAGGAGGATTACTATCGTCTGGTTCGACCATTATCATAGTGATTGGTGACAGTTTCGATTACGAGTTGCTTAACATAATTCTCATAAGGGCCTTCAAGATATTAAAATCTTGATATACAAGCATTGCTAAGCAAAATTATGTAATTTGAGGATATCATTATTGAAACGCAAAGTTCAATAAAATCCATATCGTCAATTGCAATAAACTGGATGATACCATATGCATCAATTTTTATTTGCAATTTCGCCATAGAACATTAACATGAATCATTCAGAAAGATAGTTTCTAATTATTTTTCCTTAAATTTAGGTAAGAGTGCAAAATGAGCAATTATGCTTTTAGAAAAACGATTTGATGGTTAAGAAGAAAACAGTCTACCTGCTGACAATTTTACAGGACAAAGTAAAAACTTAGTAATTTTTGTAATTTAAAGGTTGCGCTTGCAATTTTTATTATAAATTCATTACAACATCATTACTGCGCTCCCATGCAGAATAGGAAAAAACTAGAAACTTCAAACACTGACTAAGTAATTTCATTCAAGATATATAACAGCATAGACGCTACAGGTCTGATGGTAGCTTTTTGAGTTCAGTTTAAAGAAACTGACTCATCTAAAAATCTGATAACTACTGAATCTATCGGTTTCATAAATTTATTTATTTATTCATTTTTTATTTTAATATTTAAGATGGTTAGATTATTAGGTGGCTGTGACGCATTCTTGGATGTACAAACACAAGTGACTAATTCTGATTCAAAAGCAAGTCTTCACAAATCGATAAGTGAGTCTGATTACAGTCAAGTGAAATATAAGTGAAAAATATGCAAGACTTGAACTTTAGTCTATGATTTGAGGAGAGTCTGGTTGAATTTTGGGTTGCATTTCGCTAATTAAGAGCATACAAACTCCACCGCTTCAATTGACTTTTCTAAATTTACTGAACGGTTTTATGACTTCACATAGTAGTTTGAACTACTTTGTAAAACTGATAGTACTTAGTTCACAGAACTGCTTTGATGAACTGAGTATCAACTTATTTTGCTCAGTACTGTGTCCAATTAAACATGAAAAACTAGTGTAACTAGTGTATAAGCTTAGAACAAGCCCAAAATCCTCCAACTCATATATATGAAACAATAGAAATTTGAAAATAAATTCTTTACATATTTACAGTTATGTATTTTCCCTTGAAGCATGAGAATTTGAATTATTTTTACGAGCAGGAACAGACATAACAGCTAAGATTGGAGTGTACTACTGCAAAGAATCTTCTCATTATTCAGAAAAAAAGAAGAAAAAACCATTAAATATTTCGAAGCAGAGGTATAAAAAACTTTCAAAACTCATGACCTTGAAAATGATTGTAAACTTTAAAAGGATGAAATTAAAAAATTAATCAATTGCCATATAGATGAGGCTAAAACCATCTAGGATGATATTTTTGTTCAAGACAAGCAATTATGCCTTCAAAAGTGACTGGTGACTAGTATGCCAATCATGCATCATGGTAATGATTCAGTAAAGATTATTTTTTTAGCGTGAAATACAAAATATATTTTCTATTTGCTACTTCAGATAACATTCCAATTTCTTGTGACAAAGAATATTAATTTTTCTACGTATCAAGTTTGGATTGCAATAGGTAAAATGAAAAGCGGCAAATTCTATGTTTTAGCAACGCTGGTACTCATGAGTCACTTTGTGAGAATATTACAATATTGTACTGAAAACTGAACTCTTGGATCTAAAACAACAAGGATGAAATATTGAAATTCTATGTACAGAGTAAGCAGATAAACTTAAGAAAAAAATAACAATTTCATATATTCTGAGACCTTCAAATACAGAAAAATCAGCCGAAGAGGAAACTAACTTAATAGACTAAACTACTTACAAAAAAAAACATTTGTGTCGACTCTAATTTGGCAATTTAATTGCCTGACTGCTAGGCGGGTAAGAGAAAAGCGGATGACGCTCATGACACTTTCAAATAATTGATAGATAACTTTGCTAATTCACATTACTTTGTATGTATTTAAGTTTTTGCCGGCTAAATTAATTGTGATGTTTCTCAAAAACTAATAAGGTGGCTGATTACCTTGAGATCAATGAGCAGGGACAGAACAAGTTAAGATTACATATAATTTATGCTGCTTTTCATGGAGGGTATCACAACTGAACCTCATGAGCCCTGCTTTTAGAGGCAATCTTTTTGAGACTCTGTGTACTGATGCACTCAGTTTCTTACGATAGATTTTAGAGATTGTCATAACCTGTTAAAACTTAATGCAAACTAATGTTTCTCAAAAACAACAACTGGTTTTTAAGTCTCCAAGCTCCAGTGAGAGAGGGTTTACTAACTTCCACATTCTTTTTAACATTCTTCTTTGCATCCGAAAGGAGGAGTATTGATAAGGGCTGTGTTTGGGCCTAACCGAGTTGAATTTTAGCAACTTCACGATTTTTTGTTCGTTAAAGGTCTATATTAACGGAACGCATCATGATTGGGCCACTTGTGGTCTCTTTTTGGGCCTATTACTGGTCTAAATATGGTCAGAGGGCCGATTTTGGCGAAAATTACGGATTTCTTGGCATCAGACCGCAAACCTACATTTTTCACCAAAATCAGCCTTCAGACCCATGTTCGGGCCAGCAGTAGGGGTGTTCAAACGAATTCTTGCCGGAACACTATCGACATCGTCTCTTATTGAAACTGGCGGCAGTACTGACAGTGGCGATGATATCGACAACAGCCGGCCTTATCGGAGTTTTGAGAGCTCGCACTCAATGCATTGTTACCCTGTGCGTTGGTTTATCAGATTGCCTGGCGCAGCAGCGCATAAAATAGATGTACAAATGGCAACAGCTTATTTTCGACAGCTCCGAAAACTCTGCTCGTTATCGGCAAGAGCCCTCTTATCGTAACTTTTTCTTAACGGAACTGTTTCGGTAGCTTACTGACAACCGATAGGACAGCCCTAGCCAGCAGTAGACCCGAGAAGAGACCCAAATACCGAATTCATGACTGATTTGTTCCGAAAAATATAGGCCTTCGATGAGCAAAAAATCACGGGGTTGAGGAAATTCAGGGTAGGCCCAAAACTGGCCTTCATCAATATCCCTCCTTTGTTAGACAAACACTCAAATTCAACAAAAAATTAGGGTATCATTCGTTCACTGTCTTCAACGATGACATTTCAGTACGGCATACGTTCACATATTCAGGCATATTATACTTCTGACAGCACTAGAGATGAAATTAGCAGAAAGGAACCAAGCCACATCAGCTATTGCCAAATTTAACTGGGTAATACAATATTTTATGAGCTAACGTTTGTGCGGATTCCTTTGAAATTTTTTAGGAATTTGCTTCAAACTATGGAGAATTTTCACTGCAATTTGCACGAAAATCCACAGAACCATTTTCATGTAAAAAATTAAATTGGTAATAGCTGATGTGGAGCGGTGACAAAAAGAAATCGGGACACACACCATTCCTGATAGTCGATCATATCGTCATGGACATGAGAAACAGTTTGTATCATTACAAAATTCATCTATAAATCATTTGGTCTTTTCCTGCAAATGATTTTCCTTTAAAATTGTACATATTAACAAATTAATCTCACTGCTGTCAAGAGTGAAATACAGGGTTGCTAGATTGTACAGTTAAACCTGCCTGCTTAAAGTTAACTCTTATGAAAGAAATCCTATACCATCTGGCAACCCTGGAATTAAATATAAAATATAAACAAGGTAATAATAAAATGATCACAGATAAAAAAAACATAGGGGTTGAGGCCCGTTGGAATGACTAGGGCGGAACTTTGTCAGGGGGTGAAATAGGGTTCGGAACAATGATGTTATTTGTTCGTTGCGGAGATAGCAGTTCTTGTCGATCGCGTTCTCGTTCCCGACCGGGTCTGAACGCTTCAAGCAATAATTCAACTCGGTCCTCTGTGGGTCCCCATCGTTGGTAGCCAGCATTGTTTTGAAGCCAAATGACAACTGTCCCATGTGAGGAGCGTACATTCATGTCAGCTCTGAAAAAGTGGTTACAGCAGTGATATTAGTGGATAAGGAGTTTCAATTTGTACGAGACTGTCCCAAAAAAGAGTATTCTCGCCAAGCTGAGGATGCTGACAAGTTTGCACTTTTCCAATGAAAGATTTTTCATAAAACTTAACATTAAAAAGGCGCTTTTTATGCATTTTGTAAAACTGAAAAGCAGAAAGAGGGGAGGTCCTGAGCCGGAAACCCATTTAAGTTGGAAAATTTGTGTAGTCTAGATCGGAAACAGCGCAGCTAGGTTTTACTGTGTTTTACTTTTCCTCCATGTATCAATGATAACAATATCGAGGTTTAATAAAATAAGGTTAAGGGAACGAAACATGGATAAAACACTTATATAAAGCAGTAAACTTACTTATTAATGATGTGTTGGAAGCCATGTCTATACTCATGTTCGAAGGCTGGGACAACTACATGTTTCCTCTTGAAATGGGAGGATTCCAGACGCGAAAGCGCTGATGGAGTAGGATCGCGCAAGTCTGGCAGGGTAACAACAAATGACAACGGCTCACAAGAATCAGTCAACAGCCGCTCAAAATGAGATACCATGGCATCCAGAAGTTCTTCACAGTATGGGGGATTCGCTTCAAATGAGCCACTGATTGGCTTGAAATCTAAGAGTGGCCTGAAAAAATTGAGGGTACGTTTAGCACTAATAAAAGGTCGAGGTTTTTTGTGCTAGGCTTAGGTGATATCGGTAAAAGAAACTCATTTACAGCTTGGCAATTAGAATCAATTATTTTTTTACAAGAATATGAATACTAATTTATTTTTGGACCAATTTGAAAAAGAAAAAATGATGAAATCACCATATCGATGAGAAACCATGTATTTCCATTAACAATGTTGCACACTTTCTGTCATACTTTATTTTTTAAATTGAAAAAAGTCAACGTAATTTCTTAAGTTTAAAACTGCCTTGAATTTCTACTCTGTCAGCAGAATATTCTGTATAAAATTCAAGCTATAAAGTTGGCTTGTTCCTTTTTGAAAAAATAAAATAGGAGCCAAAATTTTGAAACACCACAATGAAGATACATTGTTTCCCACTTTGGTCATCGATCTCCTGAAAGTAAAAGATGGATACCAAAGGAGTCCGGTAATAAACAGCAATAATGTTCCAAAAATCTGAAGAAAAATGAACATGATAAGGCAAGAATGACATTTAATTTGTCTCATTATCAACTAATATTCTAAGGAAAATTAAGAACGTACCCTCTGGAGCCAAAATAAGAGTCTGTGTCTGCGAACGCAGAGCAATATTGTCTAAAGTAACAATTGAGAGGGGAAGCGAAACACTCGAACGTAACGCCAAAAGTTTTATTAAGGCACTCCATGACAGTTATAGGCAGTGCTACTTGTGAATGAGGACTGTCCGCAGTCAGAGCTTTGTACCGTTTCAACAAACACCAAACTCGTGACAGAAATAGCTCGAATTTTTTGTCATCAAAACAACTAACTCTGTATAGCTGCTCCTGTGGGAAAATTTGGAAAACAATGATTAAGAGAATGTTCAAGAGTTTTACAATCAAATGTCTTGCTTCATAAACATCTAAATAAAAATGCCATTAGTTTTCAATGTCTTGCACATCTTTTATTTATTTATTTTTTTTTTTCCATTTTACGATGAAAAGATAAGCCTGAAAACTGATTTGCTCAAAGACGTGTCCACTTTCAAGCTAAAAAGGCTTAAACTGCACCAAGAAAGGACCAACAAGTTTCATACTTTGGGCTTAAGGGCTTATCCTGGGTACAAAATAATGTATTCCATACACCAAACATTCTTAGCTAAATTCAATTTTTTCGTTTCTAGAATTTTTTTGTTTTTGGTGTTGGGTATTTTACAAAATAGGCAATTCAACTCTCATCTTCATTGATAAGAACTATGTTGTAATGACAGAGATAGGGACAGTCTTTAGTAACCATGACACTTATAATGGTAGTCCTTAGTCACAATGACAATTGCATTGGTAATTATCAGTAACTTGACAGATGTTCAAAAATTTGAACAGTCCCTGGGACACGGGAAAAGCCAGAAATACTTCCATAAACTAACAATCTTTAGGTACACTTCATGCCGATGCAGTTTACGCATCTATAAAGTGCGACAAAATATTAGCTGTCTTCAGTTTTAGCATTGAACGTAAATGGAGGAATCAAGATGGTAGATTTTCTGTTGCACCCTATACCGTAAACTTACTTGACATTGACTCAGAACAACAGTAACAGGCACATAAGAACAAGAAAATCATATAAGAAGAGCAGCAAAAATGCAAAAAACGAGTTTAAAAAATTTGACTTTCACCCTTTTTAAAAGTACCGATTCAAATATAGTATTTTCTTTGAGAAATACACCCAAATGTCACAAGTGAGCACTGAAAACAGCATAGATACGTAGGACCATTTCATCTTTGAGCAGCATTTAGCGCCAAAAACATTAGGTCACCAACTCTGTGAATGCATAGTCTAACCTCCAAGGAGTTCATGTGGATAAGTTTTCCAGATATAAAGGAATGGGTTGGATAAGTCATTTTTATTTCATGCTTTGATTTATGCAGACACCAATGATATAATGTAAAGAGAACAAACCAATTTCTGAAGGTAGATGTTATTGATTGGCTGTGCATCACCATGATAGCGCAGCATTGATTGTTCCTTTTCCAGCAAGTACTCAATAGTTGGAAGCCGTGTACAAGGAATTCCGAACAGCACTGGATAGCACCAGACTTTTCTTCTGTTTACTTCTGGAGGTGGGACAGGTTCTAAAAAAGAAAACACAGAATATTGAAGAAGCTTGTGGTGTAGAAATGTCTGTATTACATTATTGTAGAAGTTTCATCGTTATGACTGATCTTTGACCGAGAGATTCCGTTCTTTCCCTATGACGCACACAGCTCAACCCTGACAGAAAGTCATAACACATTTTCATTTTGGGTACAGTGCACCATTCAAAACACCCGGAGAAATATATGCCTTTCAAAATATCCAATCATGTTCTATGTTTCATTGGATAATTCTTAAAATTGTTATTTTTGAGATTTATGAAGATTAGGCTTTAGTTGCATGAAAAAGAATTTGTTTTAGTTATTTTGTCTGACTTGAATCCTCTAATTTCTTAAAAATCATACTCAAGCAATGTTTGTTTTAAGCTGCGACAAAAGTAAACAAGTAGCAAAAGCTACCTGCTGAGGGGGCGCCGCCCCCCCAGACCCCCCCTTTCAAATTATATATGTGAGACTTTGAGTATCATAGAAGTCGTGCGGCGACATGCCGAATGAAATGCCACAATTAAAATTATTGGATCAGATGATGAGCNGTTACTTGGTTCCTCGAAAATTCTCCTCTTGGACTTAGCCTAAAAGTGTGGACACTTTTTAGCCTCCGGCGAAACCTAGAGTCTATACGGCTTCGCCGCACGACTAAAAACCAAGAAAAGCCAACTAAATTTATCATTTTTGTCAAATTGATCATACTTTTTTATTTTGGAATGAATATTTTAAAATATTCTGAACTGTCATGGTGCCTTACGGCAATAATTTGAAAAAAGTGGTTTAATTTTGTTATTTATGAGCTTGGAAAAGAGCCAAACGCACAGGTTCATTATAAAGCTTGATGCATCCTAATGCTAAAATGGGATATTATTTGACTACAAGACCACTTACCTGATATACCTTGCTCTTTGAGTATTTCCCAGTGTTTATCTTTAATTTTTTTAGCATAGTCTGCTGACAAGTGATACACTTTAAGACAAATACCTTCTACAGAACTTTTTACCGTTTCTGTTAGATGAGGCTGACACTGTGCCTGAAATACAAACAAGAAATTATCCTGGTCAATAAGAGCAGTTTAAAAGGAATATCCATGAAAAAAACAAAAAAAAAAAAAACATTTTCATAAAAAAATTACCTCATGCACACATGGATATTGTAATGATGTGCTTAAACATTTTCAGCACCCCTTGGACTGCCTTAGAAATACCTAATTAAGGGGGCTGGCGAGTGGCCTTAAACAGAAGGGGAGGGTTAAAAAATGTGTAATACATACATTACGCTGCTTTCACAGCGCAGCCTCGAGCTCTGCAACGCCCAATCGCCATTGCCCCCTATCCTCCCAGAGATGATTAGGCAATTGGCACCTTTTGATCTCCTCTTCCACCCCTTGTTGCCAACCTTTCACAGGATGTTCACGTCGCCGCCTTTCGGGAAGAACCCAATCAAAAACCTGCTTGGGCGCCCGATCGTCTGTCATCCTTCGCACATGTCAATACCAGACCAACTGCTTGGACCTGATATCGTGCGCGATGTCCTTCTCCACACCCAATATCTCGCGCACCTTTTCATTGCAGATCTCTCCGCGATATACCAGCAGACCTCCGCCAAAAGTCCATCTCAGTTGCTCTAAGCATGTCTTCACTCCATTTTTTCAGTTGCCAGAACTCACTCCCGTAAGTTACAATACTTTTCATGATGACATTGTAAATTGCGCGTAAAAAATGCCTAATAGTTACCTAAATTACGCTTACATAATTTATGGATAGTCTTGGCCTGGCGTGCCACATCTCATCTCAGGCCCTGGTACCAGTTTTAAAATTCAGGTCCCATGACTGCCCCC